GCTTGCTCCACAGTGTAGTGATCAACTACACTGTGATCTTGTTCAGTCGTGCTAACGACCGAACCGCAAGTGAGGCCATCGAACTCACTCGAAGAACATCCACACGCTTGTGGACGCTCCAAGATGTTCATCAGATGGCCATCTGATGAACAAGTGACAGGCATCTTCACGGATCGATGCTGCCAGCTCACCCTTGGCTCGTACTTTCTGAGCCAAGGTAATCCCAGGATGACATCAAATATGTCATCCAGATCTAGTACGATGAATTCATCATCGTACTGTTCGCCCTCTAACGTGTAGTGGATTCCTACTACACGTTTCTCAACGGTTATCGATGCGCCTGTTGCAAGGCGCACCGTCATCCTTGTGAGGAAAATGTCGCGCTCAACGAACTTGAGCCTACGACCCTCTCGTGACTGGCGACGAACAAAGTTGTTCGACGCCCGACAGTCTACTAGGGCACGAAGCGACAAATCATTTGTCGCTTCCAACTTCAAGGTGATGAGCGAAATGTCATCACCAGGTGCAGAGACACACAATGATTGTGTGTCTGGAGAAACTTTCGTCAAGAGATTTGCAGATTCTCTTGAGGTTGCTGTATCAGTAGAGCGCTCCGCCCCTACTGGCCCCGACCATTTTTTTATGGTCTGTCTCGCTGTTGCGGCTTCGCAACAGCGCTGGACCCACGCCCATTGAGATTTCTGGCAAATGGTCGTCCATTTCGCTCAGTACTGTTTGGTACTGGGTGTGGAGCACTACACTCGTATGCGTAGTGCCCTTACTTCTGACAGAGATTGCACCTCTGCAATCGCTTGTTATTTGAAGAGCGAGGTCTCTCGCTCTCAACATAGCAGAGCTCCATTGGTTCTGGACCTCCGATCTCTTGTCGTCTTGGTGGACGGTAAGAGTTTGAGCTAGCATGAGCCTGTCTCATGCTAAAGTCTTCCTGTTCCGCGGCTGATATCGCTTCTTCAAGCGTATTCATCTCAAGGCGGAGCAGGTGGCTCCTGACGGGCCCTTCCGCGAGTTCTTGCATGAACACCGTAATCAACGTGTGTTCGTGAACTGGGTTAGCAGTTATACTACTCGCTAGGAGTCGTATATGTTATGCGTAAGCGTGCACATCACGCTTACCCTGCTTGAGTTTCAGGAGCTCGGAACGAGCCCTGAACTCAGCTCGTGGCGGCTCAAACGTTTGTCTGATCCGGGACTTGAAGTCACCTAGCGACCTGAACACATTTGGGTCGCTACTCTCGAGTCCCAGGGACCAAGTTTTGGCACGCCCTGCCAAGTGGGTCTGAGCAAATGTGAGTTTCATTTGCTCATCTTCGACGCGACGAGCCCTTAGGGCTCTGTCGAGTTCGACAAACCATAGTAAGAGGGAGTATTCCGGGACTCCACTGTATTTGGAGATGTCCACCTTCATGACCTCGGGACGACGCGCATGTGCCGTCCCGCCCACAGCAGCATGAAATTGCTGCTGTCTCAACAGCTCTGTCTGTTGAGCACCGAGTTCTCTCAACCGCTCGGCCTGTTGAGAGCCTTGCTGGTGAAGCAAGGCTACTTTCTCCCTTTCGGCGACAAGTTCACTTTGGATGAACTTGGCTATAGCGGCATGTTGTTGGTCTCTGTCTAGAGACTCCAACATGGCGCTAATGGCGAACTCGTCTACGGTAGAACTCATTAGTTCTACCGCACTCCATTCGATGTCACTCAAATGGTTAAACCCTTCACGCGTGGCGTGAAAGATTTCTTCGTCATCCAACATGTTCATGTTGGATGCTGTGGTCCTTGGAAGGACTACAAAGTGCTACCAGGTGTATACGGGGCACACCCTTGCGTGAACTTAACGCAAGGGTTTTGGTGCGCCCGACAGACATATACGAGGAAAACGAGGAAGCGTAGATAAGGGAAAAGTAAAACTGTTATATTAATATAATTAAGTCTTTAACCACTGTCTCTCTGTTTGACTTAACTTAATTATGCTAATCCAACTGAATGTATGACGACTTCTACTCACCACTCATTGCGCGCGTCTTGCGGCGATTGGTGGGTTGATATCGTCAAGATATCAACCAATGAGCATACTCTTTGGTCGACCCATCAATATCACCACCATTGGTGATATTGTTAAAAGAATATTCAACATAATATTATTTACTGTCATTATCTTCGAAATGACAATTTCCATGTAACGGGCTGCCCCGTTACAGCAAGCGTGAAAGCTGGATCAAGGCAATGAATGTAAGGAGATTGCGGCGGTTAAGGAAAATAATTTCTTACAAGTCGCCAAGCGCGCGCCTGACGATAACGATATTCACACCAAATGGGTAGAAAAGATTACGACTGAATCGCAGGCAGAGGTCAAGTAGATGAAGGCGTGTCTTTCCGCTTGCGAAGCAAGCAGGTTGTGATAGTTAAGCACAGCCTTACGCTCGATGTTGTCATGGATCGGTAGAATGCGAAGGCAATACTGGCGCTAGCTGCCTGATGCGAATGGCGACATCTATAATGCGTACGTCGAAGATGACGAAAAGAAAAATTGACACATGTATTTTCAGCTGCGGCGCGTCATGCGTGTGTACGACGAGATACTGTGCGAGAAAGGTGACGCAAGCGATAACAAACTAGTTCTCGATATTTGCAAGGTTCTTTGCGGATACCTACACCCTGGAAGACTCTGGAGTTAGCGGATAACATGCGTCTTGTCGAAGCTGGATTATAGATCCAGGAGATCGACTTGTACTAACACTAGAAGCGCGAAAGCGAAGAACTTGTTGGTGTTAGTGCCTATGTTAATGTTTCCTTATCTACCGGCGCGAATGCAGCAGCAGTTAATCGGTTCTTTTTGACAGCCTCTCTACCGGCATTAGCGACGACGTATATGCTCTACCAGGAGAAGACGTCTAAAGACCACGTCTGCAATGAAAAACTAACAGATACCATCATCGCGCACGCCGGTCGAAAAGGACTGCTACGACGCGCAGATAAAAGAAGCAGATGTGATCAGTTTGTTTATAGAGCGCATAGGCTTAACGGTATTTAAGTTTAGTCATGCTCGCTGGCGATTTTGCTAGCTGAAGATAGGAAGGAAGTCGGTCGCGCTGTGATGAAACGATCATGTCATATCGTGTTGATCCTGTACTGACAGTCTCGCTACTTCAATTCAATTTCCATCGATCCTGTACAGAGGTACCCATCATTCAGTCCAGTACTTCCCATTATTTTTGTGCTTTTTTATCATTGTCGTTCGATACAAATGATGTCAATAGAAACACAATGCTCAATAAAAATTAATGTCACTAAAAGATCTGATCATCGGCCGTCACTTCAATCATTTTCACACGTATTTTCAGATGTATTCGTGCCTACAAAAATGCAAATTCTAACAAGTCACATGTGGGCTGCATATTCTGGGTAGCGCGCTGCATGCAGCCTAACACCTATTTTGCGGTACATAGTGACACGCTTTAGACGGAAGTGCTCCGCTTTCTCGACTGGAAGCTTGTCTGATTCTCGCTTGGTACCTGGAAGGCACAGTGATCTTAACGATCACACTGGCGCCGACTCGAGACTACAATCAAGTATTACGACTGAGACCGATCAGCGACGCTGGCTTCGCAGAGGTCAAGGGCGATAGGAAGTCGATGACCGACGGCATAATACACCTGAATGGAATGGCAGTGATATGGGGGGACGCGTAAAAAAGTGATGTGCCGCTATCGGCGATGAAGGTCGAGTTTGTCACTGCCTCAGAGATGATGCGCGAAACTGATTCGGTATTTGCGAGCAGCTTTTCGAGGTCAGCATCGCACCGGATGTTTCGATGCAACTACACATCGACAACTAGCGAAATATGTCAGATTGCGGTCGAGGCGTCGTCGCTGAAGGAGAAGCACGTGGACGGTCAGGTAAATACAGTTCTACTTTCCCTATACTAAATGTGTTGGTATTGCCCTCCTCCTCTGAACCCGGTTCAGAGGTTCCTTCTAGCGTTTCCTCCGCACGTCGTCTACGTGAGGTTTCGAGGCACCTTTGCCTACACTGAGAGCAGTGTGAGATAGCTTGTAGTGATTGGCCTACAAGCGAAGGGTGCCCCGTTACAATTCTCGCTCGCAACACATTTAGCCGCGCTTCAAACGTTGTCTTGCATCTTACACAGCTACAGATGTCATTGATGATGCAACACAGTTTTGTGATATTCCATCTATTAGAGCTTGCAGCGATTGCCTAGTTGCATGCCTGTTGTACATAGTCAAATCTCGTGGTGCCTCCCTCCCTCTTCGTGAGTTTTTGGTGCTATTTAGTAGCTCTCGATATTTATATCGCGCAATGTTTTACTGGACTCGAAACACGGGGACTCTCTCGTAGTTTACGAGGCATGGTAAACTGCAGATCACAATAATGACTAGTAAGGGTGACTATCACCAAAGAGGGAGATGTAATCGTACTTATGCAAGGCGATACGATGGACTTCGTCCGATGTTCACACGCTATTTGCAACTCCCCCTGCAACAAAGCGCCGCATCCCCTCCACGTACACACAACAATGGTCGACTACAAGGGACAAGCACGTGCTGAAACTCTTCTCGTGGTGTGCTTCGCGGTGATCTGCACGCCCGCCTGGATCTACGGCTACTTCGAGCAAGACTTCACCAGCGCGCTCCACGCTTGGATGCTCGCAACAGTCGTTTGTGCACTGGTGAGTCTCGCACCACTCTTTTGACGGAGATTGCTGACACGTGGACATGGTCTGACTCTCGCTCGCTCACTGCTGCAGCTTATTCTGCCGAACTGGCCGATCTACAATCGTCATCCGGTCAAGTGGCTGCCCAGTGCTATGTACGTGAAGAAGAAAAGCTGCTGAGCGACGGCAAGACCTGACAGAAGGACGAAGAGTGCCCAGCACGCTGCAGCACGTGCGGAGAAGAAGCACTGAGGAGGTCATAGTGGCATCGTAGGATTGCAGCTGCAGACACTAGTGAGGTCCACGTGAAAACCTATTCCTTGTCCTCAGCGTCCTCGTCGTTGCCATCGCCTTCCTGGTCCTCTTCATCCTCGTCCTCTTCACCTTCGTCCTCCTCGTTCTCCTCTCCTTCGTCGTCGTCCTCGTCGTCGTCGTCCTCGTCCTCATCCTAACATCGCGACAACACATCGTTACGCTTGCCGGTGGATGTGCATTCGACTGTCAAGCTCGAATCTTACCATCGCGAAGTACTGCACAGGATTTTTCCATATTTCTTCCTTAATGATCTCTGCTACGTCCTGGTCGCCGTCCGTCGAGATGAACCACTACAAACAGAGAGCATGCGGCAGTTGTTAGTCGCAGCGTATGTATAGCAAACTCAATCACATGCTACGATACCTGGAAGAAAGCAAACTTTGCCGGATCTTCTGATACTTCAGCTTTCTCCTGCCACGTGATCTCCGAGGCAGTGACGTCCACTTCTTCCTCATCCTCTGAGAACTTGACCTGCTTCCACAGCGTTGTGGGAGCAAAGTACGGGTTCTCCTTGAACACCTGACGGAATTCAAATGGACAAGGCACACAGTAAACACCTTTGCAGACACGGTCGGAAATCGACGCACGACCGGGACACCACACTACCATCTCCATCCTAAAACTCCCATCGTCACCGACAAACGTGACGTCAAACGTCTGCAGGTAGTCCATGAGCATCTCGTCGTCCTTGGTGAAATAGTTGCCTACCAGCGGATGGTTCACAAACTGCTCCAGCAAAAACAGAACAGCACGAGCTCTGTTCAGCGAGCAGGTCCACCCCTGAGTCAGACCGCAAAGCAGACCGATACAGCACGTACCACTTTCTTCCAAAAGTGGGGAATCTCCGTCAGCAGTTCGTTGCGCTTGATGTACGTAGGGCGCTTCTTGGCGTTGTACTTGGTCTCGATCACGAGGATCTCCTTGGCCTGCTCCACGTTCACCTTCTCGAGCTCCTCCTCCACCTGCTGCACGGACTCGAGCACCTGCTTCATCTTCTCGAGCTCTTTCTCGGTCGACTCGTGCGCGTCTGTGCGCTGGCGCTTGGGGGACGGAGGACCGGTCATGACTGCTGCTGCTGCTGTCTTTATCTCGAAAGTGACTCGTCGTTGGTTGCACGCACGCTTCGGAACGGTCCCACCTTGGAGTCCCTCTCGAACTGAGTACCGAGTCTGCAAGTCGTATTGCCACTGCGGATGGCCTGTCCGACCTCGTGCCACATATTGTCTACATAACGCCCGTGTGGGACACATTCTGACACCTCGAGGTTTGCGAAAGATGAATCCGCGACAGTCACGTGTGCAATCACTTTCGATGAACAAGTGCAGGCAGTACAAAGTGTAGTTGGTCAAGTAAACTGTAGTCGGTCAGCTGTGCGAGAAAGAGCACGAATAGTGTGATCTAATGAGGCACTAGACACTGCGACGTGACGTTGTGTGAGCATGAGCTAGTCAGCAAGGAGGTGTCATTGCACTTGCTAACGGCTCAGACGGTGAGTTCCGGCGCCTTTGATGTGACGTGAGCGTCAATGACGGCAGAGTGGAGACAGTCATGAAAGACATCGTGAGAAGGTATGTTAAATTATACGAAGACGAAATCTTACGTGCATAGAACTCAGAGCATAGCATGCGTATTACAGACCTTGTCTGTTCGTCAAAGCTTCGTCGATTCGATCCACCTCGTTTGATCGTGCAACGGTTTAAACACAAAGCGATGGACCTGCACACACGATTCAGCTGTCGCTATCAAGATCACGAACGTTTTTTCGGATCGAACGTGCAAAGTAGAGACGTTTGCAGTCAGGCGATACGCCACTGCTGAGACTGCCACACTTCGCGAACGAGACTATCAGGTCTCAAATAAACTCGGTACGAGCGAAGGCGCATTACACATGAAACGCGTTGTTTATCACGAGTAGCCTTTTCATTCGCGGCGCTCTATAACCTACAAAACAGGAAGAAGCGTCGACCATGAATAGGTCAAACACCAGATCGACCGCGTCTAATCCACCACGACCGCGTCGCTTCCTTGCGTTTCCGCCATCTTGCACTGAGATAACTACTACTACTGCTACTCCTACTCCTACTACTACTACTACTACTACTACTACTACTACTACTACTACTACTACTACTACTACTACTCCACTACTACTACTACCACCTTCTAGTATCACCACTTCTGCCGTTTTCAGCCAGCATCCCTCCCACCTCCAGCCAGTATCTCTCCCACTCTAGCGCCTTTTCTCTTGCCACGTCGACATGGCTCGATCGATCTTGACAGGCGCATACTCCCGCTTAAATACGATTCCGATCATCAAACGTTATGGTCTCTGCTACGAGTCTGCTGCTCGCCGCTGTCTGCGCGTTCGCTCTGGTCGCAGCTGCTTCTCTATGCGACGAGCACACGCTAGAGAGCGATGCGATGAAGCTCCTACTAGACCACGTGGACGTGGAGTTAGGCGGTGTCGGAGCTGGAAAGAGCGACGTCGTGGGGTTCCAATATCTGGTACTTCCCTCGCCAAACTAAACTCACATTGACGGACTCTTTGCAGCTATGCATATACTGACACTTAATCAATGCTCCTTGTCATATAATGTAGAAACCGGCAGAAGCTCTGCTGGCCGCTCAAGCGATTGCCCACGAGAACTTCACGCAGGCAACAGCGCAAGTTCAGCACATCCTCACGTACCAGACACCTGATGGGTTGCTACCGCACTTGGTCTATGGCTCATCCGTGCCGTCCGAGGTACGATGGCTAGCCAGCAATCGAACCTTCCACCCAGGTCCTGCATTTTGGAAGCAAACGTTGGTCAAGGAGCACCAAGAGACCGCTTGGACTTTGCCATTCACCACCTCGACGTTCTCGGCCCCTCCTGTGGCAGCTGACGTGGTCTGGGAGGTCTTTCGCTTGGCGCCATACGACTCGGCGATGACAGGGCAAACGAATGCTGTTCAGTTCCTTTGCCATGTATACGAGCCACTCAAGAAGCTGCAGAAGCACTTGTTCGCCACGCGCCGCGGTGGCAGTCCTAGTGGTCTGCTGTCTACTCACGTAAGTTGCAGAAATTGGATGTATACATGGCTATGGGCTGTTTGTGTGTGCGGGCACGTTTTCGTGGACACTGACATATTCCTTTGGCTTGGCGATTATGTTGCAGCACCCTTGGGAAACGTTCTCATCGCTGTCTCCGCACTGGAAAGGATTTCTTGCCGAGGTGAAGAAAGCACCGGACTACAAAAGCGTGGTGAGCTCGATCCCAGACCAAGCCCGGCGTCGCTTTGCAGTCGGTGCAAGTACCTTGTTTTCCGCACAAGATGCAGTGGAAAACATGTACGAGCCAATGATATATCTTGCCGCACAAGCACATCGTGGAGAACATAGCAGTGCAATCGATGACCGTGGATCCAGTGGGTTTGAGTATACCACGAATGCTCCATTCGAGGTCGAGGATGTGGAGTTTAATGCTCTTATGCTGAGATCATCATTGGGTCTTGTGAACATTGGCCGTGTGCTCGTGAAACACTCATCTGTGTGCACGGGGTTCACCTTAACCCAAAAGGAGCTACTGGACGAAGTGGAGGAGCTTCAAAAACTGAGTGAAGGGCTCAGGGCGGCTATCGTTGGCAGTGACGAAAGCCAAGGTCTGTGGAACGCATCGGCTGACTTTTTCGCAGACTCTAGTCGATTTGCAACGACTGCAGTACACTCCTTACGCGGATTTCTACCCGCATATGCTGTGGAGTTGGACGACAACAAGAAGATGCGGTCGATGAAGCATTTTCTTTCCGAGCCCGGTTCCTTTTCTTTTTTCTGCGCTCGGTATCCGGCTTCATTCATTGCATGCTCGGGGAATGACTTGACCGAAATTGCTAGCTCAATGAGCAGCCGTCCAGCCACTACGACGTGGATGCTCTACAACTACTATCTACAGCGTGGATTCGTCAGAGTGCGCTTGCATACTTTCGTTGTCGTTGTAGTCACGAGTCAATCACGTTTGTTAACATACTGTAATGTGCAGAACAGGTTTCCAGGACTGGCAGATTACGTTCGCAACAAGACCAGGGATATGGTGTGCGGGACAACTGCACCTGCTCCACCGTCCCTTTTCCGGTTTCCTGTCTTGTCGGATGCGGAAGAGCCCACTCCAGCGGTTCTCTCACCGGCTTACAAGTCTCACGATGGTGAACCGATCGAAGTGTTTGACGACAATTACTTGGGCTCGATCCTAGCAGCTGCCGCTTTGTTAAACGTTCTGCTACCCGCAGGTACGCAGCCAAACTTGTGACTGCGCAATCCTAGTAGCTGACTCACTTTTGTCGCAACAGCGACACCGCCGCCGAGTCCTGACACGCCGCCCATTGACCATCGTATTCTTTCTGTGATCATGTGTGTTGAGTTGGTGGTAGCGTTTGGAGTCGCTATGAGCTGTTTTCTTTTCTCAGTTTATTTCGTGGCGAATCGACCGCGACAAGCACACCAGTTTCCTGTATCCACAGCATGTCGGCGATCGTCCACAGAGACCGCAGAAATGATTCATCAAGCAAAACTCGATCACCACATCGATGATGGGCGGGAACGCGATGCCAGCAGATACTCGTGGGCAGACAGGCACTCGGAATCGTCATTCAGCGACTGCTCTCCAAGATCCGGGCGCACTCCGCATGAGTTAGAAGAGTCGTTGCTGCCCGCGGCTGACGAGCGCTACGGATCATTCAATGAGGCCGCGCGGCCACAAACTACGTTCAACTTTGTCTGGAAAGCTGGAAAAAAGGTGCTGGCAGCCATCAGCCCGTGGTGAGTGAGGAAAGCTCAACAGCTTTTGATGCGCAAAACATGGCGACACGTCGGACAGTGAGAGCTTCAACAGTAATGATTCAACTTGACGTTGCTTACAAGCCACAGCACACCTACAGCAAGTCCTTCTTCCATCTCGCCACAAGCTGCGTAGCCGTCTTAGCCACGGAGGGCGCGGCATGCTTGCGCAGTTTGTTAATCGTGCGCCCAACACCCGTGCTCTTCAGGATATCGACAGTGAGCACCATGCCTGCAAGCGTGCTCAAAACGTGTGTGGCCAGTGCGGCGGAGATGCTCTTCGTGTCGCCGTTCTGATCCAGTAAACCTTGCAGAAAGCCGACGCGTGTTGCTACGTCTTCTATTTCAGCTGGGGCTGCTGCGGTTGCTGCTGCTACCTCGGAATCGATGCTTCTATCCTTGGTATCGCTTGCAGTGGCATTCGACGGCCCCGTGGAAAATGCCTGCACATCCGACATAAACAATGAATAAGAGCTCACAAAACACACGCATCGATACAAGCATCTCATTCTTACGTCAGTGTCCCCGATGTCCGCATTCAGATGTAGCTCCAACATTGGGGTGGCCTCCGGGAAAGCTGGTGCAAATCCCATCCGCCGAGGCTCACACAATGCCCACAGCGCTTGTACAGTGGAAAAATATTGCAGTTCGGCGTCATGTTGAGCCGATTCAGTCGTCCACGAGCCATCCTCTTGTTGAGTCAGCAACAAGAAAGCCATTCCTCGACGCACCTGGACAAGATTGTTTGAGCCTTCGAAGCAGCGTAAAGCCTACTCGTTCAGTGACAACGGAGTACGAATTAGCACGAGACAAATCGAAGTCATCCACTTTCCTTCCTTCTCACCCGCAAAGTCTCCCCGAGTAGATTCACGTCTTGTTGCGCGAGGTGATATACAACATGGTGACGCAAGAAGAAGTACTCGTGAGGCAGTAGGTCCTGTTCAGCGGTACACGACCAACGTTACAATTGTACACTTGTCACAAATGCCAAAGTTCCTCACCGTCTCGCAGCGTAGCTTGCCATGGTTTGTCAGCACAAACACCAGCGTAGTGACAAAGCGCACTTGGTCGGCATAATCTTGAGGTGACAGGTCACTCGGTCCTTTGTACGGATAAACTGACAACAGATGCTGAAGCAACTGCGGCAAGATGAAGCCAATCTGGATCCCGAGCTCGTGTGTGTGATGCCACAAAACCAGCGCTCTCGCCAGTTGCTCGTATACGGAGACTCCGCTGTGGTTGTTCCTCGATGGCGGCTCCTCGGCTGGATTCCACCCGAGCAGCTCCTGCTCATACCATCAACACCACTCACATCAGACCCTCGTCCGCAACACATAAACGCCTGGTCGCTCATCTCTCGTCACCTTGGGACCATAGAAAGCAGGCGATCGATCACAAAAGTCCAAGAGCTCGACACGCCGCGCATGAGCGATGCCAAGGCGCTCCACAATATACACAGCTCGAATCGCCTGGACAAGCTGTGTGGGCGTGGGGATCGAGCCTGGCGTCCAGTCTGTGTGGCGGTCTTCTCCAAGCCACAGAGCACCCAGCAGTCGCGCGTAGAGCGTCGCCAGTCGCTGCACTTCTCCTTTTTCCACTGCCTGGAGATTGTAAAGAGACTGAATCGCGTGCAGTCCCCAGTCGGGAAAACTCAACGGGTCTTCACGCTGCATCTGGTACACGCGACGGAGGCCCTTGACAATGCTCTCGCGTCGCATCGCCATCTTCCACGGCTCCGGTGGGTCCACTCGCTTGGCCACTTTCTTGGCCTTGAGCTTGCGCAGTTCCTGGTGCATCAGCCGCTTCAGTACGTCTTTATGGGTCGCGAGACTAACGTGCACCTCCTTCTCCACCGCCTGCCGCACGAGCTTCGTGGTCAGCTTCGACATGTCGCTGGACGTGATCACGCCCGCAATGGCCGCTGAGATCTTGGCCTCGAGCTCCTTCGATATCGTGCGCGGGTTCGAGATGAGCGACGAGCCCGCGGACGTCATCTTGGTGTACATGCCTCCGCCTGCCATGCTGTCGGAGGGTGGGGACCACAGTGGGTGATATTCCGTCTCGCGGGTTTTGCACCGGGGTGGGTGACAACTGGGTCGGTGTGGGTGGTATACACACTGGGTTCTATGCGATCGAGGGTATACGTGGTCGGATGCATTTGCATTGACCTCATTTCAGCCAATCGCTGCACCGAAGTGAGCCATGTGTTCATTGTTGCTGCCCAAGTTAGCTGCTCCTCGTAATATGCCGCTGCTGGCCCGTGCTCTCCGATCGTCTGCGCTATCGCGCGCCGTGGGCCATCGGTTCATTGGCGGGTTCGCTGTCGATGCGTCGACGCCGACTGTCGCTGAGCGATTGTACGCTGTGCTGTGTGTTATCCCACCGCTCTCACTCTCTCTCTCTCTCTTTGTGTATCGCGTTTTGCTCCCCCTATTCTGACTGTTGGTGCGTGTCTTCTTGTGTGTGGCAGGGTGAACGTGGTGCTCGTGGACTACGAGGGAAACCGCCACATGGTCAAGGGACGTGCTGGCCAGACGCTGCGTCAGGCTTGTGAGATGAACAGCGTTGGCTACGTCAAGGACGACTCCATGGGCGGCGGCGGCACGTACGACGCCCGTCGCGCCGACTTTTACACCGAATCGCTCTTTGGCGAAGGCTCTTCGTCTCCACAGTCGCACGTCGTGATTTCCAACGAGTGGTTCCACAAGCTGCCGCCTGCCAACGCGCGTGAGCGTCACATCATTGACACGTACGTCCCGAAGGAGGACCGCTCCGTGAACTCTCGTCTGGGCACAGAGATCGTGCTACAGGAAGAACTGAATGGCATGGTGGTGGCTGTGCCGGAGGCGCCACCGGTCGAGGAGTACGTGTATGAGCACGAGTATGACGAAGACGATTACGAGTCGTACGATGACGAGGACCAGGGCGCGTAAGGAGATGGAGGGAGCAAGGCGACGAGGAAAGGTCATCTGTCAGAAGATGTGCTGGTCGATGCGACCCGTCTTGGAACGGTGATGACCTCGCAACGGCGTAGATATGTCGAAATTTGTTGCCGTAACCAACACGAAGAAAGAGAGTGCACGGTGACGTAAATGGCTCGCCTTGCGGACTGCAGCCTTCTTGACTAGTCGATTACCACGATACTCGGGTACGCACTGATGCCCGAAACGTGCGAGCGTTGTCTTCGCGTTCCTCTTGCTTCCATCGTCAAAGACTTTCGCAGTCGACAAGTCTCGACACGGCACTTCGTCAAGTGGCTTCGTCCATGGGACTGCATCACCGCGATATCGCGAGCTAATCCGGTGAGATGGGTGGCAATGCTGCAAGATGCCGTGCACCATCGATCTGCGTGTCGACGTACAAGCAAGTATGCTGAACGTGACTTGTCTTGCCGGCTGTATCGGTTGCGGTAGTCAAGCAGTAACCCACATGGCAGATGAACAACTGAGAGTCACGAGAATGTCCACGGTCATCCCGTCGTAACTTGCCCTTTCTGGTGCAACCTGCCTGCACCAACAACAGTCAATCCGATGGTTGCACGGAGACACGCAGTCACAAGAGTCGTAAACGAGCTCCAGCTAGTTGCCTACAATCGACAAAGTTGGTCAGCACCTCTGTCAAGGATTGTTTCACGGCAAATCCTAGCAAACCAAACGAGGAATAAGTCGATCGTTGAATTGATCAAACACCTACGACATGACTGCCCCTCGCAATAGCAAGTGCGCAACCTGTAGCCTTCTCGCCGCTTACGGTTATGCCTTTCACACAAAAGAGAACAGACACTCAGCCATCCGCGTGGTAGGAATGTGCAAGCCCTTGGTCTAATCGCGAGACACTCGACAGTGTGCCACAATCGATGGGCCCACGACCTCCCTCACTTGGCAACAATGCTTCTCCCAGGATGCAGGAAGCTTGTACGGCCCTCATCACTCCAGAACAACGCCTGAACTCCTCCATCCACGAGGACCCTTTCATCTTGTCATTCGCCTAACGGCTCGCAAACCACTATCATCACCTCCATCCATTCTTGTACGAGGCGGTACAAGCGGAGATACTACTGTCCTTGTTCAGACCGCCGAAGAGCCGCCAAGCGAACTTTCTCGCGTCGGTCGGCCAGCGCCGATGACTCCGACGATGATGGTGTATCCTTATTGCCGCCGACACTTTGACCAGACCCTGGTTTATTCACATGTCATTATCATGCATGCGTCCCGTTTCCACGTAAAATAGGGACCAACAACGTACCGGTAAATGGAGTGTAGACACGCTGGGGGGTTCCGTTCGTGATGCGCGAGGACGCGCTGGGATCGTCGCCCACTGGTGCACGATCTGTCACCGTCGCCGGTACGAGGCAGCTAAGAAACGAGCCAAGGTAGGCCATGCGATTGACGTAGGCAGGGATAGGCTTTCCTAGCAGCACTTGGCAGACTTCATCTGCGTACGTGTTGCAGTTTCTACTCAATCGACCATAAATTGTCGAGTCAGTTCCCGCCCCCTCCTCTCTCTCTCTCTCTCCCTGATGCCTTCGCCACAAACCTACGATAGCATACTGTACCTGGTGAGTAGATTGTAGGCGTCTCCTGTATAGTACGAGCTTAGAGAATAGGCCAGTCGATGGGCCTCCTGGAAGCTTCCTTCGAAGAACCCCATGTCAATTGACTCTCGAAACTTGGCGCCTGCACGTGGAAAAGCGTTCAGTCCAAGACACACTCGAACACATACAGCAAGACCCACCACCACCACCACCAGCACCACCACCAACAATAGCCCAAATGTATGCAAGTACCAGGCGCTTGACGCGGACTCGCCGAGAAGACGCCAGAGCCGCTCGCGTACGAGAACTCCTTTCCGGCGATTTCGACGCCACTGTGGAAGATGCCGAGACCGAGCGCTAGAGAGTCACGCAATCACTCAGAACCGACGAGTGTCGAAAGATACACGTGCACAGAGATCCACGTACGCGCAATGTACTCGTTGGCCTCCACGAGGTCGTACACATTGAGCGTGACGGCGGTGCGGACGGGCATCGCGAGCGTCGAGCACGGGCGACAACAAATGACGAGTGTAGTGCAAATATCACACTCGAAACGCAATAATTCGGGTACGTTCGCTTTGTGTGCGCACGCGTCTCGTCTCTCGCTTCGCAGGCGTTTCAGTGCGTCACCCTAACTGTAGCCATTTCACTCGGCACGGCTTGAACCCATTTGACACACACACGAACACATACACGCACACATGACCCCGAGCGACTCGTGGGGCCAAGACGCGATGCGGCGTCTGCGTCGCCACTTTACCAGCGACCGCTCCGTCGCTGTGTACGAGGCACTCACCGCTCATGCTCTGGATGCAGCTACGGGCGGCGCTTTGTTCCTATGCGGCGTGTCGACCGCACAAGTGGCCCAGAAGCTCCTGCGCATCGGCTCCGCCTCGAGGTTTCTGCTGCCTCAGACGATAGGCGCTGCGGCCGTCGCGTCGTCCTCTGTCCTGTCGCTTCACTTTGCGTCCATACCGAGGGACATCTACCAGGAAGTGGCTGCGATGAGCCGCCGCGCACAGGACGAGCAGCGGGGCTGGAGCTGGCTCGTGCTTGGCGCCAAGAACATGCAGCCGCCGACGGCGTGGAGACTGGCTCGGACCAAGGTGACGGAGCGCTGGGACGACCTGTCCGAAGCTCCGTACCCGGTGTACATGGTCATGGGACTCGCGTGCTTCAAGCTACTGGGCGGTCGTATGAGCGCCTTGGCGCCATCGCCCTTTGCCGACCTCGGAGCCTTTCACCTGAAGAAAGCGTCGCTCCCGGCGACGGTTGATTACGCTACTAGCGTAGAGAGAGGCATCATCCAGGAGTTTGGACGACTGTATGGATGCCACACGTGCGGAGTCAAGCGTGGGGTGCGATACCATGCAGACCACATGCCACCGAAACTGTAGGCGACATTGAGATGGTGATGTGAAAGTGTTGCGAGGCTCCTGACGTCTTGTGCTGTGGCTTTTTTGCTTTGCTGAGCTGCAGGGTAGCGAAGCGATCGGACGCGGGGTTCGTCCGGCGGACACTGGGCTGGAAGACGACCTTTCGCTTTTACCCGCAGTGCGAGTCGTGCTCGAACCAGCAGAGCAGCGTCGTGAAGCAATGGAAGTCGACACTCAAGGTGCACTTGCGGTCGTCCCGAGCATACCATTTCACAGGTCTTTGGCTTGTACTGCTATGCACGGGTGGTCTCTACGTCGGCGGCTCACACTTCCACGAAACGTCCGAGGTGTCGGCTGCAGCGACTCCAGCTGACGAACATCTCGGCTCATTTGCATCGCCGGATTTCCAGCTGCTAGTGTCACTTCGCGAGCGAGAGCGCAAACTGCGTCGAGAGCGAGAACGACAGAGGGATTCCACACAGCTCGCTGCGATTGATAACGAGTTGGAAGCAGTCGCGCGGTGCAAGAAGGCCATCAAAGCCGACGTCAAACGGCACAAGGTCAACTAGCAGGCGCGATCATCAGAAAAAGCAGTACCGAGCAGCGATCAAAGGTCGTCGAGCTAGTCCCAATACGAGACGCTGCTTGACAACTCGTGATCGCATCTCTCTTGTTCGCGGGACGTCCTTGACAGCGATGCGGTGCCCATGATGATGCATCGAAGCTGTCCAGACATCCTGCAGCGCACGCCGACTGATCGTTTTCCAAGGTGATCGGCGTCCCTTGTTGTGCTGTCGGAGAAGGACGTGCCACAACACACACAACAACAAGCAAACGATCGCTTGTACGTCGTCGCCGTCGAATCCGACAACGTGCAGTCGTCGGCCCGACACACAGCACTGCGCCTGTGGAGACCGTACGACCGCTTCGTGCAGCTGAGTGCGTGACACTGTCTGTGTCACACAAAGAGATGTGTCGTGCAGCCCCTCACACACGTTGTACAACACCTCAGCCGCCGACGTGCAGTGCATTTACCAGTCCAGAAAGCGATGGCTACACATGGACAGACGGGACTTCCAGTGCTCGCCCGATGCCGCCAACAGCTCATTACGCAATGTGAGACGAGCCACTGGACATGACGTCGCGCGTGGCACGAGCTGTGTGGGCTCTCCGCCCCCTTTTTATGGACCACGACGTCGGTACCGGTGGCGTTCAAGCAGACGCGCAGAGTATGGGCCGAACAGTGTTTGGCATCGGCGTCGACGTGGCGCTCGTTGCGCGCTTTGCACGGAGCTACGCGCGCTTCGGGGAGCGACTGCTCGCACGCGCGTTCCACCCGACGGAGATCTGCGAGTTCCACGCGCGTCCACGTGCCGACCGCGCGGCGTTTCTGGCGTCTCGATGGGCCGTGAAGGAGGCGACGTTCAAGGCGTTCCAGCGCTACCGCGTGCGCTTCCCTGAGATCTACACGGCGCCACGAGGACGAGAGGAGCGGTCGGCGGTGTCCACTGCGCTGCCAGTAACGGACAAGTCGAAGGCGCTGCGTCTCGAGTTCGCGGGCGAGACGGAGCGACTCGCCCAGCGACTGCGACTAGCGGTACGGCTGACAAAGAGACCGACTGTGTGACGTTCGTTGACCGACTCCAGGGAGAAGCTCTGACCCGTGTGCCGTCTTAACATCCGACTGTGTTGTGCGACAGGAGCCGCACGTGTCGATCTCGCACGACGGGAACTATGCGGTGGCGTACGTGCTCTTGCAACAGGAGACTGATGAGGACTGATCGAAGAGAAGACAGAGGAGGAGGAGGAACAAGTCCTCGAGTGTCGACAGGTCTTGCACTTGCAAGTCGAGAGAGCTCAAGCTGGTAACCTCAACGCCGTGTCATGCGTCATGATGATCCACTCGAGTTCCATACACCGATCGCCTCTCGCCGCTTATCTATTGAGTTTGTGTTTCCGGATACGTGGCCTCATCTACAGATGGTCGAGACAGTCGTCCCAGCCTGTTGTCATGATGCACAACGTCGTTGCGTGCGAAGCCTTCGTCCGCAGCCATCGTCTGTCTAGAAGGATTCCTTGCGGATACCACGACTGTGGTCCCCGTAGATCTCCCGGATGAGGCCGACCACACGCTCCACTGCTGGCAACGAAAACGTCGCTGCTGCCCGCGAATCTCGTCGAGCCTCCTGCAGCAACCGGTCCCATTTGTCAGCAGCCAACGCATCGGCCACACGACGGAATGCACCTTCGTACTGCTTGCCCTCCGAGTGAGGAATGCCGCGCTGAGAAAGCCAAAAGAGGAACGCGTTCGGCACGCGTTCGGTAGCGTCGCGCTGGTAACGTGCCACGTCATGCGCGATCGAGCCTTCCCATTCCATGTACTCGCCAATGCGGGTCAGAAAGTCCAAGCGCTCAGGCGTCACGAGCTCCGACGCTAGCGCCAGTACGTCGATCAGGAGCAGCAACGTCGCTTGCCAGCGCGTGGCCTGCACGGCCACGTACTCGAGAAACTTCCCCTCGAGTGGTCGACCCGCGGCGGACGTCGCATTGGCATCGTCGTTGCAAGGCGTGGCCAGCTCATAGCTCCGGACGATGTTGTTCAGCAGTTCCGCCTGTTCCTTCACGAGACGGGTCCGAAGCAGCTTGTGTGGCACCTCCTGTTCAATGTGGTAGTGCAGAACTTGCCATAGAGCGAGGAGCAGCGGCAAGCCGGTGGAAAGAACCTCGTCGCGCGGCTCTACGTTCTCGACCATCAAGTCGCGAAAAGACTTGGCACCCGAGTCGTGTATCTCGCCAGCACTGACACCACTTTTTGCGGACCCGTCACTTGCCTCGAGGAGCTGCCGTATGAACGTGCGCACCTTCTGTGGGCGCACCTCCATCAGTCGATACGCGATGATGTTGATGAGAATGGACAGCAGCTGGAGCTTGTTCTGTAGTTCAGTGTTCGCGCGGGACACGAGCAGGTCGCTCTCGGTGTTGGAGGTCGAGGTAACGATGGAGCGCACGGAGGCCAAGAACGCGAACATTTTCTCGAGCTGATTGTAGCCTTTGTCCCCCAGCAACTGGCGCTGCAGCGTCGTCAGCGCCTTGTCACCCTTCCCAGCGGTGTCTGGAGCCATAATCGCAATGTACTGCGGGTGCTTGTTGATAGCTTCGAATGCGAGGTTCAGGCTGACTGTGCTCTCCAGTTCTGGCACAGGGATCTCCACGTAAAACATGGACGGCAGCGTCACGGAAACTGGAGACGATGGCGGCGAGTTGCTCTGAATCTCAAAGTACACCGCATGTGCGTGCAAGTACTCCTTCGCCGTCTCCACGTTTATCGACTTTCGCCGCAACATGTAGTTGCACACCTCCGACACAAGTTCACCAGGTGCACCAGCAGCGACAGCGATGTTTCGTGCATGAAGGGCCATGTGACCCTTCTGGATACCTGTCACTGCAATAGCGCGAATCGCCGCAAAGTTTTGCGCGAGTCCGACGCTCATGATGATGCCGCTCAGATTGCGGGCCGTTGGTTGCTGCAGAATCGCATGAGTGGCAATGTAACCAGGGTGGGTCATCAATGCACCGCCTTTCGAGCCCACTGCGATGGGCATTTCCAAGCTGCCTCGAAGCACGCGCTTTCCAGTGCCGTCACGGGCGGTATCGATCTCGTAACGCGACAACGAGGCGTATTGTCCCGAGCGACTAGCATAGCAATGCGCAGCCGATTCGATTGCCCGCCAATCCTGGCCGGTGGCCACGGCTACAGCATCGATACCGTTCATAATGCCCTTGTTGTTCGTCACTGCACGGTACGGATCGATAGCAGCAAAATTGTAAGCTTCGACAATGCGACTCGCCACATCTTTGCCGTCAACTCCTTTCCAGCCGAGCTTCTCCAGAGGAATCTCAAACTCGGCTCGCGCACGGCGTTGCATGCAAAGATTGGTGAGGATTCGCAAGCCTACACGACTTTGCGTGATCGCCGAGACTTCTTCCGACAATCCCTCTGCAACCGTGTTGACAACGTTAGCGCCCATGGCTTCGCACACGTCCACATCCACATGCACAACGAGAAACTGCGTCTGTTGCCCAGACGCGTTTACTACAAGTTCGTCATCGCACGGGGTGTACCACGTGCTACTGGCGGCGGTAGTAGCAACAGTGCGTGCAGCCTGGCTAACGACGCGGCAGTAAATGTCAACCGCACCGCCACCACGTTTCTTCATGTTGGGACAAAGTGTGCGGTTGGCGATCGACAGTAGTCGCTCACGATTGCATCGGACAGCAGCAATAGCTGCTGGAATGTCCTTCGTATCCACGAGCTGGATCTGAGACGTCATGACGTTGCCTGACGTCGATGTGTGGAAGCCGCCACCGGCAACAGCCACGAGCTTTGCCGCATTTGAGGCCGCAGCCACGACCGACGGCTCTTCTACAGCCATAGGGACGGACAGGCTCTTGCCGTCAATGACAAAATTGAGACCAAGCCTGCCAACAAGTAGACAACATGCTACGCGTTAGCAACAAGTAAGGGAAGATGATGACAGCCATGTTGCAACACTTCTCACCCCAGCGGCACACCCAGCACGCCGATACAGTTCTCAATCATGAGGTTTGCCGTGCGCAGCGGCAGCTCACCGAGTTTTGCCGCTGGTTCGGATGGCAGCAACATGTCCGACGTGGTCTCGGTGCCGTTTGCTTGCTGTAACTTGAGGCTCTTGAGTCGCGGGTACATGAGCGCCAGCACGTCCCAGCGCTCGCGCAACGTCTTGTTGTAGAATCCTGACCAGACCGACGGCTGCGACGTCGCGTCCGCTTGCTGCTGGGTAGTAGCAGTCGTCCAGTCTTCCCTGGCGTCGTGGCTGCGCTGCAATCGGTCAAAGTGCTTGTCACTGCCAGGCGCCGTACAGCGCTTGTGCACCTGCACAGCCAATTCCGCCACCTGCTTTGCTTTGCTCTGCAGCGCGTCGTCGAGCAGTACGGCACCAGTCGACATCTTGAGCGCCTTCTGCAGCAGCACGAGCGTCTGGTCAAGCACTACGTCCATCTCCGTCCTGCAGGTCGGCAGTGATACGACTGCGCCGCGGTCGGGAGGCTGGTTGGTCATCTTGGTGCAAAGCCGCTCGCTCGGAAGTGACGTGCATCGATTGCGGCAACATAGCGTGGAGCAACATAAGAGCCGCTGCAGATCCCTTCTTGGCCCGCCTTCTAAGTGTGCGACACGCACCATCTGTTGCTGCCGAAGCTTCGGATATATGCTGTTGGCTGCGGTTGGCTGATACCGATACACGTCGCAATGCACGAGATAATATCCCGACACGACGGACGTACATCCATCGGATGAGTTTTTATCGCACACAAAGTGGCTACATGGACGATGTCCCACTCGACAAGCCATCTTTGCATCAGCATGAACCGCGTGGACCGTATCCGCTCGCACGTGGTCCAGGGATCGCCCTCCCCCGCCACCCCACGTCCACAAGATGGGTACGACAACGAGGAGGACGTCGTGATCGTGTCGGCAGTGCGCACGCCCATCACAAAAGCCCGTCGCGGTGCGTTCAAAGACACGACGCCCGACGTCTTACTGAGTCACGTGTTCCAGGCCGTGTTGCAACAGGCCGACGTCGCGCCTCATCTCGTGGGCGACGTTGTGGTCGGGAACGTTCTGCAGCCAGGCGCTGGCGCTGCCATGGCCCGTATGGCCCAACTGGCTGCGGGGATCCCGCACACTGTTCCACTGCACGTCGTGAATCGCCAATGCAGTTCGGGTCTGCAGGCCGTTGCGACTGTCGTAGCTGCTATCAAAGCTAAGTACTACGACATTGGCATTGCTGCTGGGGTCGAGTGCATGTCACGTGCTGACAATAGCACAAAAGAGATCGTCTCCAGTGTCAATTGGACACACATTGGTGCTGTACAGGACGCGGCGGACTGCACTGTGCCCATGGGCATCACAAGCGAGAACGTAGCCGAGGCGTACGGCATCACGCGGGATCAACAGGACGAGCTTGCGGCACAGTCGCACGCCAAAGCGGCCACGGCCCGGGCTAACGGCTGGTTCAAGGACGAGATCACGTCCGTGGCGACAAGCATCAAGGACAAGGACGGCCACGACCAGTCGATCGTTGTGTCTCAAGACGACGGCATTCGTGCCGACACGACAGCAGAGAAACTGGCGAAACTGCGTCCAGCATTCAAGGAAGGTGGCTCCACGACAGCCGGCAACTCGAGCCAAGTGAGCGACGGCGCTGCTGCCGTGCTTCTTGTGCGTCGCACCGTGGCCAAAACAATGGGGCTGCCGATCCTTGGCCGCTTTGTCTCGTACGCTGTGGTAGGTGTGCCACCTGCTCTGATGGGCATTGGACCGGCATTTGCCATCCCCGAAGCCCTGCAGAAGGCTGGCTTGACGCAGGACGAGATTGATGTGTTTGAGATCAATGAGGCGTTTGCAAGTCAGGCGTCGTACTGCATTGAGAAACTCGGCATCCCGATGGACAGAGTGAATCCCAAGGGTGGCGCAATCGCACTTGGCCACCCTCTAGGCTGCACCGGTGCTCGCCAGGTATCGACGCTCCTGTATCAGCTCAAGCGAAAGAACCAGCGCTACGGAGTCATTTCCATGTGCATCGGCACGGGTATGGGTGCTGCTGCGGTCTTCGAGCGCGAGATGTAGTGTGCTGCTTGTTGGGACTCGGTGCCGTCCAAAGATCATGCGATCCGTAGACTGTCATCCAATTGCTTCGCGCGAAAGTCGCAGCACTGCGGGTACGTATCTGTACTGCAAGGGACCGTCACTAGAACGAAAACGAACGTGCTTGATGAAGCCATTGCTGCTGTGTGCCTGTGCTCAAGTGATGTTGTTCGAGTGCCTCTATGTTCATTTGGCTTGTCCGTTGGCTAACACTTGGCTGGGTCGACGATCTGCTTTGCAGCACACGCCAGTAGCATACGACAAAGCGTCAGCGTTGTCGATCGATAAGTTGTGATGACCCATCGCAAGTGTCTAACTGTTGCACGGGATCGTTGTGCACCAAGTGGTGGCCAGCCGCGTTCATGCTGCGTTGTACATGTGGAGTAGTCTCGTTCTGCTTCGTTTCAGCTGGCAGACCGCAAAACAGCAGCTGAATCGTACAACGTCCGTCCGTCACGTCTTCACCTTCGACACATGACCATCCGCTCATGACGACCGTTGTGCTTTCACGTCCTCTAGTGATCCAATAACTGCACATGTAGTCACGGGAAGTTGACTTGCTCTGCTGCCGTCACCAGTCCACTTGACTTCGTTCTCAGATGGACGATGGACACTCACGAGAAGTACACATCGGAACATGTTTGCGCTCGGCTCGAAGGGAGCGAACGAGATACGCTGATTGATTGCAGACAGCAAGTGCTGCAACGTGCACCGACGCGATGCCTATTGTCAAACCAGTCGCTTTGACTGACACGTCACGGCTGCATCTCGTGCAACAGTAGCGTGACTGACAACGACTTGCCATCTTTTTGTCAAGCGTACAACAATGTGCACACTTTTGGGAATGTACTGCTGGAGGGTGTGCATACTGTTTGGTCAGCACAGTGCAGACCACGTCGTAAGCTGTGCGAAGAAAGGAGGAGCGTAGGCCCGTACTTCCTCGTGCCATTGGCTCAGAAGTACCCATTGTCTACCATGCAGCCTCTACGCGAATCCTGAGGTTGTTGCTCCCCTTTGCCGCTTGGCGACGCACACTGCTTCGGTCATGCACGCAGCCATTGTGTATTGACATCTTGTTCATCTGGAACGTGCAGACCATTGACCTCGTGGACGCTTGTGAGTGACATGTGAGCGGGACTGGTGTCCATGTACCCGTGAATCGTACGCAAAAGTGAGTTCGTAGTCGGTATTCGCAGGGGCCACGAGTTCATCCGCTCTGGTCGGGACTCACTCAGACAGCAGAAGTTGTCTGCATAAAGTGGGGTTCAGGGAGCAAGCTCCGGACCTCTTTGACACTTCGGCGTCAGTGCAGAGGGAACTGACTCAGGTGCTGCATATCAACTGTCACGCTATCACATTGAGGAATGCGACGTGCGACGTGAGGTTTGATCACCACAGTGTTGTTGTAATGGCTGCGTGGTGGAGCTGTCTTTGCCGCCGAGCAAGGAAAGTGGCCATCACCTTCTTACTCGTGTTCGTGTTTCCGGTACTACGGGTGAAGAAGCGTCACGTGTATGTGGGTTACAGACACACGCGCACTCATACGTGCACACACAGAAAGTCGCAACCAAAGCGTTTGGCTCTACCTGACGCCACTCGCTGATACATTTGCCCTCTGGCTCGCAGTTAGACGTCATTGTTGCCACGGATTCGAATACTCGTCACGTCATTGATAGTAAGATCCGACTTCGCGCACGGATCTCGCTGCAAACATTGCAGCATTTTAGCGTCCGACGATGGCCGCCACTTGACTGAGCGCAATGGACAGCAGAGTTTGCGTGCAGGGCAGTGCTGTAGGCCACCAATATCGGTGCTGCCGTTCTGACGAGCATAGGATAACCGAGTGGATCTTCAAGTTCTGCGCAGATGGATGCACACTGATTTGCATCGTTAAAATTGAGATGAGTAGCACGACATGCCGTGAATAACGTACATACATACAAAAGATACTTCTCGTGGATGTGTCGAGTAGATGGCCGACGTAAAGAGCTTGCAGAAGAGGAGAGAGAGCGACCTGGACGAGGGAGAATGTATCCTACAGCAACACACAACGTGCCAACATACTGATGCGTACTTGGGATACTGCCAGCGGCCTCGATATAGTCTGGAAAAGAGGGACACGAAGACTGCTATCAGTTGCCATGCAGGCAAGCGATACAGCACGAGCCGTTAGCTCTGCGGACAAAGGCGACGAGACGTCAGTCTGCGTTGGCCATTGTGTGACACAAAGGCACTCAAGTGTCTGTGCGTGGCGATCTTACTGATGACATACAAAATGCACTTTGCACCTCATCTTTTCCACATGGGATCGATCACGGACATTCGTGCAGATGCTGAACATCCTGCACGCCAACGTCTGTGCACGACCGTTGCTGCATCAATCGACACGCAAAAGTATCGACCGCCTCACGTCAAGTAATGCGACAGACGTCCGTCCATCGCAAGTGAATCTCAACTATCCCGTGTCTATCGTATCTTGCTCCTGTTTCAAACTTGTATTACGCACAGACACAGACACACACACACTCGCACGCGCTTTCACGGATCAGTGGTCCGTGGTCCATCCGGTACGGTGTACCATCGACGGACGTATCTTGTTCCCTCTCGAATCCGATACACCCCTCGCCCAAGTCACCATCGCGAGCCACGAGGGAGCAAACGAACCCGTGGGTTCAGCCGCCCGCCTGATTTCTCCCGGCCGCTGCTTGTCCCGTCCCCGCTCGGTCCCTACGCACTCACTTACGCACTCCCTCCCTCCCTCTCTGACCACGCGACTGACTGCCTCCTACCAACGAGATCATGGTGCTGTCTGTCCAGCGCATGTTGGCCCTAACGCTGTGCGTGTCGACGCTCGCGGCCTCAGAGGTCGCGCAGTCCTCTGCGCTGCGCACGCGTCGCCACCTCTTGGGCATTCACCACACGACCAAGTACGCCCCAGAGGCGTCGCAGCCGACCGAAGGACAGGAGGACCAGACCAAGGCCAAGGAGGAGGAAGAAGAGGCAGCGACCAAGGCCAAGGAGGCGGAAGAGGAGGCAGCGACCAAGGCCAAGGAGACGGAGCAGGAGCAGCAGGAGAAGACCAAGGAGAAGGAGCAGAACGACAGCGCGGACGAGTCGCACGATTCGACCGACTCGCACGACTCGCACGACTCGATTGGGTCGGACTCGGTGGACATGGAGCTCAAGGAGAACGAGGAGCTGGAGCTCAATAGCAGCGAAGACATTAATCTGGAGCTGGAGAACGGACCGGTGGACATGAACGTGGACCTCGAGTCCAATGAAGAAATGGACTACGACGGCGAGGGCGACCAGGAGATTGACCTCACGTCGGCGGAGAGCCTGGACTTTTCGGCGTCGGCCAAGCTCGAAGGCGAGGAGCAGATGGACACGGAGATTGAGCTGGAAGACGGCGCAGTGAGCTTGGAGCTCGAGGACGACGAGGACTACAACCAGGACCTCGACATCAACGACGACGAGGAACTGGACCAGGTCATTGACGTGCCGGAAGGCGCCAAGTCCATTCGTCTCCGTGTGCGCAAGGGCCACGTGGACCTGGACATCACCAAGGCTGCTACGGCAGACGTCAAGGAGCCAAAGACCGAGACGAAGAAGGAGGAGAAGGCTGCTACTCCGGAGAAGAAGCAAGAGCAGGCCGCTACTCCGGAAAAGAAGCAGGAGCAGGCCGCTGCTCCGGAGAAGAAGCAGGACAAGACGGAGGTTGTTGCCGCTGCATCGACCGAGAAGGCGGTGTCGTACGCCGCGGAGGCCAAAGACTGGTTCCAGGAGAACGGCAGCAAGCCCATCTTCCTCGGTGGTATGATTGGCGCTGCAGTAGGGCTGGTAGGTGTGGCTGGAGTGGCCATCGCCAAGGGCCGGAAGCGCGCCCCGGAGAAGTCGGTCTTGGCCGAGGACGCTATCGCTGATGCTGAAGCCGAGGCCGACGAAGACGATGCATCCGAGTCGGACAGTGACGAAGATAGCGACAAAGACGTCGAGGCTGGCGTCACGGCGCTTGCGAAGGAGGACGTCGCTGATGTGGAGGAGAAAAAGACGAGCGTCGTGGAAGGTTCAGTGTAAGTGGATTCCACGCCCTGTGAGCCGCAGCAGACAGGATGTCATGCCGAGCGAGTAGTATATTCTATAAGCAGCGTCGTCGAGGATCGCGATCGCGGCATCTCATTGTTTTTATTTCCTTGACAACAACAACGACGGCGGCATCAATCGCTCTTGCCAAACAATCGCACACCTTTTTGCATCGTCAATGTCTCTGCGTAAACGGCGTCCAAGAAGGTATCTGAGACTTTCACGTTCTTGAGCTCTGTCAAAAGTATCTTTGAGACCAGTCAGTGCGCAAGAAGATCCGTAACGACATGCACAGACTTTGTCTGGCACAGTCTTGTCGCACGCAGTGCTGTCTTGTGCAGTCACTTCCGAGCCGTTGGATGAGGTCACGGACATCGTATCGACGACACTTCGGTCCATTCAAATCAAACTCGCGATCTGCATGTTACACCGTTTGCACGCCGGACGTTCGGCTCTATCCTCTTTGTTCCCTTCTGATGATCCGCTTGTGTGTTTCATATGAGCAGCGAGTGGACATACCAGCAAAGTCCTTTCGAGCCAACAACGCTCGTGACGGCGCGAGAACGGTATTGACCATCGAAGCCTCGGCCCATACGACAAAGCAGAAGCAGAAGAGGCCGCGCACCACGAAGTTGGGTCTACGAAACGTCCATGATAGTTAGCCACGTGATCTCGACCAACGAGCCTCTGGTGGTAAGCCAGCATCACGCTGAGCCCTGTCCATGCTCGATTCCACCGCACAAGCATCAGCTCAATGGCCAGCACGTCCTGGGCGATGGATTGTGCCTCTATCTCCATATACACACGCCATCAACCGACCCGTTCACTCAAGCGAGAACAACTCGCCCCTCTTGCCCATCGTCAACTCCTGACTCGCCCAGTTTCGCATGGCCATGTTTCTTCCGTTTCTCACGCTTCCGGCGCTTGCGATTCTGTTTTTGACTCGCTGACAGCACCTTGCGCTTCGTGCCACCAATCGAAGTCTCAGCTTGCGCACATAAAGACGTCGGTGCGGCTCCGATACTTGCACCGGTCCACGCTCTCGTTGTCTTCTCGCTTCCGCTACCCATTACAACTGCACCACCGCCAACAGTAGCAACTCGTTCAAAATACGCCACAAAGAATCCGTTTGTCGAGTCCTTCAGGCCGTCTGCGCGTACGAGTGCCGCAGCCTGCTCACTCGACAAACCTGCGACCTCGAGACCACGACGTGGCCACGACGCTAACGCTGGTGTCAGCACAAAAGGACGTGCGGCACAAACGTTTTCCTCGGATGCCAATGCTGCAGCAACAACTTCTTCGTTCTCTTTCTGGAAAACAGAGCACGTCGAGTACACCACGCGCTCCACCTGCGGAAACGAAAACGCCTTTCGCAGCGCTTCAAGTTGGAAGTCCGCGAGCGACTGAAGACGCCTCGCCGTCTTTTCGTCATCATCCGTTGCACCATCAGCAGCCTCCAGAGCGGCATCACGTGCACCAGCGATATCGAGCAAGTGATCGAGACGATTCGTCATCCCCGAACCAGAGCATGACGGATCCAAGAGAATGCTGCGCACGTTGCGATACACGTCATCATCCACAGAAACATCCAAAAAGCTCTGCAGCTCAGCCTGCACACGATCGGCAGCGCCTGCGAGCTGCATGCGCTGCTTCAGCAGCTCCAGTCGCTTAGGCGATCGATCGAAAGCAAACACTCGTCGTTTTGCACTGGCACCGCCTTCCTCCTCACCCTTCTCCTGCTTCTGCAACAGCATGGCGACATGACTTGTCTTGTTGCCAGGTGCGGCGCACGCGTCAATCACGTCGCCCTGTTTATCCTTTGCATCGCTGTGCTCGCCATGCAGAACAAAGGCCGGAAAACAACTGGCCTTGTCCTGCAGCACCAGTTTGCCGCTCTTGACCATCTCGTGCTCGTGCAGCTCTGTGCCCGACGGCAGCACCAGCACGTCCTGCACATGTTCGTCGTGTTTCGCGTCAAACTCGCGCGCAAACGCTTCCGTCTCTTCAGGCGTAGCCAGCAGTGTATTGACACGCACGTATCGAGGCAGCGCGAGGTGTTGCTGGCGATTCTCAGGCGGCAACAGCGCCTCGTTGGTCGCCACTTTGTGCTTGATCTTGAGCCGCGCGAGCACCGCCCGGAACGTCGTCTGGTGCGGCGCGAGCGCTTTCTTCACGTACCCACCTCCCTGGACCTTCTGCCGACCAAACAAAAGGTCATAGAGCGCCACGAGCACCAGCGCAGGTGGTTCCTTGGCGTCTTTTGGCGTCTTGAGCGCCTTGTGACACGCGGGCACAGCTGCCAGCAGCTCGCGCAACAGCGGCTTGTAGCGCAGCGTCTCGCACACGAGCGCAAAGGAGCTGCGCTTGTGCACAGTGGACTCGGCGTACGCCAAGCTCTTGAGTCCGCCGTGACGCTGCGCCAGCTTGTGCAGCAGCGATGCCGCCTCCTTGTAGAGCTCACTCATGATGGAATGAATGACTGGACCGCTGGCTGGGATTGCCGTATGGCTACATTGTACCAGATGGCTACAGCAAAATGCGTTGCCGACCCGATCAAGTGTACAGCGCTACTTAATCAGGGAAGTTCAAGCGCGCTCGACGGCCAAGACGACATGCTGCTGGAAAAACCCGACGATGTCAAGCACGAGAACTCGTCGGGCACGGGTACGTGGCGATCGACGTGCCGCTGTATACCTTCCTATGTATGTTCTCTATTGACACGGAGTTTGTGGCGCGCTGTTCTGCAGTGTGTGCGATCTACAGCGTCGACGCGCACCCGACACTGAAGCTATTTGCAACGGCTGGAGGTGACAATAGCGTCAAGATCTGGTCGCTAGAGCCTCAAGACGAGGGCGGCATTGCGTCGTTTCAGCTCCTGGCTACATTAGCGAACCATCAGCAGGCTGTCAACTGCGTGCGCTGGGCGGGTCATGGCCGTTACTTGGCCTCCGGTGCAGACGATCAGCTGGTTCTACTCTACGAGTTACAGGAAGGCGCTCCAGCTCCTGTGCCTTTTGGCTCGAACGCGAGGATCAATGAGCAGAATTGGACGCGCTGCGCTACGCTCGAGCGACACACAATGGGTAGGGCTTGGCCCGTCTTTGACCCTTTCTTTTGTTTCCCGTCAAGACTGTCGAGACGCAAGCAATCTCATGGTGTTTCTCTCTCTCGCTTGTGATGACGTGCCGATGTGTGTATATACTGCAGACGTGGCGGACGTAGCCTGGTCACCGGACGACCGCATGCTGGCGACCTGCAGCATCGATAACACCATTTTGATCTGGGACGTGGGTGTTGTTGGAGGACTCAGTGATGTCACAACGCAGCCGATGCAGATGCTAACGGGGCACAACGGATGGGTCAAAGGTGTTGCATGGGATCCCGTCGGCAAAGTCAGTATGGTCGCTTGTGATGTCTATATCAACAAGCTGAAGTTGCACGACGTTGTTGACGGATGCGTGTTACTTCTTTTGTGGTCTAGTATCTGTCGAGTGCTGGAGAAGACAAGACGGTCCGGATGTGGAATGTGGCTGATTGGCAAGAAGCTGACATTGTCACAGAGCCGTTCGAGGGATGCGCTTCAACGTCGCACTTTCGTCGATTGTCGTGGTCGCCGGATGGCTCAGTCTTGTGCGCAACACACGCTTTCAGCTCCAAGAAGAACATTGCCGCTCTCTTAAATCGTGGATCCTGGACGAATGACTTGAAGTTTGTCGGCCACCAGGGTGTCGTGACCAGTGCTCGATTCAACCCCAAACTACTTGGTACGTCCACAAAGCGGTATCATACTTCGTACTGACAGTGTTTGATTTTGTGTCGACTTTGTCTACAGTGACAGCAGCGGATCCTGACAAGGAGTTTGCTTGTTGTGCTGTGGGTGGTGAGGACGCGACTGTTAGCATCTGGCTGGCTCATCTGGCACGCCCGTTGGCCGTCATCAAAGATTGCTTTGAGTCGTCTGTGACGGATCTAACATGGTCGAGTTCCCAGTCGCTCCTGCTCGCCTGTTCGCTTGATGGCTCTGTGTGCTGCTTTCAATTCGGTGGAGACGAGATCGGCACTCCCATTTCCGACGCCCAGCAGAGTAAGCTTCTGCAGGCAAAGGTTCGGTGACTGCTTTCTCCTCTTTGAGGTAGCTTGGTCAAAGTGCACTGATGCATGGCATGTTTGCGTGCGTGTGAAGTACGGATCTCGAGCCGGTATTACGCTCGCATCGACGTTAGCAGAAAACCCGATCCAGCTTCAGGTAAATGCTTGTGAGTAAGCAAGTCACTGGATCTGACTGCTAACTTGCTGAACACTTGTCGTAAGTTTAGCTTGAAGAGAAGTCAACGAATTTGTCACGAGCAACCCACGCGACAACTACGCTGATTCCGAAGAAGAGGGAGAAGATTGGTGGGGCCCACGTACCCAGTGTGTCGCATGGCAGGCCACTAGGCGGAGCGAGCAAGATGGATAAAAAGCGGATAGCTCCAATACTGCTTCAAGCGGACGTTCGGCTCTCAGCCAACAATCCAGCCTCGTCACAGAACAACATCCGCAACATCTTAGGCCCGACAGTCGTCTCACCGACGGCGTCGAACGAGGTCAGCGTTGTCCCTGCTGAAACCAATGGTGCTACTATAAATGCGCTAGAGTCTGCTTCAGACCATAGCGAGAAGACCACGCTTGCGTCTCAAGAGACACCTGCAGCAGGAACAAGCACTGACGCCAAACCATTGAGGACAGAGAAGAGACAAGGGAGCGATGGAATGTCGTTGAAGAGGAAAAGAGAAAACGAACGATCGTCTACTCAAGCCACCACCGCGGTACCAAAGTCAAGAGAGGTTGCTGCACGAGCACCAAAAGTGCTGAACGAAAGGTTTGTTGCCCTATTCCATATAACCCTGTCCGCATCACAAGTAACGCATGTGCTGACGACAGTGTGTTGTATTTTGGCAATCTTGGCCCTAGTGCTGATTCACACAGTAGGGATCATTTACTGCCTGAATTTCCAGCGCGGCTACTGTTCTCCGTGCAAATCGACACGAAGACAAAGCCCGGTCTCTTAGCCTGGCGATCGGATGGCGCGCTGAATGGCGACACAGGAAGCAGATTGGCGTCGTCGAAAGTGGTGATAGAAGTGACCGTTCACAACATGAAGAACCCTCAGCCAGAAGAGATCATAGGTACGCTGCGACCGATGTAGGTTGGCTTGTTCACGTGATTCGGCTACTTGCTGACACTTTTGCGCAATGTGGTGCTACAGAGTTAGGTCCGGTGTTTTCGACGATCGTATGTTCCGAGGGAAGTCAGACGAGGTGGATCGATCGTGTCCCCGGTCGTGCCGTTTGCGTAGTGGGAAACGAAAGCTACTGCGCAGTCGGTATACACAATGGCGACCTGCTGATTCTCAGTGGCAATGGCCGACGCTTATTTCCATGCATTGGTATGTATGCGAGCCATCCGAATCTTGCTTTTCGTGGATTGACGTTCGCTTTGTTGCACTTTTCGTAGCCTTGGGCAGTCCGATATCCGTGATGGAGTGCAGTGTGAGCGATTCACCTTATTTGTTGGTGATACTGATTACCGGAGAACTAAAGGTTTGGGATCTGGCCGAGCGCCGACTCGTTCTGTCAAGCTCAATCGAGGCAATCACAAACGTACGTCTCGCTTGCGTACTTCCACCGGCGGTGCTTTTGGCTCTTACTTCTTGCTCATGCTGTGTAGACCACTCCTGAAGAAGACCGCAAGTTGACCATTCTCCGATGCCAAGTCACAACGAAGGGGATGCCGCTTATCACTTTTGCCGAGTCAAGCTCCATAACGAAAGGCAATTCCAAGTTGCTGTCGTACACGTTCGATTCGGCTATGTCATCGTGGTATGTATCTGTGAACGAAATCTGATCGATGCGCGTGCGGGAAACCGGTCTCACTGATGTGCTATTTCTATTTGCATAGGATGCGCGTGGCGGACGAGAGCTTTGTATACTCGGATTTTGCGTCGGCACTCCCGACAGATGCAGTAGCAGTCAAGAGCATTCCTGTAACACATTTACAGAGAGTTTGTCGTTGCTGGCCAGATACTGACTACAGCCGACTTTGCCTTGTGGTCGCTAGATTGGTCCACTACGGCGGCTCCAAAATGCGTCTGGGTACGGTCGAACACAGAAAGGGATCGCTTCGGCCATGCTCTTCGGAATGTCCGACGCTTTATTGCAGCGCAATGTGACGCGCTCGCACCTCGAGCACCAGGCCGCCGCTGCAATTGTACTGAAGAGCTCGACCGAGTATCGCTACTGGTATGTTTCGACTACCACGATCGCACATGCATGCCGCTGTGGGCTCATACCCTCTTATTGCCACGATTGACAGGGTAGAAGCATACGCGCGGTTTCTGACGGTTGACGAAGACGTGACTCGACTCGACGAGCTGTGTGCCGAAATGATGGGTCCTTTCCATGCGTACGTACTGTAGGGTACGACTATGATTGATCGAGCAAACTCGCGCGTGACGTTTCGCTCTCGCAGGTCGTCTGCTCCAAGCTCAGATAGTGGCACAACGTCCACTCTGCGTATCGGCGGGACTAGCAAGTGGGACCCTATGGTTCTGGTATGCGGCCCACACACCTGCTTCATTTGCAATTGTCAACTCGCCAATGTGGTACTTTTTGCACTGACGTCTTGGATTGACGACAGGATCTGGCTAAACGGGACTTGTTGAAGGCAAACATTCTGCCGACAATTGCGGCGAATCGCGCGCTGCAACGCGTTGTGACGAAGTATCAGACAATGTTGAGCGAGATCGAGTCTCGCGAAAAGGACGACGAAGACGAGGAGCAGTAGCCGCAAGAGTCTGGTGACACCCATGATCGATGGCTAGGCTTGTTCCACTCATCTTGGGACCAGTGCTTGTGCCGAGTGCCCAGCGCTCCAACCAGCAGCTTGGTGCGGGTTCTGGTGACATGTCCGTCCAGCAGCAGTTGCTGTTCCGTCCAGATCTTGAATCGAAAGATGCGTCCGAAGCAGTGGCGGTCACTGGAGTCAACGCTTTATCAGGTCTCAGACACGCTTGCGGCTGGAAGCAGACGGCAACTTAAGGCGTTTCATTTCTGTACCTCGATGCCGATTTGCTGCTCCTTGCCTCTTTTCACCGTGACTTCAAGTGAGACGGTCTCGCGTACGATCGATATCGTAGTGGATTGAGACCGGTAAGACGTCGGTCTCGATTTTGTCAACTGATTGTAAGGTTCAAAGCGTCTCGCAGCACGTGCTCTCGTGATATATCTGCCCACGTGCATATTTTTTGTGAACATTTTGAGTCGGCGCAACATTCATGATCGCTTTCCCTCCATGGCTGCGTGCCGTTGCGTGGGCGCTAAATTAGTATCACATTGTTTCCGAGAATGTCAGTAAAAGCAGCGTTTGTACGACGATAGCTCTTTTTTTACATTGAGATGCAGACACAACATCTACACAATCCGTCTGACTTATGTCGATGCTGTGCCTACAATCGAATGCGATACTTTTGCTACTTGACAAAAGCTTCCAAGTCTTCTCGTCTCGTTGACCACGTCTTCGTCAACGTCTCGGACCAGCAAAAACATCATTCATTGCATACACCCACTTGCGTTTGCGCTTGCAGCGCGTGACATCGATAAGAGTTGCAGGAAAGCTGTCGACTGCCAGCGTCGATCGTGAGCGCGTACGATGCTTTATGCTTTTCGCCGTGTTTGTGAATTCAATCGCTCTCCAAGCGTGTTTCTTCGCAAGACGCAGAGCCACATTCTCTCTGCCACACGTCTTATTTTCCGTCCAGATACAACGTCGCAACCCTCTGCCGTTGGACCCAAGTCCACGATTCTCCTGAGGTTGCATGCATTCATGCCATCGAGAAGGACGTGGGCTTTTCGACAACTGTGAGCATCAAGAGGTAGAAATGCCATGGAGTTCCTGGGAAACTGCGACACAAGATGAGGGCGTTTGTCTTTCAGGCCGACGACGCTCGTGACAGATCTTGGCTAGTGCAGTGTTCGTCGAGTTTACCTGGTCGCGTGTGGAGAAGGCCAGACTAATGCACTGGACGGTAAAAGGAAAAGTGAGAATTTGGTGAATGCGGCACCCGGCAGCATGTTGCCACAAAGTATCAAAGAAACAAAAGACGGTCAACTAGTTTCCTTTGCTGGTGTTGCTGCAACATTGTCGACGTTCGATAAATATGGCGGCATCACCGGGTTCAGTCCGTCGCCAGATTCGACCCGCGGCTACTGGCGCGACTTGTGTGGCCAACAGGCAACAGGCAATCAAACGAAATCTACACAATGGCTTCTCGCCGACAGCAAGAAAGCCATTTTGTGGAAGTCGTTGACACGGGCAGAGCTACGAAACGTGGAGTTGCATCGTGGCAATCAACCAAGATGTATGGTAAACATAAAGTAGTCGAGACTACGACACTGATGGGGAGAAAAAAGAGACGAGGCGAGGCCACGACGTGCATCGACCGAGTTCTCGGACAGCGCTTTTTCCCCGCAACCTCCGCCTTCTTACCAGAAAGTAAGTCTTTATCGCGGCAAGAAACGTTTGGATCGCACCCTTGCGACCCTGCTGGACTCAGGCGGTGCTGAAGCGGACGTAAAATGCTGGTTCGAAAATTGCTGCGCACACACGCGCTGCTTCAAAGCGCACGTGCTTTGCATCACAAAGGCCTCCCACCACGGGATCCAAATGAGCTACGCAAAAAGAGCAGCGGTGACCTAACGTCAACGTTGTCCCGATGGCACGGCACAAGTCAAAGCGTAGTCGATACCTTACAGTACGACTCATGCTTGAAGCAAGGCGACGTACTCGCGAGCACACAGCGCTCCCCGCACTGACCATAGTCCAGAAAGTTGCCCTGCTAGCTTCGGTGGCAGAGGAGAACTCCTACATCTGATCTTAGTGTCTGCAGCCCCTAGGTTCTGCCATCATGCCCCACGAAGCTGTTGTGTGATGATGACTGCGGGACCTTATGACGGTAGAAGTGAACGACGACGTCAGGACTCCCCGAAGAGCTGTTGCAGTCACTTCTTGTCCGTCGTTGAACGATACACGCGGCCGCTTTCTCTTCTTTGCCTTGTGTTGTAGCAAACCATCGCCATCTGGCAGGGTGTCAACTGCTCTGGCGCTGCCTAGTCGCACGTCACCCAGACAAGTCGCCGATTACGTGCAAACAGTACGCCTTTACACGCTTCGCGGCAGATCCGTTGCCGTAAACAAGTTCAGACTGCTGGTCAAGAGCACGCCAGCGCTTGCAGCAAGGTTGTTCGTTCGTTCGTTCTATTGAAATCGTTCGGAATAATTTATCGGTACATGCAAATGGAAAACGGCAAACAACACGAAGAGGAGCGCGAGCCAACACGTCATCGATGTGGCGGCTGCCATTTACACAAGGCAACCGTATTCGGGCGAGATGTGGCGGAAAATGTCGTCGTCGAGACCCTCGAGTCCACGCGGAGCACCGACGTTCACGGCGGATCCCTTCTCGGGCATCAACGAGCTGGCAACGACCGTCGGCGGCGCGGCACTGACGGCTGTTCTTCGCATGGCCATAGTCGGTGACGGCTGCAGCGAGAAAAAGTCGTACGAGATGGCATCGAGAGAGTAGCCACACGACGGATGGTCGTTCTCTCCGTACGTGTCCATTGTAGAGCTAGTGAGGTCGCAGAACGGGTCGTACAGCGTGTCAAAGCCTAGCCCCGGCTGCATCGACAGCACTCCTGCATGGAACTGGTTGTACTGCGCACGCACGTGGTGGCCGCTCGCTGGGTTCATGGCCATGGGCTCGCCGGCAAACAGGTTGTCAGGCAACGGGGCCGACGTCGACGACGGCGAGTCCGTGTACAGGTGTTTGCTCGCTTTGTGCCGACTCTGACCAGCAAAGTGCTCGACGACGGGCTGCGGACTCTGCGAGCCGCACGACGAATCCTCGTCCGAGTCGTGGTCGTCCAGCACGGGGCTGCCGTCCGTGTCGCCGTGGAAAAAGTGGCTCGAGAGGAGCTGTCCGTGCGGGTCAATGCCGTACGTCTCGGGCGACAAGAGCCGCTTGAGCTGACTCTGGTAGCCTGCAAACTGGCGCAGCTGTTTGTCCGAGAGCGGCGGCCCCGACCCGTCCTGCGTCTGCTGCTGACACTGCTCGAGCTCCTGCAGCGAGCGCTTGAGGCTGCGGACTTTCCGGTACGGCCAGTGGCGGATGCCGATGGCGCGACACCGTTTCTTGAACGCCGTCGCGCGCACACCAAACTGCTCGGCCGCGACTTTGAGCGGCAAGTGGAAGTGGCGACTGAGCGCGGCAAAGTTGCACGGTGCAGCAGCAGCGACCGCCACCGGCAGCGTGGGCGACAGCGGCCCGTCGGTCGGCACGGGGGAGTCGTAGGCCGCGCGTTTCTTAAAGTTGTGCGCGACCACTTGCATCCGGAGCGACTGCTGCGCCTTGTCGGCCGTGGGCGAGTGGAACGTGACGTGCGCGTTGCTCCGCGGGTCCGTCGTGGGTGTGGGTGTCGCGGGTAACTCCATCTCCATACTGAGCGGACGTGTGTGTGTGCGTGCGTGCGTGCGTGGGAGAGAGAAGAGAGAGGGCGGGGCGACGGCGATCGGTCAAAGACGAGGAAAGGCTCAAAGTCGCTGGGGGTCCACGTGGGGCGGCCGTAAATCGGGAAATGGACTCCACTGCGACGGCTGCGGAGCGTCCGCTGACGTTCGGCCCTGCGCCGACGAAACGGAGCTGCTCGGGTCGGAAACGGCGCGGCGTTTCTATTTCTAAACCGGGATCTTCCACGTCAGCTGCCCATCACGAGGCTCTGCCCTTTGAGGATTGCAATTAAATTTCCAAATCTTGCTGCCTGCGCGTGCAGAGTGGGCCGTGCATAGACGACGCGAGGGCGCGGCAGACGAGGGCGGCGGCAGACGCGCCCTGGCAGCGCCTTCCACGACGACGGCTCTGGATGGAGCGATCTTTTCGTGCGGTAGCGCTACGACGTGGGCGAAAGCTGACTCGAGGTCGAGCGCGCTGTCAGTCGATGGAGAACGGGGACGTCGGGAGAGAGACTTGTCAACGCACGAGCGTCTATCGAGCTGCATATGGCAAAGGCACTCGACTGCTTCTACCGTCCCCCCCACTTTGATGATGATACACACATGCCACTGCACATGCATTCTCTTATACATTCCTACGCACACGCGTAACTTCAACTGCCTGTTGCGCCGGCAGCAAAGCGCGTGGAACAAGCACTTGCTCGGTCGAGGCCGGGGGCAGCAGGCGAAACGACGACAAAAAGGGCTGTTACGAGCAGAAAGGCGACGCGAGTGTGTGTGTGTGTTTGCGTGTACGTGTGTGTGTGTGTAGGTGCAATCCGGGAAGGAGAATGAGTTGAAACCGATATGACAGCCACAGGCGTTACGTGTTTGGCTGGTTCCGGCAGCAGGGGCAGCGTCTGGTTCTACTTTGTAGCAACTGCGAGGTCCTGTTGCCGTTACAACAGACCACCACAACTGACGTGCGTGCTTGCGCGGCTAACTCTGTCTCCTTTACTCGGAACGCGCACGCGAAAACAACAGCCGACCGACACGTTCTCATCACGGGGGGCGAACGTCGATAGAAACGTGGAAAATTTGCCGCAAACCAAGAGAAGAAATCACGCGGGACATGTCGGGACAAAATCGCAACAGTACCTGCTGTTGTACCTGCCGTTGTTGCGGCCCCACCTGCGAGTTATGCGAGCGGAGATTCAATCGACCGAGAAAAGTTGGCGGCAACAGCCTCCGCCAACGAACTCCACATGATCGCGCTGTCATTCGCTGCCGAGTAGTCCAGCGTGTCGGCGTTCCACATGCCGACGCCGCGCAGCCCGAGCTCGCGAACGAGGGCGTACTTGTCCCTCAAGCTGCGCGGATTGTCGAACCAGATCTGCAACGGCTGCCCCTCTGACGAATACGAGACGAAAGGCGTCTGTGTCACTGGGTCCCATTGTTCGACAAGCCCTTGGCGCTCGATCAGTCGCCGAATGTCGCCGTAGTCCACTTGTTGACCGGTTGCGTCGCTGCAAGGGGCACCAAAGAACGGCATTGGCTCGATCGGACACCATGGAGCGTTGTCAAGTCCTCCTCCCTCTCGTTCGAGACACTGATAGCGATAGCCGTACCATGGCACGCCCAGTACCAGTTTATCTGGCGTGACGTCGTACGCGAGAAGAAACTCTTGCAGTCCTTGCTTCACGAGCGCGAACGGCGAGTTGGCGCCAGCAACGCACGTATCGTACACTTGACTGCGCATGTCGTACGACATGACAAACAGAAAGTCGGCAGCGAGACTGAGCTCGCGCCACGGATAGTAGCGGCCGTCGATGCCTCGAGGTGCCCAAGGCACGTCAAACGTGATCTGCAGTTGTATGGGTAGCGCGCATGGTTCCGACATTAACGCCATGGTCATCAAATGCCTCGCAGGTCAGCCACACACAAGCACAACAAACCTGCGCGTTCATCGTGAGTGCATGCTGCTCGAGCTCAACACGCAGCTCGTTCACGAGCGACCCGAGGCAACGTGAGGTGGCCCCGTGCATGGGCTTCTCCGTGTCAATGTTGACCCCATCAGCGTAGTTCAGCACGATCTTCGAGTAGGCTGCCTAGAACATCGAATGCCGTGCAGCGCAATGTATCAGTGACATCATCTACCGGTTGCGTCGTGTCCATTCTGACTGCTATGTACCTTGATCCAGTCCTGCCGTGCAGTCCCGTTGCACAGTTGGAGCACATCGTCAAAGTTGTGTTTCACCACCACCTTCACGCCTTTGCTGTGCGCATGACAGAGCAGCTGCTTGTCTTCGTTCCAGGCTACGGTTGTGAGCTGACAAGAAGAGACCACCACACACACCTCTGTCAGTTGGAACAAAAGCCCCAAGTGCGTGGCTCAAAGCCCCTCAACGGTGTGCACGTGCGTACCGCGTCCCAGTCATAGTGCCTCCAGCGATCATCTGTTGCGACAGAAAAGGCAAACACTTCGTTCCGAGCCGTTTTGCCACTGAAATCGATAGGGAGACACAGTGACAAAAGGCTGAGCTCGCTACGGCTATCGCTGCTATTGCTGTTCGAGCACGGGCAGTCGCGCAGACGAGCGCGGTCCTCGTGCGTCAAGCGGTCCTCAAAGAGCCTCTCGAGCTCATAGACCCGAACAGCGTGAACGAGGCCCGCAGCCGTCGCTAGTAGCAGTAGCAGCAATGCAACAAGCAGTCGTAACGGCAGTAGCAGCAGTAGCATCGATGGGTACAAACACACAAACGCGCGAGCGAGCGACGACGCGGTTGTACCCAAGTTGGCGTGCGCTGCTCGAGGGGGGTACATGGTACCACTGACGATCTGATTTGATTACGCACAAAGCAAATGATTGCAGCGCAGAAAACGATTATCTTTCGGTGGTCGGACCCTACCGACCTGCACTGGTCATGCGCGATGGGCACGAACGCCGTGTCACATGTGAGGAATGGGAAACTGGGAAGAAGCTATTGCTGCATAGATCGGACGGTAGCTGGCACGCGCTTGCAGCCGCCGTGGATCGTCGCTCAGTCGGCAATGATTGTTGCTAAGAACATGAAGCAATGTACGTGTTGTATATTCCTGTCGAGAACGACGGGGGCGCTCGCTCGCGACTTGCTGCTGTGTCTTGTTGCAAGCTATAACAAGTTTTGGCGTGCGCAGCTGTGCTCGTAGGACTCCATCTATAACCAGGACGGAGAACGCAGTACTTTGACACTGGCTGCGGTACACTGACAATGATGTCATCGCAGACTACATCGTCGTAGCTGCAGGAGTGGAACTTGCACTCGCCATTTGATCGAGCGAAGATGTGAGTCCGCTACTCACAGAGTCACACGATTGATCGGTTGCCGGAACCTTATCAGTGCGACGTCAGCGACGATGGTCGAGTAACAAAGAGGAACATACCAAAGTCCATACGGTACAAGCTCACGCGAATGAGAACTTTGATGCATCGAATTGTCTCCTCTGATCGTCATGATGGTCATGGCCGTTACGATGTATGATGCATCGACGCTGACACGTCGATGCGCTCATGACTCGTGCAGACCAAACAGAACTCTCAGCGGGACGCGCGCAATCTCGACGTTACCAAAAAGACAAGCCTTCACGATAACGGCCAACGAGTACCGCTCCCTCACGGCTTGTCTGTACGCGTGAAACCTTCACCGATAACGCAGAAAAACGATTAGACCTCAACTTCCACATCCGCAAGTAACGGCAAACGAACCTTGTAAACTGCGACATGAGACTGGACGCAACTGGCACAAGCTCGAAAACAGTCCACTGACTGACGAGTCGATCATTTGTGTCCCATGACGCAAGTGCTTGTCGTAACTTCTGCCGGTGTCGAGCTTCCCGTTGCGGCGATCGATCGCATATGCCACCGATTTCTATAATGGTGTAGTTGGCTGACGGGTCTTTGTTTTCTTCTAGCTGCATTCCGACAACAAAAAAGTGCGGGTCCCACGCACGGTAGGAGAGCGAAGCCAGTGGCAAAGAGCTCACTACCACGACTGGTAGCCAAAGCAACAGCGACACGAGCAGTATGCTGCCACGCACACCCGCGAAGAAAGCAAAGAACACCAAGTTGGTGGTCACGAGGAAAACCAAAATGGTGAAGAGCAGCGTGCCCAGCAGGAGCTGGCCTACGTCGTATTCACACGAGTCCACGCGGTGACGCAATACATTGACCTTCTTGCCCAAGAAGAGCTTTGACAGCGACGAAAACAGTCCGAATTGCAGGCTGTTCAGCTTTGCGAAATAGAGGTAGATCCAACGCGAGTGCCACGTAGTGAGGTTCAGCAGATCCGACATCAGCACTAACTGCAATGTCAAGCCCACGCGCCCGGACGCTCGCAAGAGTGTGTGGCCTAGACCTTTGCCGCTCACCAGTGGGAGGATCTCGGCAAAGACGTAACTCCAGATATTGAACCACAAGAGGATACCGTTCCCCAATATGGAAGCCAGTGGCTTGTTCAGCTTAAAGCCCGCAGGTGCGCCCATTAGCCACTCCACATTACCTCGTAGCAACCCCACCATTGTAGATGGAAAGCTACCCAACACGCAGCACCTGTCATTCATTACGCACGTTAGAAAAGGGGCACATGTAGCTGCAACAATGTCATCCTCATGATGCTTACACGTTCATGGTGCAGAATGTTGTAGTCGCCATTTGGTCCAGGTACGTCAGTGCTACGTGTCCGAGCAACATGTCGAAAAGCATAAAACATATCCAGTTGAGCACTTCTAGCAGCTCCAGTTCTGCAACAACGCATCATGTTGCCGTTCGTCAGATACAAGTGCCACGACCTCGAGCAGCGCTTCACACACTTACGTTCTCGGCGCGACAGCTCTCGCTCTTTACGCAAACGGTACAACTGCCGCAGACGTATGGGCAAACTCGCTGCGTTGTGCGCTTGTTGAGTCAGCACCGCCATGAACGTCGAAAGGTCCTGATACAACACAAACACACACAAGATGCAAGAACAAGAGCCTTCAGTCCGACATCATCGTTATCTGCGTCTTCAAGTGCATGTCCAACGCCTACCGCCACACTCTTCCCGCCACCAGCCGGAAACCACATTGGAAAGTGCATATCGTGTACAAGGCGCTGACCCGCAGTCGTGACCACCAGCAGCGCCGTGAAAGGCACGTAGAAGGAATAGTATCCCACCGTCTCCACCAGCCACGTGATTGTTGCGCTGGTCCCACTTGACGCTGCAGCCGCTCTTGTCTCGCACTTGTTACTACCAGAGAATCGCTCGCCAATCTGCTGCATCAGATGCGGCGAGTGAAGTGTCTCAAACTCTCCGCGGGCCGCGACGTGCGCGTCGAAGAGGACCACGTGACGGACCGTGCGGACGTTTGTGGTCGACAGCAGCACCTCAAGTCCACCAGAGACCTCTTGTTGCAGCTCCAGCGACACGACGCACAGGGCATCTTGAGACAATCGTTGGCATACTGCAGACGGTACGTGCGCAGCCGACGCGCACGTCGACGACGTCCACAAATGCCGCGGCCAGTACACGACTTTGCAGTCGGTCATGTTTTGACCAGATCCGCTGCGTAGGTGGGTACACAAACCAGACTATAAATAGTACCGTGTGGCCACCAGATGGGTACACTCGTCCGTCACCCACACGTGATGGTGCCCGTCCCTCCCGCACTATTCGCCGCGACTGGACGCTGTCGCTGTTGATTGGCTGTTTCCCCCTTACCCTACCCCACCCCTCTCACCTTTCAACCCACGAGCAGACCCATTTCTGTTAAGCCCTTACTTTTTTTTGCGCAGTGGGTTCATTTCCAGAGTGTACCCACGACGCCACGCAATGGACTTGGAAGGCTTCACGTCGCGCGCGTGGCTCAGCCACTGGGTCTCGGGCGAAGACGAGCCCGTGAACAACTACTACGAAGACCACAAGCTCATGGAGGGCGCGCTCATTAAGCTCGGCGACTACGCGCACTTCCGCTACTTTCTGCTGTTCCGCAACGGGCGCTTCTGCTACTACGAGCTGCCCATGCCCGCCGCAGCGCCAGGAGGCGGAGGACCGGAAGGGCCCAAGCGCGTGCACCTCACGATCACGTCCAAGCACCTGCGGGGGGTCATGATGCTCAACGCGTCGGTGAACGCCAAGGATCTGGCCAAGAGCGAAGACGAGTACGACGCCGACCTCGTTAAGCGCGGGCTCGTGTTCAACCGCAAGAAGCTCGAGATGCAGCTCAGCGGCTACTCGCCCACGGGGCAACTCATGTGCTGGAAACTACGGGCGGGGAAAGACGCCGTGTACGTCAAGTGGGAGCGTGCGTTTCGATTGGCACTGCGGCCCATTTGGGTTCAGAATTCCAAGTGCTGTATGGTCTGCAAGAAGGAGTTTGGCTTTTTCATCCGGCCGCATCACTGCCGGTACGTTGCAGCAATGACAAGTTGGTCGCGTGCTGCTGCTGATGTTGTGATTGTTGTGCTTGTTTTGGGCCCCGACGTCGACTCGGCTGTTTGTTTCGTCCACTGTTGTGCAGCAAGTGCGGCACGTGCATGTGCGACGAGTGCTCGGTGTTTGTCCCGCGACTGCCGATGCAGGGGTACTATGAAGAAGTTCGAATCTGCAGGGACTGTTCGCCTGTCAAGATCCAGCGATCGGCGCTGAAGTTAGGCACGCTTGTACTAGTGTATGGGATTTTGGTTGGCCGAGTCGTGCAGGTCGATGCCGCCGATGACTCTGCGGACGGACGTGCGTTCGTGAATGTGGAGCTTGTCAAAAAAGGCAACCAGCTCCAGCGATTTCCACTAGAGCGCGTTGAGCTGTACTCGGATGCAGTGTTGTCAGCCAACCGTATCAAGAATGCCATCCGGCAGCACCTCTCGTACGCTGTCTTTCGTACGCAGCTCAATTTCAACACATGGAATCTGCTGGAAACCGTGCAAGAACAGCGCACGGTGCAGATGGTACGGATACTCAATAAGTCGACGAGTGTCAACGAACTTCACTCGATGGTGCCGATGCTCGGCACGCTGGACATGATGCAGTTCCCTGACGATGACGTTTCGGAAGAGAGTCGTGTGAAAAAGTCGCTCTCGCATTATCGAGGTGTCCACGTCTCGTTTCCGCTGCGCCTTGATACGGCAAAGAGGCTGATCAATCAGTTTCGCAATGGCATATTGCTGCATCGCGTTTTCGTGCGGCAGATCCTGGATGAATCCGAACGCTTGTTTCGGACCGTGCACCAGTCACCTATGAATGAGATCGAGATACCGATGGGTGTGCAGCTGGTCGTAGTAGGCGATTTGCATGGACAGTTGGAAGACCTGCTCACAATCTTGGACAAGAACGGTATACCAAGCAGCAAGACATGGTACCTGTTCAACGGCGACTTTGTCGACCGTGGATCGCACGGAGTCGAAGTCATCTTGCTTTTGCTGATTTTCAAGCTACTGTACCCCAACTTCGTCTTCTTGAATCGCGGAAACCACGAGGAACAAATGATCAATGAGGCTTTCGGATTCGAAGATGAGGTGCACATGAAGTACGGTACTGACAACGATGAAGTCGCGGGATGGTCCGGTCCAGGCACATCACTCAACTACTCGCCGATGAAGCTCTTTCATATGTTTGAGACAGTGTTTGACTTGTTCCCGATCTTCGCACTGCTGAACAAGCGCATCTTTATTGTGCATGGCGGGCTAAGCAACCACGAAAACGTCACGATCGATGAGCTGCTTCAGCTCGACTACAGGCGCAATATTCCGACACAGGGCACAAGCCGTGCGGACGAGATCTTTACGCATTTGATGTGGAGTGATCCAGGTGGCGAAGACGGGTGGAGACCGTCAAGTCGAGGAGCTGGTGTCGAATTCGGTCCCGATATCACGAAAGCGTTTTGCGCGCAGAATGGATTGAGTCTCATCATCCGGTCGCACGAGTGTCGAGCAGAAGGATTTGACATCGTCCACGACGGTCTACTTCTGACTGTGTTTTCAGCATCGAGCTACTGCGGTTCTCAGACCAACAAGGGTGCTTACGTTCAGCTGGAATTGGGAGAGGACGGTGAAATCGAGCCTCACGTGGTGCAATACTCTTCGCAGCCGCTTCAGCAGCTGAGAGATGCAGGGCGAAACGAGTGGCGTAAAAAAGCGCAGCGATTGGAGCGGAGAACGTTGATGTCTTTTGTCGAGATCATTTGCGAAAAGAAGAATGCGCTGCTCGCTGCTTTCAACGAGCTCGACGCGACTGGTTCTGGGCGCGTGACGAAACTCGAGTGGAAAGCAACTTTGCAGAAGGTCATGGGTATCCAAGCAAGCTTTCTGTCGTATTTCCATCAACTGGCGGAAGAAGATAAACAAGGCGGCGTCGATTACCAGAAATTCCTCAATCGCTACACTGTTGAGCTTGATGGCGGCAACATAGAGTGGAGGCGCAACTTGATCCGCAAGGTCTGGATGGGCTTTTGCCAAGCGCTTCCCCATCCGTTTGCTGAAAAGACGACGCTGCAAGACAAGCTTCACTTTGCTTTTAACCTATTCCAGTCGCCTGGGACTGCCAACCAGGAACTCACGGCAAGGTTCAACTCGAAGGCGGATGAAGTCGGCTTACCTGGTAGTCCATTCTCGCATGGCGACAGACCAAAGGAGAGCCACGCGCACAATAACCTGGTCACGTACGACGTGTTCCGGAACACCATCCAGGGCGCGTTGCAGCTCAACGACACCCTTTCCGAGCAGCAGATATTCGAGCTCATGCAACACCTCGACCAGAACTGTGACGGTGTGATTGACTACCACGAGTTTTGCTCGTTCTTTGCCGAGTTCAGTCGTGCCGACTATTTGCAGGAAATTTTCGAGGTGGATGACACGAACGCTATCTTTCTCCTAAACCGCTGCGCCACACTATTGCAGAGATCAAACCAGTTTGCATCGTTGCAGGATGCATTCGAAGCATTCGATCACAGCAAAACGGGCAAACTGACGGTAGACGATATCCTAAAGGGAACGCAGGAGCTGGGCATGGTACCGGAGCTGGACAAGGACGAAGCACAGCTACTGTTCAACTCGATCATGCTCAGCTACTACGGCATCAACGAGCGTCGTCAGTGGGACAAGCGGGGACTGAACTGGACCGTGTTTGAGGACACGTTTTCGCCCGACAGTACGTTCCAGCGCCGTCTGTGGTTGACAACGCTTGGTGCGTCAAACACCAACTTGGCTGGGCTGGACGGTCGAGATTCCATGTCCTGGGACGACGAGCCGCCCGCGCAAGACGAGCAGCAGCCGTCGACATGGGCCGATACGTTTGTTGACGGCGTCAAGCAGTCGCTGCACGAGCAGCGGCTGTACATTAAGTTCCTGTTCCGCATCTTGGACCGCAAGCGGCACGGCTATGTGACAAAGCAGCAGTTCATTGCGACGATGCAGGCGGTCAACGAGGAGCACGGGGCGCCTTTGAAACTGGTGCAGCTCGAGCAACTGGCGGACGCGTTTGCGTGCCGCAAGACGGTGCGGCGCATGTCCAATGCTGGCGACGACAGAGAAGAGACGCGCACGTTCGTCTCGTATCCCGAGTTTCTTCGCAGCTTGCGCATCATTGACGCGGGACCGTCAGAGGCGCACGACCATGTCGCTGCACAGGACGAGCGTGTCGCACGTTGACGGGTTGGCACTGTTTTGTGTGAGTGTACGTGGGGGCGACATGTGGGTTCAGGATGTGCACGAAGCACAGGGCGGGCGGGTTTTCATCGCGCGACCTTCGTGCGACCTCCGCCCGCGCTCGCTTCTCCACCAGTCAAAAGCCCGTGAAGCGGCGCCAGGAGCTCTTTTCGAGTCATTCGCCAATCTCTTTCCAAGTCGCGTCCCTCTTTCACTAGCAAGTAGGTACGTGTGATGGCATCGAATAGCGCGTGTAGTAGTACTAGAGAAGCCGCGCGGTAGTTTGCTCTCTCGAGCAAACTACCGCGCGGCTTTGGAGGCGCCGCTCGTCTACCGCACCGCTGCACTCGTGTCCCTCGCTCTGGTTGTCAAAGCGGGTAGCGAGCGCGGGCGTAGACGGCGGCTGTCCTTGGCTCGTTACAGTAGGCATTAATGCGTTCTGTGTCGTTTGTGTTTCGCCCCGCTAGCCATGGTGCGCATGAGCGTGTTGGCCGACTGCCTCAAGACGATGTACAACGCTGAGAAGCGTGGCAAGCGCCAGGTGCTCATCCGCCCGAGCTCGAAGGTGATTGTCAAGTTCTTGCAGGTCATGCAGAAGAACGGCTACATTGGCGAGTTTGAGATCGTCGACGACCACCGCGCCGGCAAGATCGTGGTGGAGCTGAGGGGTCGCATCAACAAGTGCGGCGTCATCTCGCCCCGCTTCGACTTGAAGCTGGCCGACTATGAGAAGTGGATCAACAACCTGCTGCCTTCGCGTCAGTTCGGTCACATTGTGGTGAGCACCACGTACGGCATCATGGACCACCACGAAGCCCGCCGCAAACACACGGGTGGCAAGATCATTGGCTTCTTCTACTAGACGGAAAGCAGACGTGATACTGACGCGAGGTGCCTAGCGCGACGTAGGTCGTGTCTTGCAGAAAGGAGAGAGGTAGCGTATCGGCAGTGGCTAATGTGAAGGAACTTCCAGCGATGCTGCTTGTATTTTGATCGTAAGAGTTTGTCAGCGTTTGCTCCACTGCGTCGACTCTTCTTGTCGTCTCGCAGGCGACGTTGCTGAAACGCTCTGCGCGTGTGCAAGCAGGTGTCACTGCACGTGCGTATGCAGGAGCGTGGTCGATATCTGTTCAGGCACGGCAGGACGGTTCCATGCTGAACGGCATTCAACTGCAAAGAATCGATTAGTTGCCACATGCACATGCACTTGTCAGTCTACTCGACAGCTTTTAGCTTGCGGTCCATTGCTTGTTCTTGCAAAACGTCTACAACGAAGCGAACGGAAAGACAAAGTGATGGCCATGTACAACGCGGTAGACTGCGACGAATGGCGAGTACTTACAATTACGTGAACGCGTCCATCGTGGCATTCTTCGCTCTCTCCCCACAGATTGTGCACCAGGCATGACCCTACTCCAGGCTGCCACATTTCCTTCGTCCAAAGTTTATGTCACGACTACCACAACAACGAAGCCACTCGTTTGACGTTCTTCGTCGACGACCGTGTCACCAGTCCAGCTACAGCCATAACGACGCGTCAGCCGCGTCCCCGTTGTTACCGCCAACTGCAGTCCAGTCCAGTCCAGTACCTCAGTGACTATGCAATCAGGCAGAGCAACAGAGCGATAGCTTGTCTAGTCTGCAGGTGGCCGGAACCTGTCAAGATCTGCGCGGGATTAACAGTGATGACCGTACCAAAGCAACGTGCTCATTGTGCACCTGTAGCGGGCCTCGCGCCTGTCGAGTTGCAACAAAAGGGCCTACCGTCAATCAATCAACATCACTTGACCAGGTCTTCTCACTTCAAGTCCGGCATTGCGTCATGTCGATAATCAAAGTCGCGTTTGTCAGCATGCGACACCAGTACGTACATGCTTAGTGGGTACCGACGGGGCCATCCCTACCATAGATATGCTACTTCATCCTTATTCGTCCAAAGACGCCACCACAGCGCCGATCGCAGCAGCAGACGCACGATACGTCGTCGTGAGCGTCGCTTTCGTAGCTACCAATGCCGGGCCGCTGAACGCACGAGCGACATTCACATACGGCCGCAGCACTTCTTTGGCCGACTGACCGATGGGCGTGCTCGCCGCAAACTCCAGTGGCTCAACCACACACACCTCGTACAAGCGGTCAAACAAGCTGCCGCGATGCGCCACAAACACAGTGTTGCGGTGCACACGCAGCGTCGCGTCAAAGCCTGACGGCGTCGTGTAGCTGCACAGCAAATAGCTGCCACTTGTCTTCTTCACATGAAGCTCCAACGCTTCAGCAGGGCCAAGCACGGCCGAGGGGTACGGGCCAAAGCCTTCAAACTTGACCACGTCGCCCACAAGCGGCTCCATGCCATGCGGTTCGTACTGCAGCACGACGCGCACTTCGCCCAAGCTCAGCTCAGCTTCCAGGTGCTGCTTGCTCTTGTCACCTGACAGGCCACTGCTTGGCACAAACAGCGCGCCACGGAGCGGAATCCACTGGTCCATGACGTCTTCTTTGCCCTCGACGAGCGGCGTCACGTCCACGACGGCCGTGCCAATGACCGATCCATTGACAATCCCCACGGCTTCCGTCGCTTTGCCCGTGAGCGAGTCCTCGTTCATCACGTCGACAATGAGCTCGAGGCGCGCGTCCGAGTGCTCGGCCAGCGGCTGTCGCGTCCCGAGCAACTTGGGCAGTTTTACCGTCAGGAGCTCGCGCCGCCACGAGGGGTTCGCGTTGCGCGGGATCGTCGAACTCCGCACGCTCTGTTTGCCCACGCGGAAGATCACGTACGGACTGCACGTGCGCGTCCGGAATAGAGACGGCGCGGCGCGTAAGTTGCGCGCTGCGACGAGGCGGATGCTGAGCGTCCCGGCCACGCCGTCCTGGTGCGTGAGGTGCTTCTCGAATAAGTACGACGCCATCTCCGCGCGCGCGAGCGGCTGCGCTGCGCTCGGCGTCGCTGCCATTTGTCGTGACGGTTGAAAAATGTCGGCCCAGATCTGATTCGACGTGGAGACGTTTGTGATGATAGTGTGTGTGTATGTGGGTGTGGGTGTGCGTTTCGGAGAAAATGAAGGACCCCGACTGGTCGTGATTTGATTGGCCGTTTCGATGGTGGGGGTAAAGTGCTTTTTTGGACACGGCGACGATATGCGTTTCTAGAGGAGGCGAGGGAGATGGGGTTGGGTGAATGGGTTCTTTTCGAGGGGACAGGGGAGCGTGTGTGTGTGGAAAGCGAGAGGGGTGGGTGGGAACGAGGAGCTCTGACGCGCCATTGGCTAAAATACGGCAGTCGACACGTCCAACCAATCGCTCTCAAGTGGCGCGCGAAGAGCTCTGCAATCAATCGCCACAGCAGTTGTCGGGCAGTCGCAGTTGTAGCAGTCGCAGCAGTCGTCACGTTACAGGAGTCGCAGTCGCAGCAGTCGTCACGTTCACAGGAGTCACAGTCGCAGCAGTGTCACGTTCGGATCGTCGCTATGCCAAAGGGGATCAACACGACGAAAGCGTCGGGCGACAACCCGAACCGCAAGATCCCGAAGCGGCAGAAGGCGGCCAACATGCGCGACAAGAGCACGATCAAGCGCCTCAACATGTACCGCAACAGTGGCCCCATCCGCAACAAGGCGGGAAAGGTCGTGGGCGGGAGTCTCATGATGAAGAACAAGGTGGGCGGACAAGAGATCACGAGCGCCAGTGGCCGCGTGCAGCCGGACCGTCGCTGGTTTGGCAACACGCGCGTCGTGGGGCAGAAAGAGCTGGACAAGTTTCGCAATGAAATGTCGCTGAAGGCGGCCGACCCGTACTCTGTCGTGCTGCGGACGCGGAAACTGCCCATGGGGCTCTTGCAAGAGAGCGACAAGACGTCGCGCATGAAGCTCTTGGAGACGGAGAGCTACGACGACGTGTTTAACGGGAAACGTGGTCGCAAGCGGGCAAAAGTGGCCGCGACGGATTACGCGTCGCTGCTCTCGCGCGCACAAGAGAGTGCAGAGAAGTACGAGACGAAAGGGAACGACCGTAACATTGTGGTCGAGCAGGAGTTCAAGGACGAGGTCTCCCACGACGTGTTCAACAAGGGCCAGTCCAAGCGTATTTGGGGCGAGCTGTACAAAGTGCTCGACTGCTCGGACGTGGTGATTCAGGTGCTGGATGCACGAAACGTGCCTGGCACGCGCTGTGAACACGTGGAAAAACACATTCGCAAGAACGCGTCGCACAAACACTTGATCTTTGTCATCAACAAGTGCGATCTGGTGCCGAACTGGGTCACCAAGCGATGGGTGCAGAAGCTCAGCGAGACGACGCCGACGCTGGCTTTCCACGCCTCTATGAGTAATCCGTTCGGCAAGGGGGCGCTGATCAATCTGCTGCGCCAGTTTGCCAAGCTGCATCAGGAGAAGAAGCAGATCTCGGTCGGCTTGATTGGTTACCCGAACGTGGGCAAAAGCTCGGTCATCAATGCGCTGCGCAAGAAGAAGGTGTGCAAGGTAGCCCCGATCCCAGGCGAGACCAAGGTGTGGCAGTACATTACGCTCATGCGTCGCATCTTTCTCATTGACTGTCCCGGTATCGTGTACGACACGGGCGACGACGAGATTGAGACGGTGCTCAAAGGCGTCGTCCGTGCTGAGCGTCTGCCCCAGCCGACGGACTTTATCCTCACTATCTTGCAGCGGGTCAAGAAGGCGTTTCTCGTCAAGGTGTACGGCATTGAGGAATGGAAAGACGAGTGGGACTTTCTCGAGAAACTCGCCAACAAGTGTGGCAAGTTGCTTCCGAAGGGCGAGCCCGACTACAACAACGTTGCTGTGCACATGATCAACGACTACCAGCGTGGCAAGCTGCCGTGGTTCATTGCTCCGCCCATGCGTGCCGAAGAGCTTGCTGCGCTGGAGCAAAAGGGCGACGACGTGCCGCTCAACGAGGCGGAAGCTGACGAAGAAGATGAGTCTATGGCGCTGGATGATGGAGAGGTAGACGGAGAGAGCGAGGAAAAGGTGGAGGAAGGCACAGACGCCCAGTAGCTATCATGCGAGGCGTCGCTATGGTGCGACAAGTCCCGCGTTGCAACTGTTTATAGATGGAACATATTGTGCACGACCTGGTATCCCTGATATCGGTATCCCTGATATCGTCTCCCCTTCAACCTCCATCCGATATCGTCGTATCAGCACGACGAGCGTGTACCGGATCGAGCTCAATCAATGCGCCAGCACAAGTTCCTGTTCGCTCACGTTGTCATCTTCGACTGTCCGTTACACTCAGTCGACTCATGTCTTTGCTCGCTCTCCCCGCGTCTGCCTCAACAGCCCGACAACAGCCTTTGTGCCGCGTCTTCCAGTCCTGCCGCTGACACGGCTTGCAGCAGTAAAACACGCACTTGCACCGGCTGCAGCCCTGCAGCGTCTCGTCCCGATAGTCGAGTGCCTTGCACGCCTCGTTGCCGCACACGCGCGCACCCGGTTGCCGAACGCTCAGCGCCGTCGCACAGTCGCCTTTGGCCTCGTGCACTTTGGCCACCTCTTCGCGCGTGAGGTTCCCGTCGCGCAGAGCGATTCCAATGCCCATGGACGCGTCCCAGCGGTCACGCACGTCGAGCGCCGCCGTGAGGACGTCGAGCGCCTCGTCGAGCGCTCCCGTGAGCCGCAACGTCGTCCCCAACTCGTGCTGGGTCTGGGCCACTGCAACGTCATCGAAGCCCGCGAGCGGTTGCCGCTTGAGAGCGTCCCGCAGGAGCACTTGCGCCGCGCTCAGTCGATTGGCCTGTACGAGCGCAGCCGCGCGGGCCGTGCAGCGAACTAACTCCATGTACGTCGTCGCGTGACCAGTGCCCATCTGGTTCGTGGCCGTCATTTTCTCTGCTCAATCGCATATGTATATCGAAAGAGAGAGAGAGAAAAAAGGAGAAAAGAGAGAGAGAGAGAGGGAGAGGGAGACATACCCCCCCACACAGCGACATGCTGAATCGTCTTGTCTCGAGTATGCCCGTCGTTCCCTTTGCGCGCCTTTGACTACCCCACACAGCCCGACAAACCGACGGACGGCCCGAGGACACCAATCACCCACCAGCAGCGATGGAGGGTGCCAAGTCGCCTCCGTCGCGCACGTGCGACACGCGCCTCCAGCCGCTACCGGTCATTGTCCGTCCTCAGACGCAGACACAGACACAGCAGCAGCGCCACAGTACCGCACCTCGGAAAGCGCTGCGCCCGCAGACGTCGCCGCTGCCGCCGTCGTGTTCGCTGTCCGCCATGTTCTTCTTCCCGTCGCATTCGGTCGCCGACGACCGCCCGACCGACAGCGACCCGACCCCCAAGCGGCCGCCGCCGGCACTCCCGCGCGACGACAGTAGCCACCTGGCGGCGCCAATTGTCCCTGCGGTGCGGCAGGAGAGCGGCCGCGTGGCGGCGCCGCTCGTCGACCTGGCGCAGCGGCTGAAGCCCAAGCTCGCCGTGTCCGAGAGCGGCCACTTTGAAGACCAGTTCTACCACGCGCACGACGGGAGCAAAGCGATGGCGCGGCTGCGGCAGCGCGCGTTCCAGAACAAGACCGTGCACACGAGCGGAGACGACGTGGAGCAGTTCTCGGATGCTGACATTGTCACGAGCGGGTACTTGGTCAAGCAGGGCTCGTTCTGGAAGTCGTGGCGCCGTCGGTTCTTCATCTTGAGACGGGACTGCCCCGTGCTGAGCTACTACACGTCGGCGGAAGAACTGGCCAAGCTCGGGGAGATCACGATCGACGAACACACGACCGTGCAGCCGACGCCAAAAGACGGCATGTTGTACCGGTTTACGATCGAGAACGACAAGCGCAAGCTGTCGCTGATTGCCGAGCAAGGTCAAGCGGACATGGAAGCCTGGATCGCGTGCATCCAAGGCTGCATCGTGCAGCGCGTGCGGCTGACGTCGCGGGTTCTCTCGGCCAATGGATCGCTCCTTCGACGAGGAGAAGGCGTGTCGCTGTGTGCGCAGCTGCAAGGCCGAGGATCCGAGAGCGCGTCCATGCTGGAAGACCTGGGCGCTGACCGCACGAGCTTCTCTCGCATGGAGAGCCCGCATGTTGCGGGCAGCAGCATGAGCATGATGAAGCGATTTTCGACAGACTCGACGGTCATCCAGCAAGCTGCGGACGACTCGAGGTCCGTCCGAGACAACGAGGAAAAGCACAAGCAGCAACAGCAGCAGCAGTCTCGACAGCTTGCGCTCTCTCGGCTGGCCAGTACGGCTTCCGTGCCTATCGATGCACCAAAGGCGAAGCCTCGCCTGTTTCGCTCGTCCAGTGCTGGATCTATCCTCACTCAGCCGTCGTCGTGTCCTGCTACAGCTCGTGCGTACGACGACAACGGCCTGTCGATGCTGCGGTTGGCGAATGATACACAGAGGGCGCAGACCCCATCGAATTGCCCACGTGCACCGAATCTGAGCTTGCCTGGGTTCAAGCCACTCCCTAGCGTGGAGCTCGCTGTGTCTGTTGGCAGCAAAGCCATGCAAGACGTCCCGCACATGTTGGTAGTTCTGTTCACGTGTTGCCAGGGACAACAGCCAGAAGAGATCTCCCGCACAGAGGTGCGGAGCTCACTTTCGTTTCGATCCTGCGGTGGTGACTTCTATGCACGCGATTTCAATGCTCTCCTTTCCGTGCCGCGCGTAGCACGGTCAGTGCTGCAGTTCGAGATCTTTTCAGTGGTCAACGCTGCATCCGAGTCGCTGGAGAATCAGAAATCGTTGGGTTTCGTGCGTGTCTCGGCGCTAGACATTCTCTTTTCGCGCGAGTCGTCGATGCTGCTCGAGTGTCACCGAACAGGCTTGTCCAAGCAGCTTTTCTATCTGGTGCTGGATCGGTTTGTCCCGCCTGGCCACAGCATCAACGTGAGTCATGCATACACTTACGCGAAGCACCATTTCCTCGTGGACACACAAGCAATGGACAGACGGCCGTCGGGTGACTTCCTTGCTAGCTCGACATCGAGCTTGAAAGGTTGTACGAGCTACAATGAAATTCTTCGTGGCCAGCTGAAGCCACCGACCGCTGGCCATGTGCTTGTCACGGAAGAACTGTCAGCGTCGTATGTCTCAGTGTCGATGACGATCGCTTTTCTCAAGTACCTACAGCAGCGAAACGTCGCTCGAATCGACGAGGCAAGACAAGTGATCCGCGATATGAGACAGTATATGCAGGCGACTGCTAGCCAAGTGTTATCGAGCACACGTACGCAAGATGTCGAAGATCGAATGCGGGAGGTGGAAGTTGGCATGGCCCATTACATGCGTCTCCATGCTTCCTACCAAGAAACCTTGAAGCGCTATGCGACGATGTCGACCTCGCTCGAGGACGGCCGTGAACAGGGGATTACAGGCTGTCTGAAGCGAAGCAGCATGAAGAAGGATAAAGCGACAGCATTCATGGCCACCAATCTCAACTGTCACCTCGTGCGTGGAAGACGTGTGCGTCTTGCCGGCGACGTTGACCGAAGCGATCAAGGATGGCGAAGTGGGCTGGCACCAACTTTGACGGATGATGCATCCGGATCTGACGAGAACGACAGTGAGAAGTTGCTTGTATCCGAGTACGTTTACTCGGTGGTAACTCATGGCTGTGCTTCAGCCCATATCATGGGCTTCAAGGAGGGTGGTTTGCGTCGTCTGAAACAGCAGTTGGCAACACAGAGCTCGCCCGACCCTCGTCTACGCGAGCGCATTGAGATGAGAGAAGACGTTGTGCGTTCGCAGGTGCTTGCAATCGCTGGCGCGTCATTTCTGAACGCTGTGGGCCTGGCGGCAACTCGTGGTGGACAGCACCGCCAACGCCTGCAGCTGTCATGCTCGACGGGCTTTTTGCTCAGCATCGAGTCTTTGCTGAGCACTGTAGGTGCCGAAAAGGGAATGCTGGAAGACATGGCCGATGGTGTTCGCTGGCTCAACAGTGTGGTGAGTTTCCAGCTTGTACAGTCTGCCGAAACGAGCCCGCTCGTGGAAATGTCAAAGTGCGTTAGCGTGACTAGCACACGCACTGGGGACCATGTGGTGGCTGCATTTGCTGTACCCCCCGTCGTGTTTGCAAAGCTTCCTGAAGTGCTCCAGCAAGGCCATGCGATAAAACTCCACGGAGTGATGTTCACCCAAGGGATTAATGAGATGCAGTCAGTGGCCAACCACTATTTGAACTCGAGTCTGCAGGATGAGCTCAACTTTGAGAGTGTGCAGATGCTGCAGCGGTATTTCCGAGTATACCAGACGCAAGTTATGCTCAATGGGAGCGATGCAAAGAAACTTGAAGCCGATCTGGTCGACCTGCGCGAGCTCCAGTCCGACATTGAAGCACTGACCGGCCGCCTCAATGTTCGTGCCGAGAACGTGCAGAAGAAGCTTGTGAACATCCTCATCACATCCAGCGATATATGCCGTCGTCTCGGCGCTGGACGCACGACGTGTTGCAAGAGTGGAAAAGACCGCACGGCAATGTCAGTGACACTGGAGACGTCTCGTTTGCTTGTGGATCACTTTCACGTGAAACAAGGTGTGCATCTTTGTAATGCCATGAGGGAACGTGGCGTTCGCCGCGTGAACGTCCTGGCGAACACGGGCAAGACCAATTTTGCCTTCAACTCGTTCCAGCTCAAGTATATTCCTGACTGCTACAAGCCACCGCTTGCTTGTACCGATTCGCGTGTGGCATCTTAGCTGTGCTAGAGCAGTGGACCGGGTGAGAGCCATGTTTTGCCATCTGAAATCTGGTTTGTTGTACGTTGTAAAGATGAGGTGTTGACCAACGGACTGCTGACGGAGTGAGCTCTTTTGTCGTTGTTGGCTGCGTCAAGGTATTCTAGAGCTATGTTGTACCTACAGAAATATAAGCATTCCACGTCAAGGCTTTGCAGTCTCACCAGCACGTGCTGCAGTCAAGTTCTTGCTCGTGCACGTAGTTGCTACTCTCGAAGTCGCTGAGGATGCATTACGTCTCGTCTTGCCAACAGCATCAAGCGCTCCTTCCGCCAAAGTCCGATATCAGCAGCGCTGCTGTCTGAACGACGCTGTGCTGTTGTCATTTAGTTGGAAGTAATGCTGCCGTCCTGGATCTGCTGATGATACTCTTCACGCTTCACGCCGCTTTGTGCTCGAATGGCAAGATATTGATGCTACACAATGAGAAGGTGTCGACTGCATGCTTCACATTCGACACTGCTGGAATGTATGAAGCCGGGGCTGATCGCGGGTGGCTTGTCGAGTGTTGTGTGGCTTGCCTGGAGAGCAGTGTGGGCATCCATGGCATGCTGCAAGCACGTTGTGCTGTATTATAGTCCGTCGAGAGTCTCAGCGAATCGGTTGTGGTCAACGAAAGAGACGCACGGTCTGCTGTCAGTCATTCGAATGGCCCATGGCTGAACGATGAGGGGTTTACGCAAGGCGATGCCATCGTGCTTTGTCGTCGCAGCGAAGTGAGATGGTGGACATGCTTGTTACGTGTGGGAAATGGGTGACAACTACTGCACCGAGCAGCAAAAGTGTCGGTCGGTAGCGATCGTTTCAGTTTGTAGACTACTTCCAGCGGGCTCAGTGTCAGATTTTGGATTCCCTGAGAAGCAGCCACTTTGTTCACGAGTGCTGCTGTCCGTTGTGATATTCGGTCACCCTGAGGACGACCGGACCAACGCGACTGCACTATCGATGAGGCTCCTCAGTCTGCAGGTGATATCGAGCCGTTGCGAGAGGTTGTAGACCGGTACGATGTCATCACGAAGCAAACTGGATGTCGTGTGAGAGATCGCCGCTTTCAACGATCAGAGCGTGGCTGCGACTCGTGTGCAAGATCAAAGCTGAAGTCTTTTGCTTCACCTGGTGCAGTGCACATCGGTGTCCGACTCTTGACACGACGTCGATATCCACGAGATCGTCAGTTGCGACTTCGGAACGAAAAGTGCACTGGATGTCCATTTGCAGCTACTCGGATACGTGGTGACGACAGGTTGTGCGTCTACACGAGAGCTTTGCTCCGTCGATACGCGCTGGTTGCTGGAGCACCGGCACCAAGTCATACTCCATTTGAAGTCACCTGCTCTGCCCACGCTGTCCAGCTGCGCGTTCCAGCAAGCGAAGACGACGAGACCGCGAAGACTCGTTGCTGCACCTGCCCAGCCACACGCCAGTCCGCATGTCGCTGACCCACGAAGTGTGTGTGTGTGCAACCGACTCAAGCATCAGGTCTGCAAAGTATTTGCAACACAAACTCTCGTGATGACAGCGCAAGTCCTGCACGGAGCGAGCTGACACCGTCTACAAAATCGTCCACACACTCGACGTCGCGTAATTTAGAGCGGCCATAAGCGGCCAACTCGACCATACCAAAGGTGCAAATGTTGTAAGAAGGACAGTATACTCCACATCATATCATCACATTGCTGCTCCACATCACATCGCTGCTCCACATCATATCATCACATCGTTGCTCCACATCACATCGTTGCCCCACATCACATCGCTGCTTTACGTCATATCCGGACCAATTAGACGCCACCTCCGGACCAAATCTGCGCGAAAGATCGATCCCAACACTGCTCGCCACTCACCCGCAAAACACAAAAACGTCCGACGTCATGCGCCCTCCGCCCGCGACGTCGGAGCGCACGCCGCTGCTCAAGAACCGCTGCAGCCGCAGCAACGACACTGTCCACGTCGCCGTCTCGTCGGTCGCTCCCCCCGCTCGGTCCGCCCCTCTCCCGCGCTGGTTCGTCGTCGCCGCGTCCGCGAGCGTCTGCGTGACGCTCCTGTGGCTCGTCCTGCTCGCCATTGGGCCGCCCGTCCTGCGCGAGTTCGACCAGTCGCTCTATCTCTACGCCGGCGTCTTCAACTCACTGCTCGGCAGTTTCCTCTCGGCCAGCGGTTACTGCTGCCAGAAACTCGCGCACGTCCGCGTGGCGCGTCACGCGGCGCTGGGCACTGCGCCCATGCAGACCGTCTTCCAGGCCGGCGTCCTACTGCTCGCTATGGGGACCGTCTCCGCCATCAGCAACCTCGGGATCCTCGGCCAAGCCGTGCAGGCCCCTTTTGCCGCCCTCACGCTCATCTACAGCGCTGCGCTCGGCCGCTGCGTCCTCAACGAGAGCTTTGGCCGTTTCGACCTGCTCTCGAGCGCGCTCATTGTCGCGGGCGTCGCGCTCGCCGTGTACGCTGCGCAGCTCGCGCACGTGCCGCACGAGGCGTACACGCTCGAGTCGCTCGGACAGCTCTTGACAAGGGACTCGGGCTGGCCACTGGGCTACACGCTCGGGACGCTCACGTACGCGACCGTGCTGCTCCGGCGCGTGCAGTCGGCAAAGCTCCAGCGGTCGTCGAGTGGACTGCTGGCGTTCAGCTCCTGTGCAGGGATCATGGCGGGCTTCACGTCGCTCGCGACCAAGTCGGTCGTGGAAGTCACCAAGTCTGCAGTGGAGCACCAGGAGTGGCTCGTGTTGGTGCACCCGTGCTTTGTGCTGCTGGTCCTTGCGGTCCCGTGTGCGCTTGTGCCGCAGCTGTTTTTCCTGAACAAGGGCCTCGAGTTCTTTGGCACGCTCAAGTTCATTCCGCTGTACCAAGCGTTCATCATCCTCGGCAACATGGGCTGTGGCATGGTCTTTTACAACGAAATGGCGAGCTACAGCTCGACTGCACTGACGTGGTTCATCAGTGGCGTCTTGGTCACGATCAGTGGAGTGGGTGTGCTGCTGGTCAAAGTGGACGACGAACTCAGTAGTGGTGCCGATGCCCGGCGCTTGAATGCAGTGAGGGCCGTGGATCAACCCATGGATGAGCTGCTCGACTGCCGAGACAGTATCAAGGCCAGATTCGACACGGACTTTACGTTTGACCAGATGAAGTGGGCGACCGATGGGGACAAGTTGACGTCCGACAACTTGCGCGTGTGCCGCGACTTCCGCGAGTGTCAAGAAGCGATTGTCGAGCTGCTGGTGTCTGCGCGCAAGTCGATTTTCTACTCGACGTTTTTGTGTGACTTTAACCAGGTTCTCCATACGACAAAGGACGAGCACAAGGGCAGCACCTTCGTGTCGCTTGTGCGCGACGCTGTGAAGCGTGGAGTCGATGTCCACGTCTTGTACAACCCCGTGCGCGACTACGGGACGAACTCGATTGCTGACTTGCGTCGCATTTTGCCTCGAGAAGTGCACATTGCTTGCTCAGTGAGTGACCTGGGTCCGAGCTGGTTTACCCGCCACTTGTCGAACAACTCCAGGTACGCGTTCCATCATCAGAAGTACATTTGCGCTGACGAGGAGACCATTATGGTCACTGGGTGTGACGTCAACACGGAGCGGGAGGGCTGGTTGCTCAAGAACCATCTCGGTTACTATTGGCATGAGCTCAGTGTGATCGCCCACTGCACGCCTGAGATGGTTGGTTGGATCCGCGCGAATCACAAGCCCGCGCAGAAGAAACGGTACTACGATCACTTTATGGAGTCACCGCCTTTTCCGCTCGTGTCCGGTGGCTGGCGAGAAGAGAATTGTATGGTGAACATGATCATGAGTGCCAAGCACTCGGTGCAGCTGGAAAGCCAGATCATGATATCAGGTGGCTCTCTGCAGCACAACCGCATCTGTCCTGCGATCGTCGCTCGTATCAGTCAAGCCCGCCGCAAGGGCGAGCCATTTCACGCTCTGATCCTGACCAACGCCGCACAGAAAGATGAGCCGTCGTTTCTGGCACGCACGTTCTGCTCGCTGTCCATTCAATGGTCGCTGGAGCAGCTGGAAGAATCTGCCTTGGCGTACGGCCTTACGCTGGACGAGTTGTGGCAGCACCTCCAAGTGGGCTGTCTCGAGTATGACAACGTGCTGGTCAAAGTGCATTCCAATATCCTGATTGTGGACGGAAATTACGCGCTGAGGTCGTCTTCAAATCTGGCTGACCGCAGTCTAAGTGCACGTCCCAACGACACGGAGCTGGGTTTGCTGTTTTCTGGGCCTCGCGTGAACGAGCTACAGCAAGACTTGCTCAACATGTACTTGGGCACGGTGGGCGAGCAGTACTCGTGGAGTCAAGTGTTTGAGCGCATTCGAGGCTCGGCAACGAAGGAACCGGCCGGATTGATCCAGCCGCTGAAGAAGAAAGCGTACAGTCCTATATTCACGTGGTTCCTGATGAATGTCTTCATTTACCTCAGTGAAGGTGCTACCGGCGGCCGGGTCAAGGTGACATACGAAACCACGGTAAGTGGTGACAACAAGCACGAGGTCGGGACCTGATGTGTTGCTGCTACGTGCGCGCTGCGGAGAAAAGAGCAACGTGCATTCGGACAACAAGACGTATACCTTTGCGCAAGAGTTTTTCAGTAGCCCATTTCCTTGATCAGGGCGTTGTAGCCTGCGTCTTCCTGTGTAGCTACCGTTGCTTCTTCCTCTGCAGGGGCGGTCCTGCAACGTCACATCGATGTCAAGCTGGCGTTTAGTACTACGACACGCAGCAGTGCATCGAGAATCAATTGAGCAACAGTCGTACCGCTTTTTCGACGGAAGCTCCATGTCTAGCAGTTTTAGCAGCTCATGCTGAGCAGTGCGCACCTGAGGAAGCTGCAGTGGACATACAAAACAGACCTCGACACAGTCAATCGCTGGTCGTCCGACATTTGCAATGCTGTGGCTTACCGGAGCGTCCCACGCGGTGTCACTCAAGATTTCGACCACACTGTCGTACTGCAGTAAGGAACGACACGACACGAGTCAGTCCTCGATCATCAGTCGGCATGCACGCTCTTCCCGACCTTTTCTTCGCCGACGATATCGTACAGCAACAATCGCGTGTAGAGCATCTCAGCCGTCAGCTTCCGCACTTTTGGGAACTTGTGTCCCAGATACAACACGAGAGCTCGCAAAGCCCTGTTTTCCGTGTCAGGATTGCTTGGAAGTAGACCGACTAGCACACTTATGGCAGCGCTGAGTTTCGGCACCACAGCACATCTCTGTACCTTGTGACGCAGTGCATCATACAATTGTTCGCCAAAGTTGGTCGGTCCAGTAGCACCGTCATTGTTTCTCTGGTGTTCCTCAAACAGAAAGCGCAACAGACTCGATTCCAGCAGCAGTGCAATCGTTTTCATAAGCGGAATAGTGACCCGATCGTCCTGGCGGTGGCAGGTCAGCAGTGTCACCAAGTAGAAGCTGAACCGGCGAAGCAAAGCGTAGTTCTTGGACTGCAAGTGCACGCGCACCCAGTCAAAAAGGGCCCCTTTCGACGCCTTGACGACGTTTTCAGTCAACCCGCCAACACTGATGACAAGGCCTGCAGCAACGCCTTCCAGAAGCTCCGGAACATCCATCATCTTCACTACTAGCGGAAACGTATCGTGAGCCATGGACCAGTTCACCGTCAGAGTCGATGGAAAAACCTGCTCTTCAAGGTATGCTCGACCGGGGATACCGTCAATGCGAGGCGACGTCGAATGAAGCAATCGAAACAAGATGCTTCCGGCTATCATCCGTATGCTGTCCAGCTTCTCAGCTAGTTGCTTGGCAAGGGCTTCGAACTAGTGGGGGACAAGACAGAAAAGTTAGCGCATCGAAATGCTTACAAGCAGCGGAAGAGCAGTCAAGTACGTACAATCATGCCCACCACGTCGGGAGAAACTCGATGAGCAAATGGCATCAAAGACATTTGATCTACTCTCGTGTGCTCCGCATCCGTTTGGTGCGTGGAGTCGAGGCTATGGTGCGGCGCCGCACATTCTGCCGTCTGCCCAGCTTCACCATCCAACGATCTCTTCATGCGAAGGAGGCCTACTCCACTAGGACTGAAGTAGTAATAGCCTAGAGCGGGCTTCTCAAACTTGACATAGCATACATGTTCGAGCTCGGTCGAAGCACTGACGTCTTCATGCTTGCGTTTCCGATCTGGTACAATGTCAATGATCATCCCGCGACCATACTTCGTATGCGCTACCGTGCCTACAAGCAAGCGTGGCGCATGAGTGCTTTTGCCAACAAGCAGCTTCTCGATGCCGAGCATCGCTTCTTTGCGAACCCAGGAACCGACGTCTCCTCGCTCGTCGACTCGATAGTCTGCATGAATAGATCGAACGAGTGCGCGAACAACATCGTCTTCCATGTCGTTCAGATCTAGCTCAGCTGATGGCCGAGAACACAAATCCACCAGAGCGAGAACAGCAGCCACTCGACTTCCGGGATCCTCATCTTCTGTAGTACGTTCCTGGAGCGCGATGGATCGAAAAACTGCGCCAACTGCTTCTCTCAGGCAAGGCTGGACGAGTTCGTTGGCTGCGACACCCACAGCACGCAACATCCCTCGCCGTGCAGCAACATTGGGATTCAGGACTTGGACGGAAACGCCGTTCTCCTTGGATACCACCATGATCCCCGACTCCATGAATCGCGGCAGCAAACCTTCCATGTATCTGACATGCGGTAGACTGCCCTTGTCAAATATCTTGGGACAGTATTGAGTCGTGAAGGCACCAAACGCATCAATAGCAGCATCACGGACGCTGTCATTTGGATGCACAAAGCATTCTTCGAGCAGCGACACATACTTCTTCACATGCACGAATCCAAGACTCAGGCGAGAATTCGCAATCACTTCAATTACATTGCAAACAGCGGCCCGAATCAGCTCGCCACCACGTCCGCGAAACAGACGCCGCTTGTCGATCTCAAGGGGCAGCATCTTCACCTTCTTTTGCACCTCCCCATCAATGAACGCAGGGACCTGAGCCAGACACATGAGGAGCTCTGTAACACTGATGATCGCACCATGCCGAACAATAACCTCAGCATCCGGAGAGAGAGCGTACGCAAGCAGTTGCGGGAACAAGCGGGTCATTGCGAATGGCGGGTCGAAGGTCCCGATCTTACCCAGCGCAGCAGCAGCAAGACCGCGGATCTGGACGTCCCAGTGAGCAATCTTAAAGCTGATGAGATGCTCTAGCAACGAGTACCGATATTCTGGATACTTTGCAACAAAGACGCTCACATCGAGGTACGCGTGGCGCAAACTGGCGACTGTAAAATAGTCTGCTTTCGTCAGCAGATCGATACCGTTCGGGAAATTGGTGCGTCCTTGCCTGCCGACGTTTTCTTGAAAAGCTGCAGATGCTGCACGACGGCAATTCAGTTCGCGGTCGAATACGCAGTTGACCAGCATGGCCGGTGCAAGGACTTGTTTTAGCCAAGGCAGAAGCAGCGATGGCTCGTACGCACGCGCAAACGACCAGCACGCGTAGCAAGCAGCGTCGCGAACATGAGAGCCTATGCTGTACGTACCCTTTCGAACCTCGTACTTCAGTGCATGCGCCACACACTCCACTGCGTCCGGCAAACGGTGGGGCAGCAACACACCGCGACGAGCAAGTTCAGCCAGTGCCAGACTAGCGCCGTGCCAGGCACCATCGCCCTCAGTGGCCACAAAGAGTTCGAGCACAGACTGGACAATGTCGTCCGCGAACTCATACGGCAAACGGCCAGTGATTCGCCCAATACCCTTTGCTGCCGACCAGCGCACTACCGTATCTTTGTCGCGCAATCCACACAGAAGAAGCTCAACGATCTGTTCCAGCTCTGCCACCACCTCAAAGGCATCATCATGGACATCTTTGCCACTAGCTTCTCGATTGCTAGTGTTCGAATTCGCGATGACAGCAGTGCTCGCAGCCAGCCCCAACGACTGCATATTGAGCTCTAGCGACCGCATACCGCGACTGTAGCGCCACGGACGTATCATTGGTGGCAAGTAAAGTAGTCCAAGACGTTGCACAAGCTTGATGCCCAATTTGCGGTGCACGGTGCTAGTATAGTCCGATCGCGTGCTGTCGTCAGTGAGCTGAGCCATTTGCCGCATCACAGTGGCAAAGTAGATACGACTGGCTTTAATGTGCTGCTCCCGTGGCGAGTTCTTGGCAATGTGAGCAAGACAGAGCAGTATTCCAGTGACTTTGAACTGCGCCACACGCGTATCATTGCCATCACACGCGGCACAAAGTTCTCGATTTGCCCAGTTGAGAAACTGCGTCAAATAGTGCTGCCCCATGTCTGGTCTGCTCAGTAGCCGCGACAAACACACTGCAGCTGCCAGTTGCGTAGCGCTCGGGTCACTCAAGTAGTCTTTACAGAGCGTCACAATGTTGGACACGATGGAGACCGTGTCGCTGAAGTTGTAGCTGGCTGTGCTGGACGACGACGAGTCGATCGTGTGGAGGTCGAACGGCACAAGACAGAGCATGGAGAGCCAGATCAACAGGACGTATCGAGTTTCCCACGTCGCGTGGTCGCTGTGGTCTTGAGACTGGAGCAGCTGCAGCGTCGGCTCAAAGTCACTCACGGCATGAGGCAGCAGCTTCACCACTGTCTTGTAGCCCCGCACTTTGCACAAATGATACACAAGTTGGAACAGCTTGTGGAGTCGCGGGTTGTGGTACACTTGGCATGGGAACGCCACTTCACTCTTGACGGGCACTTCTTCTGCTTCTGCTGTTGCTGTGACAGTTGCTGCGTGGTGTCGATGGTCCATTACATGTTTGATCTCGTCCAGAAGGGGGTCCAGTATCTCGTGCAGATAGGGATCGAGTAGATGGGACTGTTCCTGGTACCTGTCCAGCTGCAGATCGATGGTAGTCAATATATATATATATGTTTTGTCCAGCGTTTTAATATCTCAGTTCAATTAATTGATTGAGTGTGGAAGACAAAAAGACGTACGATTCGAGTGATGGTGGCGTGCGTCGCGAGGAACGCGCTGTCTACGTCGTCCTGGGGCAATTGAGGACGGGACAACAGCAGTTTCTGCACCAGATCGCGCACCTGTTGATGCTCATCGAAGAAGCGCTTGTCGCTGCAGCTCTCGCTCGTCATGGCGCGTTTAGTGCTGCTATGACCTGATCCGTGTGACTTTATGCCGTCTTCATGCAACTTGCAAAGTCAAGGGGTCCACTCGATATGACGCTTTTGTTCTGAGTGCGTACTTAAGGAGCTTCAACCGGATACCCCGATCATGAATTGATACTATCGATGCACTTCGTTGATGGACAAGCAGCTGTCCGGTGGTATACACGCTGTGTCATCCCACGACTTGGCAAGCCACGGTCATACGTATGTATACATGACATGAGAGCTACTACGTCGGGCTTCAACGAAGCGCTGGAAGAACTCTGATCCGTCACGACACTCGCACATTCGACAATCAGATAGTACCGGAAGTGCCATAACATATTCACCAGCAGAAAGCACATATCACACGTCATGTCGTCACGGATACGTCACGTCAGATACGATCGAGTGTCCTCGAGCTGTCGTATGCCTCAGCTGTAATCGGGGATAGCAACACGGAAACTGCAACTGCTTATGCAACCGGGTGCATCAGTGACGACCGGGGAGGGTCCAACGTCGCGCTATGAGATGTCACAAGTCATCGTTGACAGCAAGAGCGCACATACCGCACGTCACATCTTTGCTCTGCGCAGATGCCATTCTATTAGCGAGTTCTGAGTCGCGTTCTGTGTTCTTGTGGCCCCTACAAACGGCTATCAGAAAGAAGCCAATAACTTGCTCCGTCCATTTGGCTCAGCTCCAGCCTGACAAAAAGTGTCTTTTTGTCAAAGTGCTTTATCGGAAGCCGATCGAAAAAGTGAATTTCTGACCGCCACGAAAAGTAGCGTGTCCCATCCATGACGGCGACTTTGGAGACGATCGTGCGCGAGTTGCAGCAGTTGGCCCCGATACTGCGCGACTATGAGCCAACTAACGACCTCTGGCAGCAGGTACAGTACGTGCACAGCGCCTCCTTTTCCATCTGCAGGCACAACGATGCGGCGAGAAACTGAGTCCACCCGAGTGTGTCGATACGCACAACTTGTACTCACAGTGCGTACTGTTTTTTTTGGTCGTACAAATATGTGGCTGCAGGCCGAGAAAAAAGCACTTGCTTCCTGCAGCCACGTGGAAGGGCTGCTGCGCTCGGCTGAAGGAGTGGCTGAGCTACGAAGCAGTGGCGCGTTGCAGGCGATGAAGCGACTTGTGCCCGATGTGAGGTGACGGGCGCCAGCGCGTGAAAGACGAGACCTTGAAGCTGATTCGTCTGATGATGGCTCGACGTGTGTGCTGAATAGGCGACACGGGAAGCGATCGCTGAGCTGAAAGTGTCGGATTTTGTGCTGGGGATGATGTTCGAGACGCCTTTTGTCACTTTCGAGTCAGTCTATCGCGGATTCGGCGTCGAGGTCCGTTGTTGTGCTGGTGTTGTCCTGCCTGTGCTTTTCCTCTTTTTGGATCAGGATGTGTAAGCTGTATGCGCAGGGACACCAACAACATGTGGACATTGTGGCTGTGCACAGTACGCTAAGGAACTGTCGAGTGAAGCGAGGAAAAGCTCGAATTACATCAAGTCATCGTATGTGAGTGGTGTGGTGCTTGCTTTGACCGTAGAGAGGGTTCGTGTCGATAATGGTGATACTGTGTCACGCGGAACAACCACTACCTGACGATGCTGCAGGTTTACGGCGAAATTCTGTTCTTCCCATTTGCCAAACTCATCCGCTACGTAGCTCCGTCTCTGCCCGAGTTTGCTGTGTTCTACGACCTGGTGCCTTGCTGCACGAAGATGGAGAAGACTGTGTCATTGCTGTCAAGTTATTCTCATGGCTCTTTCGTTGCTCGTGTCTGTCGGATGTAGGGATCTGGCACTGGCAAAGCAGTTGTTGCAGCGAGTTTGGTGCATCCGTTTGAACAGGCCATCGGAATCGAGTTTCTTGAGGTAGAGTGGGCAGCTGCGGCTGGTTTACCCCAGGGCTGGTGCAACTAAGTGCAGTGTTGTGCGTAGCCTCTGGTCCGTTGTGCTGAGAAGCGCAAACATGCGCTGGAGAAGCTCAAGACACCACTGTTACAGACGGACATCGACTACATTGCTGGCGATCTGGCGACTTGCAAGTGGGAGAACGGTGATGTCGTGTTTTGCCACGGCACGTGTTTCGACGACAAGTACGACATGGAAAGAGCTTGTTACAGACCATTGAGGGAGATGCTGACGCGACCGACGTGCGTTTGGTTTTCGACAGGGAGTGGACGCAGATCTCTTTGGCAGCAGAGAGGCTCAAACAGGGCGCATTTTTTATCTCGACAACACAGGTACTGCGCACAGGGCTGTTTGAAGTGGTCAAGAGCCTTCAGCTCCCGATGAGCTGGGGAACTGCAACTGCCTACATCCACGTACGTGCTCACTATATGGACTGCTTGGAAGGCAAAGAGAACTGTCATAGTAGTACACGTGCTAACGCCTTGGTCCCTTTTGTGCTGCAACTAGCGCCGGCGCAAAATTGGCCGCTGGGCCGCTCAAATGCTGCGAGGCGGTCGCTCCACACGCACAGACCTCTTGCAGCAGACGCCATCACCACAGAGCGAGTAGCAGGAACAAGACCAGACAACATCGGTGACAGATTGCGCAGCAAAGACGCATCGGCTGTCGAGAGACTGGTTCTAGCGACCCGGTTCCCAACCAGTTGATGCGTTTTGGTTGCACGTTTACGAGAAGTAAAGCCCACACAGATTCTGCCCATGCTTGTTCACAACACTTTCTTCTTGCTTTGCCGTAGACTCGGTCATTATCGCGACTGTATCGCACACACGCTCCGTGACGCCACTCGCGTGGACTGACATCGTCTCGTCAAGGCAGGTGTCTCTATCTATACGATGCAACTGATCCTCAGGTCTGCACACTGACAAGCAGTTCTGTCGTCGCCGTACGTGCCGCTTCTTGTTGCGCAACTACTTTTTGTTCTTCTGGTGTGAAAGCTTCTTGTGGCGCTTCTTGACGTGCTTCGGTATCTTTGTCTGACGCTTTGTCTTCTTCTCCTCCTTGGTCCCCTGCTTGCGTGCCTTCTTGTTCAGCTTAGCAAGCTCCTTCTGCTTCTCACGTTCCTCACGCTTTTGCTGCCGATACGCAGCTCGCTGTTCGTCGGTTAGCGGGACCTTTTCACAAAGCGCTGGGTCGTCGTCACTAGCGTGCTCATCCTCGTCGCTGTCTTCTTCGTCGCCGTCACTGTCGCAGTCGTTGCCGTCACTGTCATCCGTATGATCGCCCTCGTCGCCACTGCTCTCCTCGTCGCTAGAATCAAGCTCTCGGTCATCCTCTTCGTTCAACAAGTCCATGATACGCGTGCCTTGCATGGACGAAGGCGGCACACTTACTCGTTGATCCACTTCGAGGCGCGAGATGGCCGTCACCAGTGCTTTTTCCATCGTTCCTTGCTGATACGCAAGCTGCTCTCGCTCCGAGTGCAGCACCTCGCCGAGCGAGCGAGGAATGAACGTGTTCATGAACACAGCGTCGTCCACCTGCTCTTGGTTCGTGCGTTCCACTGGTCGATCGGCAATCCGGCACTGGATCTCATCAAGGCAATCGTCAACGTCCTCGTCGGCAATGCACGGATCCGTGACAAAGTCAAACAGCTCCTGCGTCGTCATGGGGTTCAGCGCGCCCGTCTTGCGAAAGTAGTCGGCAATGTTCCGACAGTCTTTGCGCAGAAAGTCGTTCGCGCTCGGGTGCTCGTGCTCAACGGACTGCGACACGTCGATAAAGTAGAGCTTTGTCTGGTAGTACAGAATGTTGTACTCGCTCAAGTCGCCGTGCACGAGGCGGCACTTCTGGTACATTGTGCGCATCATCTTGATGCAGTAGAGGTAGCACTCTCGGTACCGCTTGTCGCTGATCTTGGCGTCTTTGAGCCGCGGCGCAGCCCATCCGTCGCGACCGATAAAGTCCATGAGCAGCACGTGCGAGCGCAGGAGAATCGGCGCAGGGCAGTAAATACCGGCGTCCCGAAGCCGCCGCAGGTTGCGCATCTCTTTCTCCGCCCACAACTTGACCATCTTGCGCGGGTTGCTCTTCGAGTAGCCATGTCGGAAGCGAAACTCGCCCGAGACGTACTTCTCCCGGTCTTTAAACACCAAAATAGACGTCTTGTAGACTTTCAACGCGCCTTCCCGGCCGTCTGCGAGCCGCGCGTGGTACACGTTCGCCTCTTTGCCCGTGCTCAGACAGCCGTTGATCTCCGTCACCACGCGGTGGTTCAGCATCTTGTACAGGATCATGCGCGTCCGCGGGTCCAGCACTTGCTCCGTCGTCGCGCGGTCGTCGCGGCCCGTGTGGCGCGTGCGGCCGCTCTCTTCATTGCGCAGCGACCGCGTCAGCTGGTTCTCGGCCGTCTTGGACAGGCAGAACACGTCGTGGCCAGTGTCGTCGCTGTCGCGCTTCATGGCGCGCGGCAGTAGCAGTAGCAACGCGCGCCGCAGCCACTCAATTCCTGTGTCAAGTGACGAACGAGCGAGTTTGTCAGACAGTGGTGGGGTGCAACCTGGGTACAGGAAGAAAGTGCTTTTTGTGGGATGCGTGCGCTGCATGACAGCCAGGCGGACGAGCGAGTTTGTCAGACAGTGGTGGGGTGCAACATGGGTACAGGAAGAAAGTGCTTTTTGTGTGATGCGTGCGCTGCATGACAGCCAGACGGACGAGCGATTGCAAAAGAGCTCTTTTTGTGCTTCGGCAGTGGCCGCGCGCGAGTGTGCCCATTATTTTTGGGTAAAATGTCGAACATGGATCGCGAAAAGGCTCAGGCGTACGCGGCGCTCGCGGCGCAGATGACGGAGCTGCACACGTCCATTGCGCTGCTGGCACAGAACGTGGAGAAGATGGCGCGTACGGACGCGGAGGTTGCGGCCATGACGTGCATCTTCAATGGCGTGTACGACGCACGCGCGAGTTGCAGTGACGACTGCGAGGCTAATGTACTGACGATGATGATGACGACGTGTCCTGCAGGTTCAAGAACGCGGCGCAGCAGACAAACTACCGCGACACATCGACAACGTCTGCGTAAAAGAGGAAGAGAGCGACCAGGTGCCATCGCTGTCGTTGTTGTCGTTCGTGCGACTGCTTGCAGGATGGACGTCCTGTTTAGGAAGAATCGATACCGTTTTTTACGACGAATCCATGCGAAACCATCTCGGGAGTCTCATGCACACACACGTACAGCAACTGCAGCACTAGCGGATGCACGAGTATGCTGCAAACTGTGGCGTCGTGGCCTCCAAGGCAGTCCAGTCCATCACACTCGCTTCGCGTGGTGTGTAGATCTTAACTTGTCGGATGTGCGTGTCGCGTCCATTCTGGTGCATTGCAAGGATTGCGATCTGCAAGAAGAACGTGCGCAACGGGGCCTGCAGAGCAGCAGCCATACGTGGTCAGTTGTACAGTCCCGTCATTGCGTCGTCAATCGTTGCGGAACGAACCTGCTCGGAGCTTCCGGCTGTGTAAAGCGGCATCGAAATCCACCCATCGGGCTCGGCAAGATGCTGGACGTGGATCTCCTTGAGGTCTTGCACTGTGTTGCCACTGCGGATCGCAATTTTCTTGGGCGTATAGCTCTCGTCCAGTTTGTAGTCCAGATACATCACCAGCTCCTTGATCGCTGTCTTGCGGGAGAACTGAATGTTGATCAAGTGCGGCTGCACGCCGTCTGACTGCCAGTACGTGTCCATCTTGTCTGCAGTCAGCACGTGAGCTCTGTGAGTGCCGCAGCGACAGATCACATGCAGCAGGAGATGCATTACGCACTGTCTCGTAGCTGGTCGACGCCGTTGCCAGGCTTGGCGGACGACAGGGACCAGACCGCGTCGTCCCCGACTTCGCGTCTTCCGTCGCCATCGGGCTCAGCTTCGGCCATCGAGTCCAGTCGAAGGGATCAGCACTCGCTGATTGGCTGAAATGCCAACGCGAAGCAACGTGCGTGAAAACCAGCTGGGAGTCCGTCGTAGCTGCTCGGCCGCGTCACGTGTGACAATATGGGTACACTCCGTCGGTAGTCAGTTCAGCGACGCGGGAGCCGGAACCACTCAGCTGCTGAGACGTGTGTGTATCGCGGCAACCGGACGTGAGGCTGAGGCTGAGGCGGTCTAAGGTCAGGCGCCTAAGAAATACTGTGGCAGAGAACCGGTGCGATTGCTGTGCGCGCGTAGCATCGACGCGCATGTGCTTACGATGTGCATTGTCTCAAGTGTTGGACCACACACTGGTGATAGTGCTGCTGCTGTGTCGAGGACGTTGATGTTGAAGTACGTAATGTAAGGAGGACGGGTTGCTGACAGGTGCTCAAGAACTTGTCGTAGAAAAATCCAGGACACCTTCTTCTCTTTCGACTTGTTTTTCTCAGCAGACCGTAGCCAGGACGTGTGCAAGTTCAATCTTCTTGACGCTCGTGTTTGTGAGACAGCGCATGGAAGAGATACGCGAGGACAAAAGTCTCGAAAGAGCGTGAGCTTTGTCTCTCGCGCAACAGTGCGTAGAGGATCCTGACTTCGTTGACTCTTGTCGGCCATTGCACTGGATCTCACGGCGCATGCACACACTCGCAACAACGATGTTGCAGTGGATCGACAGAGACGCCCGCATTGCCAGCACGTTGTTGTGGCAGACGAGGAAGCGTAATCATCAGGTCGATGGTCGAAACAGTCGACGCGCCAGCGCAATGCTGCACGAGTCGCATGACAAGATCGAGCTGAACGGCTTTTCGACCGCTGCGGCAAGCGAACGCCACGCAGCAGTCGAAGCAGCGTGCAATGTATGATAGAGACAGGCGTCGCAGGTCGAAGACTCGCTTCGTCCCTCGCAGCATGGATGGCCACGCATTGCCGACGGATACACCCTCAGTTGCGACAAGTGGCAGGACATGAGCAAGCAGGCAAATCCTGCATGCGAGTCGAGAAGCTCACACTGTCGCACTGCCTGCGACACATCACTGGAGCCCCAGTGATGGGCGTTGCGGCGGTGTTGCAACTGTTGCGGCCACGATGCCAACGACCTGCCGACGACATGCACGTGGCTTCGACACCCCCCGAAACTCCGGCTATCGTACGACTGGGTGCTGGACGGACCTGGAGCAGTCCGAGGGGGTGGCACGTACGCCGCCGGGTATGTCCTCACGGGGTATCTATCATGCTCAAGCAGGAGGCCGACGGAATTAATTGGACAGTCGACGACCCCGATATACCTCCGGAGTATGGCCACGATGTGGCCGTCCTCCGGAGCTCGCAAAAGTCTCTCGGTCTGGTCTTGGAAGCTCATCCTTCGACCCACAGCTTTCCGTGGGATGTCCCACCGAACGTGGCGAATCGGCACGTATTGCGATACCTCAAGCGCCAGCCGTATTGCAAGGCGAAGACGGGGCTTGGCCAGGCATTAGAAGGTATACTCCAAAAGTTACAAACCTGTGCAGCCCGGGGGGACTGGCACTCGGCAGTTCTTCATCAAACACCGAAGCAGCTGTGGGGCCACAAAAATGCGATAACGGAGTATCAAGTGTGGGTCTATTACCGTCTGGTGCTTCACCAGCTCAATTTATTCTTCCCGGGCAGGGAACTCGACAACAGTTGCCGACGGCTGACCGTCCGTGCAGGTCACAAAGAGACACTGGAGCACATTTTCTGGACTTGTCCGGTGGCCCAGGGATGCTGGCAGGCGATCCTGCCGGCGTGGTATGGGTCCGATGTGCGGCTGAATGACGTGAGTCAGTATGCGGGGAACTGCTTAGCACGAAAGCCGCCGCCTATGTCTAGGACATTGTTACAACGGCTGCAGCGGGCTTTTGGCGATACTGTGGAGGAATATATTGCTCAGTGGAAGCGCATCTGGTGGATCCTATGTTCCGTCTGTGTCTCGACTCTTTGGATACAGCGCAATCGGGCTGTTCACGAGCAGCAACGACTCCCACTCCAGGGCAGTGTCCACGAGTTTTCCTCTAACGGACTTCGGCAATTACGGGCGCTATCGGCACGAGAGCGCCGAACGCAACACTCCAGGGGGCAAGGCATCCGGCCGTGGCAGTGCATTGAGTTACTCGATGGTACCACTGCGCCTGCAAGAGCATCACATCATGTGGTGAGTCACGTACAACCACCGGGCAATTCGACACCGGCGTTGCTAATCTGGCTCAGGACATTCCAGAGGTCTTGTTCACATTAATACCGTGTAATAGACTGTCTGTTCCTCTCTCTCTCTCACATACACGTGGCACGTCAATACTATGCCGCACGCTGTTGTCTCGACACGTCGACGTGTATCCAAACGTTGTGCGGTCGACAACAGAGTAGTCGGATTACGGCTAGTAAAGACTGTAAGTGGAAATGCATTGCACCCGTTGATCCCTCATGCGACGAGTACCAGACGAACCCCCTTGCAATACTGATCGCATTCGTGAGCACGTACGTCTCTAGGGCCAATGGCACGCGCAGTCGCTGTGGTCGGACTTGGCCAGTGTCATGATCTGGGCTAAGACAGCAGCGCGTGGCTGTGCGAGATTAGCGTATTGGCGTATAGAGGCCCGGCGTCTTGCTCATAAACAGACGTACGATGGTGATCCCCGACCAGCGCCTGTCAATCAACCGATGGCCCAATTCATTCCCGTCGCAAAGCCCCGCGCTTGTTTCTCGTCTAAACACGTCGTACGGACGGGGCAAAGTGCGTGCCAGGGCCTCAGTATCGCATGGCGGCTCGTGCCTTACCTGCCACAATTCTACGTGATCGGCCGCTGAATCCACATCGTCCATGATAGTGTGCGACGCGGATTTCGACGGTGTCGTCTGCTTGAGCGGCGACTGCGCTATCGGCAACGCGTGTCGTCGCCTCGTGGCCACATGCGCGCACGTCTTCGGGCCGGCGAAACGCCACTGGATGATGTGTTTTTGCACTCGTAGGCAGCGAGTAATCGCCCGAATCATACTGAGCCCTTCACAGAGGCCCGAACGGAGCTCCTCGTAACAGCCACGACATGAACACCTGCCTCTGCGTGGTCATCTATCGCGCGACTGTACGTGTTTCGGTGGAATACAAACGCTTACGCGGGCCACATGGCGGCCATACTGCCAGCCCGTTCCACCGCAAAACACGAGCCCGACTATGACCACCCGCGTTGCTGCCGTAAAAGCCAATGCATTCATGTTGCCTCGAAAACATACCTCTCGCGCGGTCTTATTGGTGATGGTATAGACGGCAGGCAACGATACTGCGGCTGATGGCGTCCTCGTGCCCCGCGTCGTTGCGTCGGTGGGCGTTGCTCAAGTGGCATCGAAGGAACTCAGAGCCCACGAAAACAATCACACGCCGTTTTGGCGACTGCACCGTTCAGCCAAAGGGGCTGTCGTTGAGCGGCCTATGAGGACAAATCAATGGTCCGCATCTGATCCCGTGTTGCAGCAGCAGCAGCAGTACAGCCAGACAATCCCAAGAGCGTCACGAAGGTGATCAGCTCCGTGTAATCACTAGAGCCAACAACGCACTGGCGCTGTCATCGAGACGTGGGAACGACGACATCTCGAGACCTTTTGCACACACAAACCAACGGGGTACAGCAAATAGATTGACGCGTCTTCGCTCGTTTTCCCGCGCTGGTCGAATCTGCTCGAGGGCACTGCACGACAACACGCGGTGGTGTGTGGTGATTTATTTCGAGAAATATGCGACACGCGGCGACACGTCCGCGCGTGGGGCTTAATCTTTGTTTGCTATTAATACCGACAATCAAACCGCCAGTCATAGAGACAGCCGGCCAGCCAGCCAGACATTACATACATATGTACACACATACATACATACATACATACATCCAGTCCTACATTACATCTGTATAGGCAGACGCTAGTCAGGCTAGGCAAATCAACTGGCACGGCATGAGCCAATCAGCGTCGACCAGCTTCCGTCTGCCACCGAAAGTTTCGGCTTCGGCAGTTGAGCTCGCGAGACCAGAAGAAGTTCGGCTACCGACAGAGGAAGTGCAGGAGATGGAGGCGAGCGGCAGCGTCCGCGTGTTCGACGGCACGACCGACTTCCGCGTATGGCGCGCGCGCGTCGAGAACGAGCTGATGCGGTACCACTTGCTGGGCTACGTGATGGTGCGTGGCTACGACGGCAGTCAGGCGTTCATGTACAATGGCGAGAAGGTACCGCCCAGGACGCTGGCGGTTCCCGCCGAGAACGAGCAGCAGCAGACTCAGCAGCCGCCAGAGCAGCTGGTGAAGGAGGAGGTAGGGGTGCGGGGCGACGCAGTGCCTGTGTTTCCACAGGGAAAGCTCAGTCGATGGGACGTCCTCGGAGAAAGCGCGGAAGCCAAGAGCATTCTCCAGCGCTGCCTGCACCCAGACGTGGAGGGCGCGATCTTGAACAAGAACATCTATGATAGCTGGAAAATGCTTTGTGCGCTGTATGGCAATCAGAGCAGCTACGGCGCTCATGACGTGAACGAGATGCACCGGGTACTGCACCACATTCGACTTGGGGACAAGAAAGGAGAGCCCGTGCGTGAGTTTGTCACGCGGTGGGAAATGCTCATGCAGCAGTACGCACTGGCGACGGGGATTGAGCTGACGGACGGGTTCCGCTCGGTCTCGTTCGTGCAGACGCTTCCCAGTGCGTGGAGAGCTATGGTGACGTCGTGGCGCGGAGTCCGACCGTTTGTGCCGTATTCTGAGCTCGTAGAGAAAGTCATTGCAACGCGCGACAAGATGCAAGCGCAGATGGAGATGGCAAACGCTGCGAACTCATTACTGTCGAAACCGACTCGCGGCCCGACCGACAGTTCACTTGTGTTGCGAACCTCGCAATCGCCAAGAAGCTCGTTTGATAAGTTGGCTGGGTCTGAACCAGTCGCTGATACTGTTACGAAAGCGTCACAAAAAGATGTATACGAATCGGGAGATGATCGAAGGACCAAGTCCATGAATGAGTCTACTGAGCCAGCAAAACACTGCCGTGGAACGCCCGTGTCTGCCGACAAAGGCGCACGGCCGAGTAAAACCTCTCCATCGCATACTGAAACAACGAGTGGCGCAAGTGATAATGTGGACTCGATTAGTGGTGACACGACATCGACAACAGTGTCAGGAAAGAACACGACGACGACTAGAACACGCTCGGTAGACAGTGCGAAGAAATCAGTTACTGAGCGGTCAGCTGGTTCGCGATCGTTCAAGTCTCTGAAGCCCGATAGCCGGCATGAAAAGAACGGCGGGTACGAGCCGCGTGAGCGCTACGAGAAATACGACCTGGAGCCAGGCTATGACGAGTACGAGTTCGACAGTCGATACGACAAGTACGCGTCCACCAGTCGATACGAGCGATCTGCGCTTAAGCCTCGTAGCCGATGCGACAAGAAGTACGAGAGCTACGACCGCTACGACGGCAAAAACGGGTTCGTGTCGTGCTTCTACTGCCTCAAAGTGGGCCACCACATGAAGCGGTGCTGGTACCTCGAAGCCGACATTGAGAACGGCACGACGCACGAGCCGCACAAGAAGTTCTCGTGCGCGCTGACGCCCGAGCGAACGCGGTTCATGGTCAACTGCCTCGAAGCGTACATTGACGAAGTGAATCGCGAGCGGGCGGTCTACGAGATGTCGACGTCAATGGCAGGACCACGGAACCACGGCGGCTACGACTCCCGCGCGATGGAGAGCATGGGGCGTGACTACCACTCGCAGCAGCAGCAGCAGCACTACCACCACCATCACCACCAACAGCAGCATCATCATCAGCAGCAGCAGCAGCAGGAGCCCGTCCCGCCGCCTCCTCCCGGCCAGCCGCCCGCCAATGCGCTCCACCACCACCACCACCACCAGCACCAGCAGCAGCAGCAGCAACAACAAGACCCCTCTACCGTAAGTGAGACAACAGAGTACCGAAAGCGCTCGCGCAGCCCGACGACCGACCGGCGCAAGCGCTCGCGCAGCGCTTTCCAGACGACTTCTGGGGGCAGTACGCGAGCGCCGTCTGCGCAAGACGCGCCGCTCGGTCCGCCGCGGGACCGGTCAGGAGACGCGGCGCTGGTGGAGCCGTTCTCGCCCCGCAAGCGCTCGCGCCCGCCGTCCTCCGGGAGCAGCTTCAAACCCGTCTCGGACAACGGCGACGACGAGTGCTGCGCCCATTAGCCGCTGCTGGCGGTGACCTCCATGTGGTGGTGGGGGGGCGCTGTGCGTCTCCTTCTGATTGGCTAATATGATCCGTACTTATCTGAATCCCAAATGTACCCAAAAGGGGGCGCGATAGTGTGTAAACGGGCGACGACAGCACAGAGTGTTGTTGTGTGCGACCGGGCGACGGCGCGTGTTCTCCATCGAGAGAGAGGGGGAGAGAGGGCGGCCGCCGCCGACGACAGCGACGCACACGTAGACGCACGGGCGGTGGGCGAGTGTCAAGTGGGTGTGTGCGAGAGAAGACGGCGCGAGACTCTGTCGCTGCGATGAAGAAGACGACGCTGTGGAGGTATATATTGTGTGCTTTTGTTGCTGCGCGTCATTGCGTGGCGCGCGCGCAGCGGTTTGCAAGGGGTTGAAAGCTGCAAATGGATTGGCAGAAAAGCGCTAAAGAAATGTTGCTGTTGTGTTTGTATTGGTTGTTATTGTGCCGGATGTTCGTGCGTTTGTTGGGTCCACCGCTAGAAACAATGCTGCACCGGCTGGCCCAAGTGACAAGAGCAGTAGCGGTAGCACTGCCAGCGGCAGTAGTAAGACTGGTACAACTCCAGTGGCTGCTGCTACTGCGAGCGCAAAGCCAGTGGCGCCAAAGACAAAGAGCAGCAGCGGCAGCAATCCTTCGACTGCTGCACCGCACAGCACGAATCGAGGGAGTCTCAATAACAATCAAGAAAAACGACGCAGCATTAGCAATGCGCCGACCGACGGCGAGGACAAGCTGCCGCCGGGATGGACACGCAAAGAGAGCAAGTCGCAGAAAGGGCGGTATTACTACATTTCGCCAGCGGGCAAGACGCAGTGGGTCCCTCCGCCCTCGGCCAAAACGCCGAGTGCGAAGATTAAGAAAACGTACAACTGGCTGAGCGAAGTGGAGATTTGTTTCCAAGAAGGTCGGCTGGGCGTGAGTCTGCGGGAGGTCCATCAGATGGAGACGATTTTGTATCCTCAATTCCAAGCTGAAGTGGACGATTTGCCAAAAGTCAATGGAAAAGCAGGTCCTGCCGAGCTGCACAATTGGAGTGTCAAGGCGAACAAACGTCTGACGATTGGCATGCGTGTCATCAGTATCGAGGACGCGTCGCTGGTAGGATTTACGTACAAGGAAGTCGTTGCAAAGCTGAAGACTGCATCTCGTCCGGTGCGCATTAAGTTTGCTGACGTGCAGAAAGGAACCGTCGAAGAAAATGGCGGTCGCAAGTCGGATGGGGACAGTGCCAAGAACAGCACCGCCACGGACCTAGCTGGCCCGGGATACGGACACTCGACTGCTTACATGCAGCAAAAACAGGAATACACGCGCGTGCTCGTGACAGGGGAGCTTTATACCGAGATGTGGACAATTGAGAACAAAAAGTTGCTGCGATCGCTGACGCGCATGCAGCATAAGTGGAACACGGTGTCGAGTGAGTTTGATATTCTAAATGCGAGGCGAATGGAGTTGCGGAAAGAGAACGACGAAATGAAAAGTGATAAAGAAAAGTACGAAAAGATGTTGAAAAACCTGAAGCTACAAGCGACTCATGCTATGGAAAATCCGGAGCTTGTGCGGGCCAACGAGCTGGCCAAGCGAAACACAGAGCTGAGCGATGACATATCCAAAATGAGCTCTGGGAACAAGCGATTACGAAAAGAGAGGGATGCGCTGCAAGCCCAGCTAGATGAGCTGGAAAAACAGCTTGTAAAAGTGGAACAAAAAGACAAGGCAGAAGAGGAGGACCGCGTGCCAGAAGAGGACATTTTTGGCATTGAGCCTACGGCACCACCGAAGGAGCAGCTGTCAGCATTGAAGAAAAAGAGACGCGGGCTTGAAGACGAAGTTAACAAAGAACAGCGCAAGGCCAACAAGGTGCAAAAAGAGATGGAGCAGCTTACGAAGCACTACGCTAGTCTTGAGAATGAGGAGTCGGGACACATCTCTTCAACGTCCTCGCCATCCTCTCACCACCCGCCAAAAGACGACAAAGACAAGAACGCGTCGACGCCGAGCGGCCAGCACGATACAACTAGTAGTGGCGGCAATGGCGTGACAAAGCCCAAATCCGAGTTTGCTGACCTTGAAGCGAAGATATTGGAGCTGCGCAAGAAGCAGAGATCCGTGGTGGATACCTTGTCAAAGGCTGCCCAGTCAGGTGATCACAAACTGGCAAAGGAGTGCCAACGGCGGCGCCAGAAGATCAAGGAGGAGCTGAAGGATGCGCAAGACGAGCTTTACCGGGTCAAGAACCATGGTAAGCAAGAAGCATCGTCTGCACGGGGTGAACGGTCCCGCAAGGAAAAGACCTCAGTTGAGGCAGTAACGGTGCCAAGCCGTCAGCACTCGCCGTCGTCGAAGAAATCCAAGCAGTTGGGATCGATTTCGAAGGGCAAGTTGAGTCCGTCGACTCCTGATGCAAGCGCTGACACTCCGTCTACGACCGGCAGCTCGCGTGCTGGAAAGATGCCAATGCTGAGTGGTTTCTTGGAAAAGGGACCGACAGAGTGGGCAGACCGCGGCCTCATCAGCGGCATGAAGACAATGCGTGGTGCCCGTGAGCGTTGGTGCGTAATCACGGCCGATGGATTTCTTAAATATTACAAGCGCCGTGGTGACTCCGTCGTGCGTGGGGAGATCAACCTCGCTGAGAAGAGTTTTGAAGTCCTCGCGGATGATCTTGCGCATGGAAAGGAGTTTGTGCTGAGTACAGACGAGCAGCAGTCGCATTTCTTCACGAAGAACGCACAGGAGCTGAACAACTGGGTGAAAACCCTTCGTGCCGCAAACGCTTATTTACTCAATGCTGCTGCTCCCCCGTTGCCTCCGCCACGAGCAGCGCGTGGCACTGGCGACAAGCAAGTAAGTGCCCGACACGAAACGAAACAGACACAGGAGTTCAATCTTGACGGACTGGAGGACTCGCTGCCTGAAGAGGATGAGCAGTTTTACGGACGTGCTACTCTGGGTTTCTAAGGAATCGGTAGCTGTGGGCGATCGATGAGCACTGATGCTTCCAAATGTAATGGCTGATTGTTATGTCGATGAACGCTAGTTAAGCTCTCCTTCCCTTAGTCTCCTCTTGGCTCGAAATAAACAGTATCTCGTCCACCGCCGCGTCTGCTGGGCCCGCGTCGTCGTCTTGACGCTCCTTTCTGCAATTTGGACAAGCGATCATTGCGAGGTCAAAGGAGGAGATCGTACGAGCGACGCTGGAACAGGTTGGTCTTGTAGCAATTATGCAGCTAACCTATCTGTAAACGGACGAACATTGGCACCACATCACGGCGTCAGTAGCTACTTCAACACAAGCAAGAAAACATGGCGATGCTGTCTATAGCACAAAGTACTTGTTGCGCTCTTCCTCGCTCGCTGCTGACGTCGCCGCACCCCGATTGTCATGGCTAGGATACCACTGGCCACCCTCCACGCTGTTGTTCCCTGAGCGGCGTGCTGATATCCCGTCTTCACTTGTCTTGCGACTGCGATGCGAGTTGCGATTGCCATAGCGGTACCATGAAGTCGTGCCGGCAGGACGATTGCCCTCGCTGACGTCATGCACCACGCGCGAGCTGAGATTCTTCGTAAACTGCTGCAATGCCAGCGCACTATCGTGCAACTGCTTTGGTTCCTCTCCCGTCGCGCTGATCGTGTCCGTGTTTCTACGTGCCACGGCGCCACGACCGCGACCCTTGACCATGGAAACCATATCGACCTTGTCCATGGGGACAGAAGCTTCATCCTCTTCCGGTTTGTCCACCTTGTGTACCATCTCGTAAAAAAGACCACCCATTTGCACCAGAGCATCGTAGCGACCCTCTTCGGCAACACGCCCTGCACTGAGGACCAGAATCTGGTCTGCATTCAGAGACGTGGACAAGCGGTGCGTTACCGAAATGATAGTCATGTTCATCTTGCCCGAGAGGCGCTCCAGTGTAGACACAATCGATGCCTCGGTCTCGGGATCCAAAGCGCTCGTGGCCTCATCCAGCAGCAACAGGCTCGGGCGACGGCATAGCGAACGTGCTAAGCAGATACGTTGTGCCTGGCCGCCACTTAAGTTGCACGTTGCATGCTGACCCACCACCGTCTCGAATCCGTCTTTCAGCTCCCGGATGAAGTGGCACTCTGCGAGGCGGGCAGCCTCTTCGCAGTCGGCGTTCGAAGCATTCGTGTTACCGTAGCGGATGTTGTCATAGATCGTTCCGTTGAGAATGCCACCGTCCTGGAAGACCACTGCAGTCTGATCCATAAACGATTTCTTCGAAAAGTTGAAAATGTCGTGGCCGTCGAGACGGATGCAGCCCCCATCAGCCTCCTGGAACTGCATCAAACATGCTAGCAGCGTACTCTTGCCGCAACCGGACGGTCCGACGATGCACGTGTAGGATCCGCGAGGAATCGCCGCCGTCAATTCGTTCAAAATGTAATTCTCGGACGACTTGTCGTACTTGAACACGAGTTTCTCAATACGAAGGTCCTGCTGCATCTTTGGCAATGGCGGCATATCGTTGTCGCTATTGTCGTCGCGAGTGACCGACCCGAGGCCCACGATGATGTCGTCCACTCGTTGCAGACTACTGGCATTGCCGATAGCCACGCGCATGAAACCACCGAGCACCGTCACGGGGTTCGATACTCGACTCAATAGCGTAATGAATCCGAAAAACTCGCCCGACGACAGTTCCTTGTGCCACACCTTCATGGCCAACGAGGCGGTCATGATGGCGACAAAGATATACATGGCCGACTCGATATAGATCTGCACGATACTCGACCAAAAGTCTTTCGAAAACTGACTCTTGCGCAGCGATGCGCACGTTTTCTTGAAACGAGCAATGAGCGGGTCCTGAATCGCGTAAGCACGCACGACCTTTTCACACCCGACAGCATTCTGAAACTCAGCAGCGACGTACGCATTCCTCGATCCAAACTCTTTCGATCGCTGAGCTGCAAAGCCCTGCGGGCCACTGGAAAGCAACACAGCAGTGAAAGCAAACGACATGATACCGATGCTCGCGTCCATGTACAAGGCGTATCCGAAACCGAAAATCACAGCCAACAACGGGTTCAACAGATTCCAAAACACAGCCTGCCACAGCGCGTTCACACGCGCTACGTCACTCGAAAAGAGATTGTTCAAGTCGCCTTCGGATCGCTCGGCGAAAAATTGCGTGTCCTGGCGAAGGATAATGTTGAGCAGTGCGGATTGCATGGACTCGGTCGCTTTCGAGATCATCTTGGACTGAAAGTAGCCGACAGCGTAGTCGCCGAGCACGAACGGCACGCACAGTGCCAGGACACCCACGACACCAAACCGAAGCGTCGCCTCGTTCGGATCGCCTGTATCCAGCGTATCAAAGGCATCTGACAGCTTGGCGAGGAAAATCGCCAGCGCTGGACTCACGGACGCATTGATGCACACGACAAAAAAGCAAAACATGAGGTCTGCCATCTGCGTAGACCAATGCCACAGCGTGCTCCGCACAACGTCCGTGATGCCGTACGCGAGCGTCGACGACGACGCGTCAATGTCCCGCAGATGCGACAAGAACTCGGTCGCCGAGAGGTTCGGCGGGCGGTAGTGCAGGGCCCGCTCGAGGAAGTTCATGAGCTCGTCCCGCGTCATGTCGCCTTCGTCTCGTCCGCAAATGATCACGAGGTCCGTCTCCATCATCTCAATCGACATGGCCGAAATGCCCGGGATCCGCGCGAGCGACGCGCGCAGCGACTCGATACTGACGCGAATGTGGTCGCCGTTCGTGCGAAACTTGTGCAGCTTTTTCGAAAACGTGCGTGCCCGGGGCTTGAGGATCAGGCGCAGCGCCACGAGCGTCAAGTAGCCGAGACAGAGCAAGTACTCTGTCTCGCCCATGACGAACCGCGAGCCCAAGAGCGCGACCATTGCCACGAGGCACACGAGGTCGGCAATGTTCGAGTGCGAGCGAAAGAGCGCGAGCCGCAGCCCCAGCACGCGGATGATCATGTCAATAAAGTAGCACAGCATGAGGCCGGCCGAGAAGTAGCGCGACGCTTTGGCCGCCACTTGGTCATGAAACGACGTCTTTTGCGTGAACGAGATGGCCAGTACCTGGGCGAAAAAGTCGAGAAACAGCGCAAACGTCTCCGAGTAGTGCCACTTGCGCGAGTCGATCACGCGCAGGTAAAAGAGGCGGTGGCCATTGCCGGGCGAACTGGCTGCGCCTTTGATCGCGCGCGGGTCGGACGAGTCGGGCAGCGGACCGCCAATCTTGACGAACCCGCCGCTGCTCTCGGGCGGGCCGCGCTCAAAGTCCGTCGTCTCGCTGCTCATGTCCAGTGTGGAGTGGGTGGGCGTCGACTCGAAGGCCGCGGCCTTGCGCTGCATGCGCTGGGGACGACAGGCAGTGGCCGAGAGCGAGAGAGAGAGCGTCACAGGCAGTCGACGTGCGGGCGGCGGAGTAGTGGACTGGGCGTCGACCGTTCACTGAGGTTTCGTATGGAAACTGACTTGCGCGGGGACCCCGTGGGACACGGCCCCCTCGGAAAGAGTCAGCGACGGGCACGATCGAGTGCAGAGGGAGTATTCGGGATGAAGAGGCAGGCGAAGGGGGGATCGGCTGTTGAGGTAGCAAATATGACAGGGTATGTGGACGTGGGGGTAGCTGGACCGACCCCAGCAGTTGGGCGACGAGTTAACTGCTGGCCGCCGCGGTCGTTTGACTGGAGAAAATGCGCCCTCCGAGACCATCTGTGGAAAACCGGCCGGAACCGGATTCTCAACCGCGGTAAGAAACGAGGCGCAAAGCGACCCGCAAGTAGCAACCCTGTAGCCATCTCCTCCGGCACGCGCGCAGTCGGTCGTTTGCGCACTGCATCGAGTTGTCGATTGAGGGTCAAGCGTGCAACGGTGGGCCGTGCGCCAGGGCACAGTTAGACGCCAGCCAATGGCCGTCGCGCATTCAGCTACGACTGACTCCTGCACCCATGTCGTATTGTCGGCCACCGTCCAACATGGCGTCAGCTCTTGCTCTCTTGCTCCATGGAACCCGTCAAGACGATATCAGTGTCTTGTTCACGTTTGTATCGATCGACTCGGTCAACTCAATCAGCCACGACGTCGCGCCATCGACGGGTCGTCACGCCATCGACGTTCCGAAGTCCCGGAAACCCTCTCAAACTCAATCGCACGTTGCAACACTAGAAAGAACGACACATGGGGACTTGCCACCAGCCTCCCACGAGCCCATTTGACCGACTCGCGGCGGGTTCGCAGCTTTTACCGCCTCCGACAGCCGCCCCCGTCGCTCATACCGGTATCAGCAACGCATCGAGGCAGTCCAAAAGTGGGACGGTCCCTCGACAAGCGGATGGCGCTCGATTCTGACCAATCAGCACGCGCGAACGCGTCCCACGCATCGTCTCCAGTCATGCAGTCGGCCATTCCCCTCACGACATGAGCCACGCGACCCCTTCGCGCTACGCGACCGACGGCCACGCGCGCGCGTTCTCCATCCCGGACGCGGACTTCCAGCGCGGAGACACAACGCTCAAGCGGCGGCGGAAACTGCCGGCGCTTCCGTCCGCCCCTCCCTCGAGCCGCGCGGTCGCTCCGTCTCAGACGCGCTCTATCGCCGCCATACGCGCCAGATCCAAGTCCCGCAGCCGGTTTATGCCGCAAATGGGTCCGGGGCAGCACTTTGTTGCGCTCGGCAGTAATCGAGCGGGCGGTGCAGTTACACAGAACACCAACAAGACGAGTTACTATCACCCGCGCGTCCCGGAGACTCCCTATCGACCTTTTCAGCCGCTAGCTGTTGCTGCTGCGGGTGCTCGGCCATTTGGTGGAAGCCGATGGAACGATGGCCCGCAGTCGACGGCTTGTCCCCGACGCAACCCGTCGCCTGCTTTACCACACAGCACGCGAGCCGAGTCGGAGGTACAGGGGAAACAAGACAAAGCAGCAGCAGGAGCCATGCAACGTACTCAACGAGAGCGCTCGAAGTCTGCAGCGAGACGCAGTGGCGGTGGACCAATGAGCTTTCATAAGGATCTGGAGATGTCGAGATCCGGGACCAAGAAAGTGACGGAGAGCAAGCGGACACGCTCCAAGTCCAAGACACGGACACGCTCCAAGTCAAAGGCGCAGACTCGCTCCAAGTCAAAGGCGCGGACTCGCTCCAAGTCAAAGGCGCGGACTCGCTCCAAGTCGAAGACGCGAGAACGATCTAGATCCAAGACACGGGAGCGAGAGACGGAACGTGCTCGAAAGCGAAAACGTTTTTTGAGCTGCAGTCAGCTCTTGGGACGCTCGGAAGCTGGTGATACGAAGAAGCACGACGAGAAATCGACAAGGACGTCGTCGCAGGGGGAGGCACGAAGCAGTAGATGCGGTAGTAGTCTGGACGAGATTGAAGATGCGATTGCCAATGCCGAGCAGGAGTTGAAGCCAAAGAAGAAGGAGTTGGACGACTTGCGTGGACAGATGGAAAAGTTCCGGAAGCGTGTCGAAGCCAAAGAGCTAGAGGTGTACGACATGCAGGTAGATTTAGATGCGTTGCGAAAGCGCAGAGACCGCCGGTTGCCCTCGCATCAGAGCGAAAGCAGCCGCGAGGATAAGCCTGCGAAACGACCCAAGAGCACACAGCGCGAAAGTCGCCATTCAGTCAGTCGGCCACGACCAAGCAAGCGTCCTTGCATTGTCGATGAAGAGGATGATGAGGAGTGCACGGACGACGATGATGACGTTGTGATCATTGAACCGCACGAGATGAAGCAAGAGTTGGGGAACAGTGCTGCGGCGGCGACAGGCAGCACGGTCGTGCCAGTTGAGGACTCGATGCCTGATCATTTCTGGGGTCGTTCGCCGACGCCTAAGCTGCTGGCAAACCACCGCTTCCGTGCGATCCCGGACGGCAGCGCTCGCAAGGGTCGGCACTTGGCGTTCAACCCGATCCAGCCTCAGATTTTCGCCACGAGCCCCGATGAGGGAGGCCTTATCCTGTGGAGTTACCAGCGTCAGGATCAAGACATTGCCAAGGTGGTGACGCTGACGCCGTCGTCGTTCCGGCGGAGTAGTCCGTGTGCAGAGGCTGTATCATGGAGTCCGGATGGAAACCGCATGGCCATGGCGTTTCGTGATCCTGTGGATGACAAGGGAGAGCTCTGCATTGTGCAGCTTCACCAGCTCAAGCTCGAAGACAGTTGCACGCCGCAGTCGCTTCCGCGCGACCGCATCACTTCGAAGCGCACGATTCTGCATCCACGCGGTATTTCCACGATCGGGTGGTTGCCAAGTGGATTTGGGTCCGAGACCTCTAGCCGTCAAGTGATTACGACGGGCAACTCGGACCACGCAGTTGTGTTGTGGGAAGAGCACGAGGATCGACAGAGTGGGGCTCTCGATCTGAAGTGGAGCGTACTGCACCGTGACCATCGCAGTGAAGTGAAGTCGCTTTGCATCCATTCCAAGCGCGATTGTTTGTACACGGGTGGATTTGACGGGCTGTTGATTCGGTACGACGTGAACAAGGGATGCACTGAGACAGTGATGGAGCGCCGCAAGCCGAACATTTGCAAGATCAACTCGATCCTCGAGCATCCACACAACCCGAATTTGCTTCTCGTTAGCAGCGTCGAGCAGGCTCAGCACAACATGTTGTTGTATGACGTCCGCCAGCGGTACGACAGCAGAGAGATGTCGTTGACGTGGGAGGGTAGCTCAACGAGTCAGTACATCGTACCGCGGTGGTCACCTGCAGGCTACCACGTCTCGTGTGGCAGCAAGACGGGTGTCGTGAATATCTGGGACGTGCGTATGCGGGGCGACAAGTACCCTACAGTCGAGCCGCAGCAGGCGCTTCGTGTGCACAGTAAGTGTTGCTTGATCTTGCCGAGTCCTGGATATCGTTTGTGACGCTTGTCTGCTGTTGGTGTTGTGTGCTTGCAGGCAAGACGGTGCTGCACGCGACGTGGCACCCGCGGTACGACGCAATGTTCACCGTCTCGCACGACCGAACGCTTGGGTTGCTGACCTTCCGATGAGCGTTGACCGCTCGGCACAGCAAAAGACCGTGCATTTGGATGCGTGCTTGATGCATCCGTTGGTAAGATAGCAACTTTGGTTCTGGCCATCTCGTGTCGTTTGGCCGAGCCTTGGAACAAGGCCGCGACGATCTGTCGCATGGTGCAAGTGGTCTGCGACACAATAGGCACTCTCGTTGCTTTGTGAGTGAGCGATACACTGTTGCACGGTGCTGCTGGCTGTAGTTGTTGTAGTTGCTGCTAGTGCGAGTCGCGTTTCGACGAGCTTTTGCCGCCGCGACCGCTTGGCGGCTGCGTCGTCCACTGTGCCTCAACATCACGTACGATCTCAGTCGGACGACTGCACGGACGACGCGACGCGACATACGCACTCGAGCGCTCTCTTGCACACTTGTCGACGCCATCGATGGACCTCACAATACCGCACCTTCCCATGCCAAGTCATTGACTGCACCTCTTGCGTAACAAATCTGTCCACGACTGAATGCGATAGCGGGCGATGGACTTCTGGTGCAAAGGCCAATCGATCGGTACCGCTGCGCGCAAGTCTGAGTCAGCGCCTGCTGTGTTGTGACGGCTGGACGCATGTGCCTCATCACCACAAAGTCTCGTAGGACGTCGTAGGATCATCGACATGCAGACGTGTGTTGATGACAACTGAGCCTTGAGGTTGTCGAGTCGCTTCGGGTAGACAGGAGGTACATGAAGAACGACCGAGAAGCAAACGCATCGACACTAACATGAGCTCTTGTAACTATCTGTCTTCCTGCACGCCGCTACTCCATCTCTTCGTTATACGTCGAGCAACCGCAACACGTGACGCCATGACAAGCGTCGCTCTAGTAGTCCTGCGGGCACACGAGTCGTTGCAAGAGGATCAGCCGCAAGACAAGTCGGCGAGTGAGCCCAACACGCGGGTGACTGAGGTACAATGCCAAGTGCCACACGCGAGACAGCGTCTCACAGTGACGCAGTCTGCGAATGTGCACTCGCCAGTTGTGCCTCACGTGCAACTGCACTGCCCATTGGGTTGGCGTATTGTCGGATCGAAGGTCCGCTGTCGAACGGGTCGTGACCGAAGCGCGTCAGAAAATGTGCGCGTCACGTAGCGCCTGTGAAACGGCAGTCGGCGCGTCAACAAATGGCGTTCTGTTGACCCAACGGATCGTTCGAGTGGCTATCCGTTTGTCTATCGGTCTATTTGTCTATCGGTCTATCGGTCTATTGGTCTATCGGTCTATTGGTCTATTGGTCTATTGGTCTATTGGTCTATTGGTCTATTGGTCTGTCGGTCTGTCGGTCTGTCGGTCTGTCGAACGGTCGGTTGACTGGTGCGACCACTCGCCTTTACATCGGCGTCATCGCCAATCGCCTAATTGCTGGAGGAGGTCCAAGCGCTGATGACACTGACGTCTTCTGGCCGTATCGACTACATGACATCATCCGTCGTGGCCGAAAGTCATCAGCTGCCCTCTCGAAACCAATTCACTCGCCTTCAGTATACTTCGCACGCGCCACGTTCGGTCAAAAATGGGGCCCCACCCTCCACCATCTTCGACCCATTGACGCCCTTACCCGCCCCAACGAAACTGGTGGTGGCTCGCGAAACGAATCACTTGCGCTTTTGCCGCTCAACACACGTCGGTCGGCTCCATCTCTCGCAGCCTCAGTAGAGGAGAAGAAGAAGGAGAGAAAACATTGACAAGAGCCGCTCCCGCACCATGTCGGCCGACCTCCTCCAGCGCTACTACGACTGGGCCAACACGACCGAAGGGCACCTCCTCGACTGGGTGGACCCCGAAGGCGGCTGGAAGGTCCACCCCATGGCGCACTACCCGCTCGCGAACTTTGCAAGCGTCTACGCCATCTGCATTGGCTACCTCCTCTTTGTCATCATTGGCACGGTACGTCTCCTCGGCACACTGCAACGACCTGCCCACTCGTACTACGGGGCACCTCTACCAGTGCCGCTGTCTAATCTGTACCTCCTCCTTGTTGCTTGTGCATCAGGCGCTGATGAAAATGGGGATCCCGGCCGTCAAGACGAGTCCCTTGCAGTTCGTGTACAACCCCGTGCAAGTCATTGCGTGCTCCTACATGTGCGTCGAGGCAGCGATCCAGGCGTACCGCAACGGGTACTCGCCTGCGCCGTGCAACGCCTTCAAGGCCGACGCCCCCGTCATGGGCAACGTCCTCTACCTCTTCTACCTCTCCAAGATGCTCGACCTCTGCGACACGGTGTTTATCATCCTCGGCAAAAAGTGGAAGCAGCTCTCGATCTTGCACGTGTACCACCACCTGACAGTGCTCTTTGTCTACTACGTGACGTTCCGCGCGGCGCAGGACGGCGACTCGTACGCGACGATCGTACTCAATGGCTTTGTCCACACGATCATGTACACGTACTACTTTGTGAGCGCCCACACGCGCGACATTTGGTGGAAAAAGTACCTCACACGGATCCAACTGGTGCAGTTTGTGACCATGAACGTCCAGGGGTACCTCACGTACTCGCGCCAGTGCCCGGGCATGCCGCCAAAGGTGCCGCTCATGTACCTCGTGTACGTGCAGTCGCTCTTCTGGCTCTTTATGAACTTTTACATTCGCGCCTATGTGTTTGGCCCCAAGAAAGCGGCCGTGGAAGATGCCAAGAAGAAGCTGTAAGGGGAGAGAGACCGAGGGCGGGATCTCAGTATGGTATGGCGGCAGTAGTTTGACCCTAGTTTTTCGTCAATGTAGCAGTCTGTCTTCATCACACTATGCTTTCGAATCGGTCAGTCATAGGCAGCGGCAGCAGCCGCAGCCGCCAACAGAATTGATAAAAGAGCTTCTTGTGTATCCCGGCAGTTAAACCTCGAACGAGGTCGCGCGATGTGTACCGAAGCGCGTAAGGTACGCACGTATACCTTACCTACCTGCTTGCACGTGTGCTGTCTGCTGTATACCTGATGCTCGGAGACGGTTGTGTCGCTCTGTCGGTCGAACCCTTTCAGCTGGGAAACCATCGTCGATGATACCGTACCTAACATCGAAGTACGGGCTGCGCGTTCGAGCACCCATTGTACGGTAAAGTACGATGGCAAAATGGTTACAAAAAGTGGTGGACTGGAATGACGTACTCAGATTGACGACTCTGAAGAGCCGACGGACACTCAGTATATCTTTTTCCCTCCAATCAACAAGAGGAACGAACCCAATAACTCAGTAGACCCCTTCCACCCGTCATGACCGCTCCTGCTCCGCCCATAGGCGACAAGAACGCGCTCGAGACGCCGTATAAGCGTCTCCCCGCGTGGAGTGGGAAGCTGAAGAACGTCAGGTACCGTCTGGCGCTCATGGCAGTGCTAGCGGCGCTCCTCGCGGGGGTCATTCTCATGCTCTACAATGGCATTTTCTCGTCCTCGTCGTCCTCCTCCCAGTCAAACGACTCGTCGGCTGCCACTTCGGACAACGTGGTCGTCTACCTCGCCGCCTCTTTGACTGAACTCATGAACGATGATCTATCACCAGCTTTTACTGCCGCCACAGGCGTCACGCCGTCGTTCGTGGCCAAGGGGTCCGTCAAGCTGGCCAACCTCCTTGCTAATGGCAGTCAGTCCGACCTTTTCATCAGTGCTGACGCATCGGTGAATACCGCACTGCTCATGGGAAACGGCAACAACAACTTGATCTCGTGGTACATTACATTTGGTGCAACGTCCATTGGTCTCGGCTATTCCCGCGAGTCTCCGTACGCGGACGTGTTTGCAGCGGTGCAGAACGGATCGCTGTTGTGGTACGAAGCCCTGCAGCAGAACCCAAACATGAAGATTGGTCGAACCGACCCGGAAGTTGGCCCCAAAGGCTATCGTACTGTCATGATGCTTGAGTTGGCTGAGAAGTACTACAACACGACCGGTCTCGCGATGGACATTTTGGGCTCTGCGACGAATCGAGACCAGATCTTCTCAGAGGAACAACTGGCGACATCAGTGATGTCGGGGGATCTTGATGTTGGGTTTTTCTACGCCGTGGAAGTGGGCAGCTTGAGCAACGTGGATTTCATTGCGCTTCCATCGGAGATCAATATGGGCAGCCTAGCTCTAGACGACACGTATGCAACTGTGTCGTACACGAACTCCGCAACAGGGACGGTCTACAACGGATCGGCTACGGTCTACACCGTGACGATTCTGAACAGTGCGCCGCGCTTGTCGGAGGCAGAAGCGTTCGTTACATTCCTGCTGTCACCTGACGGACGGAGGATTTTGACAAAGCAAGGAGTTGAAGCAACTGCAGTTGTTGCCTATGGCAACACGTCTGCTATCCCCGCTACAGTTGCAGCATACTTGTAATGATACGAATCACCTCCGAGCTCTTGATCATGTCCGAGTTCTTGGTCGTGCTGTGCACGATGTGAGCGTGCAAGAATTGAGACATAGCGAAGATGACCGGCTTCAGTGTTGACAGGACTCAACAGCGAGGATAATGAATGTGAATGATTTTGATTGCAAGGCAATTTATGTGTGTGATCAGTTGCGGGATGAGTGTGTATGTATTGAGTGGACTGGCGTGCGCATGTCGGCTACGTGTCGAGAAACTTCATCCACAGCTTGTGATAGCGACATGCAATGAGGCGATCCCACGACAGCAGACACGCTCTCTGCTACGATGAAGCTTGTCCACGCACGGAAGCATGCGATTGTATCACAATCGCCTTTTGGAAGCGTGCATCTTGATCATTACAAGGAGTCGCACGCGGTTGTTGTAAATGCCTCCAAAGGATTCCTTGATCGCTTTGCTCCTCATGGCACATCAGCAAAGATACGCTCGCCCGGAGATGTGTTTGATGTGGCTTGGACGACGGTGGTTGTCGCGGCAAACGATAGCGCTCTTGACTCTAGTGCCTCCAACTTGCCGTATACTGTGCAAGCTACCGGCTCCATTTGCGTGTCAGAGTATCGAGTGTCTGTGAAGCTGACTGGAACACTCCACGTAGTGCAACTCAGACAATAACGCTGCACCAAGTTTTGACCGGACGCACAGGCGGTTGTCCTTTCGGCTTGTGGCTTTTGGGTCGTTCAGTGATGGGAGTTGTCCGACCTCAACGCGCAAACAGTCCGACTGGGACCAAGATGAAGGTGCTGCTCGTGTGCGCCGCCTTTCCACTCCGATGATCGTGACCAGAACTCGCTGATATCATTGTGCGGTGACTTTTCGTCGCTGTCGCTTGCGTTGGAGGACACATTGTCATTGCTTGTGCCTGCAACAGTAGGGAGTGTCTGCGGACCGGAAATACTTGGTACGTTTGCAAAGTAGTCCAGACTGTCCCACGTCTTCCAGCTCGCTAGGACATCCATTTCGGCGAGAGATGAAGGACCCTTCTTGGCTTCAAGCATGGGCATATCGTCGAGCATTGCACCTTCGCTCTTTTCTCCGATCACAGCTTCTAGCATTGCCGTCTGCTTGTGGCGTGCTTTGTTGCGTCTTGCGGGTATAACTGGTGCTACGGTCACTTGACGTGCGCGGGCATCAACGATGGGAACCGTTACGAAGTAAGGCATGGCAAGCGCGTTCTCAAGTGCCGCCCACCACGTCTCGAAGACGGCGCTGGTCGGAGCACGTAATGTCACGCTCTGGTGCCACGTTCCATAGCGGATCCGAAGCTGATGTCGGCGGGCCTCCTTTCCCGATACAGAAGTGAGACGGCTTACGTTTTGCTGGAGATGTATCTCGAGTTTGCCGCCAATGGCCCTGGGACGAACAATGGTCAGCAGACATGGTCTTTGCCTGGCAATAATCTTGAGCGAAACGATAACCTTGTGCCTATGATCATGGAGCAGAAAGAAGCAAGGGAAGTGCAGCTAAGCATATTGAGCGGGATGCAGTGGCGTGAACAACGTATCGGCAACTCAGACTCACCAGAAAAGCCTGCAGATCCGCATCTTCATGGTACAGCGAAGGGTTTGCCGAGAATTCATGAAGACGTTCGGCCGTGTTGATTCCGGTTGTTTGCGGTTGCCCCTACTGTTTCGGTCGAGCGATGTGCGAACCGGGCAATGAGGAGATTCGTAAACGATCAGCTCTGGGGAACGCTTGTGCTGGTCTCACTCGATGACAAGTCATGTACATTTGGGTGGAGTCAGTCACCAAACACTAGCTGGATGCGACAACGGACAACGGCGAAGAGCGGGACGGGGCCACAGTCAAATGCAAGCCGAGAACAAACCGACGTACAGTTTTCCGTCGACTCGCTTGTAGCGCTGTGGAGATTTTGTTGACGGTGTACCCGAGCCTCGTCAACGTAGCCGTCTCTTTTGGTCTACACTCAATGAACAGGACAACAGGGCACGTGGGGTAAGAGGCTGCTGTAACACATGTGTATGGAAGCGAGGGAGTCTCGCGCACATGCTGCTGAGCTGAGACGGTGGAGTCTTTCTCCGGAAAGTGTGACCGAGATCTTGATATCGTGAGCACTTTGCACGGTCTTATTGCAGCAAACCGATTTAGTTCGGTTCGCTCTGTCCGGCGCAGATCATGTCGTGGTCAATGGATTCGGTTGGAAGGAGAATCACGCTACGTTCTTGCAGGTACAGTTGTTGTAATGCTTACATCAGTCGAAACGAACGGAAACACTCACAACTCTGTCACTGTAACACGGCTGCAACGTCTGCTGATTAACAACTTTACTGACACTTGCTTACAGATCGACAAGACCCGATATGAACTACGATGGTAAAAGAGCCGACACATGCATCGGGGCTGCCATAGCATGCGTAGTTGCAAAAGCTGCTTCTATCACCCGTACTTGATATGCGTATGATTCATCTGTACATGTCTGATCTTGTAGTCTACACGAATCCAACGCCTTGACCAGGACAAATGCACAGCTATGCACACCTGACTTGTCTTTCATCACAGCAAGCCAAACTTGCGATGTTTTTGCAAGTCCGGTATGCGCAATAAAGTGGCTGTTGACGTGATGCTGAAGACTGGGCACCGAGATAAGAGGAACACCACGCCATACCATGTGTGCAAGCAGAGCTGTACGATAAGTAAAGGAGCGAAAACGTGCGTGGAAGCTTTGTGTACTTCGCATTGCATCGACCATGCTTCCGTACCTCGCTGCCTGTATTCTTTCTTGGATCTGCCGCCAACGTAGGGGTGCCCTGACACGAACGTATGTTCATGTCAGGGCACCCATTAGCTGTATGCGTTGATTCAAGAGTGCTTGAGTTGCAAATGTCAGCAGGAACAAGAAAACATGATAGCAGCATGGCCAAGACGATAAAAGAGGAGTACGGGAAGACTTGGTCAACAACGGAGAAAGTCTCGAAGTCAGGCATATGCGAGTTGGAGAAGATACAGCTCGTAGAGGGGCTCGTGCGGAACGACGTGTCAACGAGGGCGACAGCTCGAGTTGGTGCTAGGAGGCTATCTTGATATGGCTATTTGGGATCAGCAATAGCTTTGGAGGTTGGGTTGGCAAGTTTGACCAATTTGACAAGATGCAATCCAGGCTCAGCGGAAGCAGTCACAGGCAATCATCACGAAGGCTTTGGCACTGAAGCCGCGATTGTATGGCACGTGTCGGTTGTGGTTCTGTGTCACTGATGAAGCCTCTGGTGCCACTAGGTACGCAAACACTTGTGCAAGTCATGAGATCTTTCGGTCGGAGCTAGAAGTAACGACCTGGAACTAGTTGCTCTCATCCTGACTTATGACTCGCTCGATGTACCCGTCGCATGCTGCTCAAACCATACCGTCGAGAGCCATGAAGCAAAGTCGTTTCTTGACCGTTTCTGACCGTTTCTTTTTCCATCGATCCGCGCATACACAGGTACTGACAACGGCAGCGTTTATGCCGTGCTGATGTACGTGGCCATGCATCTATGATACATTATCACTCCACGATAACCCATCAGCAGAAAGACCAAGATCCCACCAGCGTGTTCCACATCACTTCGCTACATAGCCGATTCGGTCGATCGTAACTCACTTGCGGTGAGTGTTGCACTAGATGCGGCCTTAGGACCAGCTTCCTATCGTCCTAACTGATCGAATTCTTTGGTTCTGGATAAAGCACCACACATGTACTGAACTGCTCTGTAAGACATGCAGTGTGTTTCATTTGCCACGACATTCTCGTCATGTTCGATCGGGGGTCACAGGAATGTACGCATTCGACGCGCTCAAGCGAACATCACTTCTACCACAAGATTGAGCAAACTACGGATGGACCAGGGAGGCATACTATACGCACGAGTGCTACACGTCTCGGATACCAGACAGCACGTAGCTCTACTCAATCGGACCCGCTTGTATGGCCAGAGAATGTGCAGCAATAGCTAGAGAATGACTCGAAACTGACGTCGAAAGAGCTCGGCCGGGCCACCACGTGGATCAAACACCATTCGACTGCTCTGCTTGAACGCGTGACCAGCTGCTGGGAAGGGAACGACGACGTGCTCGTACTGCACCTTTTGGCCACAACGACAGATGGAGAGCGATGATAGCCGGGAAGTAATGCAGCAGTTTTGGGCCACCTCGCAGGAAGTGCGAACACATAGAAACGAGATCAGGGCGGCAACATACTGTTCAGATACAAGTACTACAAGATCGAGGACTGCCCGCTGGAACAAATGCATGTCGTGCGCACAGGCAAGAGAAGCAGGTAGTAGGACCACAACGTAGACCCGATCCTCATCTCGGTGCAAAACTCCGGCAATGGGCGACAGCCATTCCCCTGCCAGTTCCAGATTTACCCATCGAGACGGGTTTGAGCTCGGCGCCACTTCTGGGTGCTCGACAGGGCCCACCAATGTAAGCGAGCTATCGCTGTAGGCATTATTGGAGGCCAACTAACGGGACGGAGCATGATCCGACCCAGCACGCGACAATGCACCAAGGCAACGATTAGATAAACTGGTACAGTCTTGTAGGGCGACAACCGACTTGATATGCGCTTTCACCTCGTCACTTGGTCGAAACGTCCAACATGGTATACTAGAAGTCGGCCCTGCTACATTCAAAACATAGTCAGTTCCCCGCGTTCACACAACCTAGCGATGCTCGCGTCGTCGAAGGCCTGTCTTCCATGTCGATGATGCTACTTGCTGATCAACAATGCTGTACTGGGGTGTTCTCATTCAGCCTGTTTGCAACAAATGGTAGAGCATTCGATTTCCTGCTGTCCAGCGAGGATAGCGCTTGCTGCTCAAATAAAGCAGGATCACTCAGTCGTTCTGCGTCTCAAACACATCATGTTATCCTTCCTGTAGCCGTTACTTCATGCCCGTTATCTACAGAGCGGAATGATTCGGAATCGCTCCGCAACGTCTGGCTTTGCGTACAAGGTGTACTTACCGTCACAAACCCAGCGTTGTGTGATGTAGACCATAGTGGGTCGAGTGCGTAAGAATAAAAGATAAAACAAGGGAAAGAAAACGGCAAGTACCACGTCGACGTACCAAAGCTTCTCGTAGTTTCTCTGGCATTTGCAATGGTAACGACGCTTGCCCGTCAAAAGCGTTGTAAGAGTCATGCCGATATGCAGCTTTCTTTTCCCTTCGCTCAAATGTCGGTGACGTTCCTGGCAGGTACTCATCCGAGTGTTCCTACATGTTTGTCTCGTACGGCCAAAAGCTAGAGTTTGGAATAGGGTTGTACAGAATCTTGTAGGTAGGCACAACGGGTGCAACTGATGCGTTTCCCCAGAAATTGCCGATTTCGTTAAGATACCGTACTTTTGTGTCGAATAAAGTCGCACACTGCAGTTAGTCAGAACTGATCGAAAAGAGTGAAAACTTGTTTGGCTTTTTACTTTCTTCGAAATATGTACAAAGCAGACGCGTCATTACTGGATCTAGATGCACACAGGTAGTTCTGCAAAAAGCAGCTACTTGTTGCAGGTCCAAGCGCCACGCATCAGTTTGGGAAGCGACGTGACCCGAGACCAGCTACAGGTCTACTTTCAGTGCGAGGAGATACAACAGCAAACAATTACTTCGTGTGCAGAGGCAAGAAAACGATCAGTCTGTCGCAAAGGTTTGAACGTGTTACTTGCAGTATCCAATTGGTTCCTGAAGCGCTATTCGGACCTCTATGACAACGCACTCAAGCTGCGCCCCCGGTGCTGGTGCAACGAACACCCACACAGTACATCGATAACGACATCGTCTACAAGGAGACATTGTCAACCCACCACTCCGTCTCGCAGTCGCGCCGGACCTGTCTACAAGTAGGCAGTGTCGACCCACCACTCCGTCTCGTAGTCGCGCTGAACCCGTCTACAAGTAGGCAGTGTCGACCCACCACTCCTTCTTGTAGTCGTCGCCGAGAATCTGCGTGATCGCGACGGGCTCGTCCAGCTTTTTGCTCCAATTCACTCGCTTGCCCTTGGCACCGGGGCCAGTGTTGTTGTACTCGCCGAATTCGACGTTCGCGATGCTGGTTTTGTTGTCCCAAACGGACCAGCCCTTCTCCGCGATCACATCGCTGAGCTCGCTGTTCTGCCACACTGTCTGGGCGAACGGAAACCATGGGCGGCCGAGATACATCGAGCCTTTTTTGCTCTTGCCGAACACGCGGGCACGATTGAAGACGAAGTTAGATTTGCTGGCATCGGACTCGCGGCCATTGGCAGCAATGTACCCGGGGCCAACGGTCTCAATGTCGCACTTTTCAAACCACGCCAGTGCGAAGCGGCCAAAGACAAAGTCAATGGCTCCGTTGATGTACGTTCGGGCAAAGAGCTCGCGACCCTTGTCGGCCAACAAGGTGTCCTGATAGCTCGTGAGGTTGCAAGCGTAGAAGCCATAGTCGGTAGCGTTGACGTTCACAGCCAGCGCCTGGCCGACGTTGCCGGCCGTGTTCGCAACGTTGAGGTTGTACACCTTGACCTTGTTCGTTCGGAATCGGATCGTGCTCGTCAAGTCGTTCCTTGCTTCACCCTTCACCTCCTCGGGAATGTCCCTCTGCGCCTTGGCCTGGGTGATGGTAACCTGGTTGCTCGCGTACGACATGGCGTTGCACGTGTAGCCCTGGAGCACCAGCGGCCCTGACAGTGGCAAGATGAAAACCTGCTCATGGTAGACACCCGGGAGCACAAAGATCGTTTGCACCGACGTCGTGTCAGGGTCCAGCCGTTCCACACCTTTCGACACGGTCGTAACGCTGTTCTTGTACACGCCGGTGGCATCGACAACGATAGCTCCCGCTGGAGGCTCCGTACGTGCATTCAGCCCACCGCACGTTTTGCTGGCACACGCTCCAGTCAGACTAGCGGCTACTCCAAGCGCGGTGAAGAGCTTCATCGCTGTGTGGATGCCAGCGAAGATTGATGAATGAGCTGTCGTGGGAGACTGAGCTGGCGCTGCACGGTGGCGAGCGGGTGTTGATGGTGGTCATCAGCCAAACCGCAACCGCACGATCAAAGCTGCAGATCTTCTGACCTACTCGAAACTCGGGGAACGGCGTTGCTAATTCGACAATACCGTCCGCATGTCGAAGCTGCCCTTCCAGCCGATAGCAACAGCTCGTGGCGCCAGGAGGAAACGAGAGGTGTCGTGCTGGACCAGAACACACCTTAGTCGTAAAATGACTATAGGACGCACCATCACGATGGAGTGTCCTCACGATTTGAGCTGCTGCATCGACGTTGCACACGCAAAGGCCGACAGACTGCAGTCGCCACCACGTTTCGGCTGTCTGGAGATGATGCCCTTCCTTCTCTCTGCTGCATTGTGTATCGATGCACTGAGAGCGACTGGAAGATGGTGGCTCGCACCCCATGGGACTTGAATAGGATGGAGCTTTCGTCCCGCCCTACATCTCGCCTCACCTCTTTCCAGTGGCCCACCACGACCTGTGCAAGAGGTCTGAAAACTCACGAGGCAGTACGAAATCGTTGACGACACGCACCGTGCGCTAGACTGCCAGCTAGCCACAAGTGAACCTTACATCGTCTTGTTGACGCTGGACTGGTCGCACGTTGAATGGAAGGGCCGACTTTTCTAGTGATAAAGTGTGTGACGATGTCACGTGAAGTCGTGTCTACAGTCGCGTACATGATTAGCACGTTGCGGACGACAACTGTACTCTGTGCATTCCCAAATTTTCACGGTTCAGCTCAAGCCGGTCTTTTTCCCTTCGGGGCAGTCACGTCGGAGGGAACCCTCCCCTTGGGGAGCCGATGTGGTCGAAGATCTGACGCGGGCACGCTGCACTCGCAGTCGCGGGTGTGGGCGTAGGAGACCGACGGGTCGCGCAAGCGGCCCTAGCAGGGGTGTTTTACGGACTGGAGGCGAACCCCGCGCCACGTGTCGCCGCTGCGGCGAGCGCACACTCCACGTCAAGGGGCCGCGCAAGCGGCTGAAGGGGGCCACCATCGCCGATGGTTGAGCTCCTCGGAGAGATATATGGCGGGTTGGCGCTCTCCACGCCACGCAGTCACTTCGGTGATCGCACTCCACGTCGGGGGCCGCGCAAGCGGCTGAAGGGGGCCACCATCGCAGATGGTTGAGCTCCTCGGAGAGATAGACGGCGGGTTGGCGTTCTCCACGCCACGCAGTCACTTCGGTGATCGCACTCCACGTCGGGGGCCGCGCAAGCGGCTGAAGGGAGCCACCATCGCAGATGGTTGAGCTCCTCGGAGAGATAGACGGCGGGTTGGCGTTCTCCACGCCACGCAGTCACTTCGGTGATCGCACTCCACGTCGGGGGCCGCGCAAGCGGCTGAAGGGGGCCACCATCGCAGATGGCTGAGCTCCTCGGAGAGATATATGGCGGGTTGGCGTTCTCCACGCCACGCAGTCACTTCGGTGATCGCACTCCACGTCGGGGGCCGCGCAAGCGGTCCTAAAGGGGTTTGTTGCCTTATATGGCAGCATACCCGCGTTGTACGTGCTGCCGCTCCGGCGGTACGCATGTCCCCAGTCTACTTGGTCGCGCCAGCGGTCATGATTGACTCGTAGTTGGCTTCGGTAGGAGGGTCTCTGACCTCGTTGCCGTCGCCCCTGGCTCTACGGAGCCCTTTAGTTGTCGACCCGATACCCGGGCCGTACTTCTTGTCACACTTATCAGTCGTTAGTTATCATAATAATGGACGTACTTGACACCACCACCACCACCACCACCGACAACTGTACTCTGTCGACAGACTGAAGGTACCGCTGCCGAGCGTCTTGTTGTGCGATAGACGAAGTGTCCACTACGGCAGGTGGGTATACGCGCGCCTTGCACAACATTCGGATGAGCAGACGCAAGAAAGAACGTGCGACTTTGTCAGACTTGGCACTCTTCCTGCAACGCTTTGTCGTTGTGGCGTAAGCCGTTTGCACAGACGCGCTGTCTTGACAAGAAGCTACATGCATCCATGCGCGATGAAACAGAGTGTCTAGTAACGAAGCCAAGTACGAACTTCGTGTACAGAACAAACGTACAGAACAAACGTAATGCTCAACAGCACCATTTGTTGACTTGTACAGTACACACGGTCCTGGGCAAAGTCGTTCTCGTCGGCGTGTAACGATACACACGGTTTCGAGCGGTTTCGCTTTCGTCGGCTTGTACGATACATGCGGTTATCTCGGTGTCTCTGGCCGCGCGAGTTGGCGTCGGCCTATTCTTGGCGTCACGATTTGACCAAACCATATCTGCTCTCGACACCAGTTACGAACAGCACACCCGTGTGTTTGTCCCATACAGGTAGGTATCCGCAACTGCTATCAGCTCCTCAAAATCGGGCCGAAAGATACGCAAGGTTCGCAATTGTGCCTCGCTCGTTGACTTGTACAGTACACATGGCGTCAGGTGAATTGGTCTTTCATCTCACCTGCTGCAGCTTGCGCGAAGGTGTCACTCGTGTCGGTCGTAAGCTGGCCTTTTATATAGCTCCCCCCCTCGGAAAATTATACAAGACAGAAAATATCGCTGGTATCGATTAGCATTGTTACTTCACTGCTCCTATCCAAGAGTATTTTAGAACTCGGCACATAAAGCAGATACGGATGACAGTACAACGGACTGATGACAGAGCAGATGTATCAAGGTACCACGGTTATCCTGCACACCGTATAAGCCAACCTGCACTACCAACAATGTGGGCAGGTGCAGCGTAGCCCCACGTTTACGTACATGCAGAGGAATCAAATAGGCTAACAAGAGCACGTCAGTGGAAGGCAGAATCGTACTTGTGCTTCATATTGGCCAGCTTACCAATATATCTGTTGAAGCCTTTCTTTTCTAAATCTTGGCACGAACATACACTGCAAAGAATGCTTCACCACCCATTGCGCGCTTCCACCATTGCTTGGATGCTTTGTCTTTGGTACACTGGCCTACATGAGCTAATTAGCAGAAGTATTGCACTGCATCGATGTGAAAGTGATAATCAATAACGCTATTCGCTAGCGTCATATTCGCATTGTCATGTAAAGTGTCGATGTCATGTAATGGGCTCACACCAATAGAGTTGACACGTATTTAGTATAAGTTCAGTATATTGAGAGGAGAAAGGAAGTATATGCAAACACACAAGCATTGTGTCCAGAAGAGGGATGACTAGTCGCAGATCTTACAGCCTTGGGAAAGAACGAAGCGGTGTAGTCTTCTTGGCGGCAAGGAGACAAAACTGGCGCACAATATGACGACAAAACATGCACCACAAAATAATGTTACTATAAATCGCACAAGAACAAGTGAGCAGAAAGGTCCAGATGATTGCGATATAGAATGATAGAACATGCACACAAAAAAATAAAAGCAAAGAATGTGCCATGGATGCATGTCATACACACGAATAAAATAAGCTTGGTACCACCTGGATATATACATATATACGTATGAATACTCAAAATCTCCTCTCTCACTTTGCCAATCAGAAACCTTGCGTCTCATTCATCGACAGTCATATCGCGATTGAAAAATGCTCGTCGACACTTCAGCATACCCTGACAGTGTCATCTATCTTTGTCAGTATTGACACATCGCTTCGATGTCTTTCATTCCTATTCAACTGGTTCGACATGGCATGTATGTGTCGAAACTGGTACCTGATGAATGAACCCGTTGCTTCCGAATGCATGCCTGACGCGTTCTGGCCCGTCGCCGCGGACCTTCTCAGTGGCTTGTCGATCGCCATGTGATCCATCGCTGTGCTAAAACCTGTGCCGCTATTACACATTAACTGATGCAGAAACCACTCACAAAGACCTCATGTACGTACGGATGTAACACCATCATCAGAATGTGTTAGGCATACATCTCGTACCAACCAGACACAAAATACCACTTCGAACTTTACTTGTAGCTGTTGCCTTAGCATTTTGTTCATCGATAAGGAAAGGAAATCGCAGTGTCAAAGTGCAGCTTCGCAGTGATTCAAAACGTATGTACGGTACGAATCAAGGGAGGACTAGATGACGATCAACATAAAATCAAAGAGATAATTGTATAATAAGGCTAGCAGAAACTTCATGGCGCTTTTGTAGAGTATCATGCAGATTTTTGGGAAAGGTGGTACAGCGGAGCAAAATAAGGGATGGTATACTTCCATGGAACTATCACATCATTTGCCAACTAAGTCGCGAAGTCAGGCAAAATACGTAGAAATCAAACCTCATCGCGTTTCACCCATGTAAACAGTTGTGGCATTAGATTGGTTGACAAATCGGATCCTCTCGCATACAAACCTGCCAGTCTTCAGCAGCTTCGGCTCCACTCACCCTGTGACCTAGTATTAAGCAGGGTACATGGAGAAGTATACACCGTGCTAAAGTACTTGTGGTGATATTGACTGAGGTCTACTCGTTTGTCACCATAATGTCCAGAATGTTGCCTTTGATGAGACTCACCGGCTTATGGATCGACGCGACCTCAAACGGTACCGTCTACTAGGCCATCGGCTCGCACTCGACGAGACTACTTCTTTTGCTAGCAGTAATAACGACGGCACATGTATAACATAATCTATTTGGTAGTATCAGTCAAAATCATCTCAAACTTTGGATCGAAGGATCGACGGCAGGCATAATCTATTCAGTGGAGTAAAGTTCAACAAAAGTATGCGCGTGTATTGGAGATAGCATATTGTGCTCTGCTTCGGATTGCACTGTCGCTATCGCTACCGCCGCAGTCAAGTGAGTGGCTTCCTAACTTTAACCTGTTTTACTTGCATCTGATGAAGTAAAGTCGATCTTACACGTTTCATCACAAGATTGACTTGCGTGTCTCGACCGCAAGTCGCGCAAGACCGGTGAGCAATCACACAATGTAGATGATCACTGAAACTGCAACTGCTTAGCGATCTATCACC